TGTCTCGCGAGTGAAGGCTCGTCGGGACCGTAGTTGTAGTCGTCCATGAAGTCCTCGGTAACACCGTTGAGGTCGAGTTTAAGGTCTGGCGGTTGCGAGTTGTTGTTGTTATTATTGTTGTTGTTGTACAAGGGCATATTCGGCATAGTAGGAGATCGAGCGTGTGCTCCCCGGATACCGAAGGCCTTCAGTGCCTCGGTCCTACTCTGTCGTTGGGGGGTGATGCCGCTGACCGATCGATCATGCCGCGCGGCAGACGGGACGGAGGGGAGAGCTTTGTTGGAGCCTCGCTTTGCGACCGAGAGAGAGCTTGCACGAGACGACTGGGAGAATCGGCGGGGCGCGGCTGCCGTCAGAGGCGTCCTTCCATGGGGGTTGCTGTGTTGTGTTAGTGAGTGTCAAAGAAAGGAAAGCACGCGTGGCGAGGAAGAAGTAAACACTCACTCGTCGAGGTTCCGGGGCAGGAAGAGGTCCTCGTCACTCAACGGCGGCGAAAGAATATTGTCGGGGGCGCGTCCTCCTTGAGCAGGGAGATCAGAGCCCTTATCAGGGTAGACTGTAGCGATTGACGGTTCTTTAGATTGTCGATCGGCAGCAAAGCGACCAACTACGGGAGAGTTTGCAGGTAGGGGCTTCCTGCGGACCGGGGACTGGACGGCGACAGGCACAGCTTGGGACGACTGGGAGCGAAAAGCAGCAAAAGACGATATGGCAATCGAGGCCAGGGACGAGCCCTTTTGGCGAGGCGGAGAGGCGTTGTTGGGAGGATGCGCGCCCTCGGGGGACGCTTGGACTGCTTGCATATTATCGTATTATTCCCCCGCGATAGACATGACATGCACAAATGATGAGCGCAAAGAGAGGTGCAGAGTCAGCCAAAGTCGGTTGTTCGAAAAAGGGGACCCGCCTAGCGAGCCTAGGTACATGTGCCGGCGAAGGGGCGCTTTGGGGTTGAAGAGCAGATCGCGGCCCTGGAATTGGTCAAATCCACGCGCTCATCCGTCAGCACCTGGCCGCGATGGGCGGTTCGCGCTGCTCGAGTGGAGCGAGCCGCGCCAGGGGGGCTGCGTCCGGCGCTGCAGGTACACTTTTTAGCCGGCCAATAAGCGCGGCGGACTAAGGGGGCGGTTCTTGGACGATGTCGTCGAGGTTGCGATGCTGTATATGATTCGGGAGCATACTCGCCCTCAAAGTGGATGGTGATTCCAGAGTCGCGCGCTCCGATTGACGTTGACGCTGACACACACACACGGTGAGAAGGCGACGTGCCGAGGCGCCTGAGGATATGAAACACTCCACGAAGCACCATCACCGCTCACAGGATTCAGTCCCAGTGCATGGCAAACGCAACCCTGCCATGTGACACCCGCAACGGGTGGCTTGCATTCACCTTCATTTTGGAATCGCGCAATCTTCCGACGCGTACGGAATCACCCAAATGCGGAAGTCATCACGCTAGGGGCATCTGTCTTGGGATGTGGCTCAGCCGCGAACGACGGACAGTGCTCATCGCAATGAGTCGTGGAGACAAGTCCAGCCTCTCGGCCTATCTTAGCTAACGGTGAGGTATGTTCCTGCGGAGATGACGAGGCCCCTGGGATGCAATCTTAGGTTCATAGCCGCGGGCGCATATCTCGCGCCCTGACTAGCATGTGCCTGCGGCCTTGACTCTCAGGCATGCTTCCGACCTCCGCCGCAGCATAACTATCATGCCATGGCAATGGCAATTTCAATTTGGTAATTCCAGCACCGACTTGACAATGCGACGCTTGGTGCGTGGTCTGATATTAGTAGTTATAATAAGTTCAAGGTGGATCACCGCCAACCGCCAACCCGACCTTCGTCCCATCGCTCCTTGCGCTCTGCTCGAAGGTACGCAATCTTCCGGCCTTCTCTCAAGCGCCTTACAAAGTCCGTCACTTCTCGGTCGCTGGCAACGGCGTCTCCACCGCCAAAGCCTTCGCCTTCGAGAAAGCTCTCTTCAAGTCCCCGGCAGAGAGCCTCTTGCTCGCCTACTGAAGCACTCAGTCGTTGATACAGGGCCGGCGGACTGAACTCTCGGAGTGCTTCGTCCTGTTCAGTCTGCTTTGCTCTCCACTGACGTTCCAAAGCACGGAGTGCCAGTAGGCGCGACTGTGTGCCATCGCGCTGATGCTGGACATGTGCTTCAAGCTGCTTGAGTGATTCTGCAAGTCCCACGTTCTGTGCAAGAAGCGCCTGTAGAGGCGCGATTGATGCTGGCAGCGATGGATGTGTTGTATCAGGATTGTGAACTATAGCATGCTGCAGTTCCGATGTTTGAAGCACATGGTGCAAGTCCTTGGTCCTACTCGTACCTTAGTAGTGCATGTATCAATGACGCAGACTTGGCATACGGTTTGTCCTTGAGCACGTCGGGTAGCCACCCATCTTCAGGCGGTTGGACTGTGGGTTGCTCGGAGTCTATCTGAGAATATTGCTGTTGTACACGAGGACTTTGCTGCTGATCCCCCGAATACGATGATTGACCCGGTGGGGGTGGGGGTAATGGAGGTCCCTGTGATGGAGTGGCATTCCCACTTGAACGTCCTGGCTTTGGGGGCGGGGGTGGAGGCGTCGATGCATCGAGTTGGTAAAAGTTTTGAGAGTTAACTGGGGACGAATAAGCCATGATGAAGTGTAGAGAGTCGGACCCCAAGCGAGGTGGTGTTGCATGTGATGGCGTTGGGCGTTGCTAGCGCGTCGAGGTATTTGATCTAATCTTATCTCATCTAGACCCCTGCATTGAGGCCACAGCAGCATCAACCAACTCTGGGGCACTTTCAAGCTGTGGACACGTCTGGACGCGCCTGGTCATACTTCTGCCTACACACTTTTTTGGCCGCCTACAAACAACGACTCTACCTCTACGTTCACTCACTGTCTCTCGCCAGAGTAACACCACAACGAAAATGGCAAGCACATCCCCACCAACGCGCCCAAGCTGCTCCCGCTAACTTGCGACTTCCGCTCCAGGCCAACGTTATAGCGAATTCGGGCCACGATGACATGATTGTACGTTCTGCATAAACGCTCCACAGACCCTCGCCTCTATCTTCACCCGCTTCTATCTTCACCCCACCTCCGTACTTCCCAGGCCACCTACTCGCGCAATGGCAAGCCGGAATTCGTCTCCAATGTATATTAACGAGGTACAGCATGATGCCGTTCTGGACTACTACGGCAGGCGGCTCGCGACATGTTCCTCAGACAAGACCATCAAGATCTTCGAGGTGGAGGGTGAGAAACACACATTAGTCGAGACACTGAGAGGGTACGTCACTCATCACCGCGTTCCACGATCCGTCCGCTGACTGCCACAGCCACGAGGGCGCCGTCTGGAGCGTAGCATGGGCCCACCCCAAATACGGCAACATTCTCGCCTCGTCCTCGTATGATGGCAAAGTCCTCATCTGGCGCGAACAATCCGGCAGCTGGCAAAAGATCTACGAAGTCGCCCTCCACACCGCCTCGGTCAACCTGGTCGCATGGGCCCCGCACGAGGCAGGCTGTCTTCTCGCATGCGCATCTACCGACAGCAATGTTTCCGTACTCGAATTCAAGGACAACAATTGGACACACCAGATCTTCCCCGCGCACGGCACAGGCGTGAACAGCGTGAGCTGGGCACCTGCCTTTGCGCCAGGACAGGTTTTGAGCGCGAGTGGGAACCAAGCTGGAGCTGCGAAACGACTTGTTACTGGAGGTAGCGACTGCCAGGTCAAGGTTTGGGAATTCAGTCCTGAGAGCGGTAGCTGGAACGCAACGCTACTGTATGTCCTTTGATTGACTCGACAGCATGTACTAGACTAACATGAACCAGTGGTATCCACGGCGACTGGGTCCGCGACGTAGCATGGTCCCCCACCGTCCTCTCCAAATCCTACATCGCTTCCGCGTCTCAAGACAAAACCGTCTCTATCTGGACTTCCTCGGATCTGCGCGAGTGGAAGCGTACGCAGATTGATGTCGACGCTGCGGCGTGGCGCGTGAGCTGGAGTCTTAGTGGTAACGCGCTTGCAATTAGCACGGGGGACAACCGGGTTAGTTTGTGGAAGGAAAGGTTGAGCGGGGGTTGGGAATGTGTCAAGACGATTGAGGAGTAGAACATCCGTTGTCCTATCACGGCGCAGGCTGGGCCCATCAGATGTTTTCCTGTACGGTACGGGAGAAGGCTGAGACCTCAGTGGTGGACGCATGATGAGTGGTTCGGCGATGATCAGGGCCGCGAGATTACTGAGACGGGCACTTGTTATCGGGATGGGTTCGAGGGGGGGTCGTGGTATGATGGGAGGTGGGATGGTCTTTGATAGAGCGCGGTACGAGCGCACAGTTTTGATATGAGCAAGTAGTGTGAGACGGTAGTCTTGAATCGATTTCTCCAACAGCAATCACTGACGAGCTGCTCTTTGCATGTTGTCATCTCCATTGTGTTGACGCTATTTGGTCTTGTAGCTCATGTCGTCAACACATGCTTGGTTATCCAATGGTGTACCTGCGTACGATCGCCAAGTGGCCGAATTGAATAAGGCGCCAGGTCAAGTGCGAGATGCCGTGTTCGACAGTTTTCAAAAGTTGCCCGATATGGAAGGTAAGACGGGCGCTAAACTTCAGCCTCATCGAACCCATCAACATCTGGCCCTTACTCCTAGCTTCTGATACTTTACAACTACCATCCACATCAGAGACTAATACCCGTTTCGATGTCCTTGATCAGTCGGTAGTCTAGTTGCAGTGTGATACCGGCGTGCATCTGTGTCTTTGAGAAAGAGGCGGCCACATCTTGCATGTGTTGCCTAGACGCTAGTCGTCTACAGCCAATCTACCCAGGTTCTCAAATATACATTTTTCACCACGACCGTCCGGAGACATCCCAAGAAAAGGAGTAAGGAACTATAGCGGCTGCAGAAGTTTGCAACGAGTTAGCTTCGTCCCTGTCCACGACGCTACCATCACCCCATCAAATTCCACCAGCTCCAGCAATGTCGACCAATCCAGCAAGATCGAACCAGACAAGCCAGACGACTTTAACACCACCCCAACTCGAAGCACGAACCATACTCATACATCTCCTGACGCGGCTCTCCCAGCCAAAAGATGACGATACCCCCACGAACCAGCGGTACGACGAGTACTCCACATGGATCAATCAGCATAGCATCCCCACGCTGACCACCTCTCTCTACTCCATGATCCGGCCCCAACTCTGGACTCTGCTTTCTTCCCGACTATCTCTCGATGCTCTGAAACATGTTGGCGGCGACTTGCGGCTTGAGACTCGAGGTGCCATTTACTTCAACGGCATCCTCGGCGTTGACAAGCGTCTGCGCATGTACGTGGGGCAGAGTGGCAATCTGAGGCAGAGAGTGGCTCAGCATTTGAACTTTAGATATCGTAGAGATCATTTCAGCTTGCATTACTATGCGCTCGAGTGGAGTGTGTATAATGTATTTGGCGTGTGTGCTGTTCTTCCTTCTCCTCTTCCTTCTTCTTCGTCTTTGGTGCCGGGCATGGAGAGGTCCGATTTGGTTATGAATGTGCTGGAGATGTGGATGTGTCTTGTTTTTAGGTCGTTGCCCTCTTATACACTGAAGGAATGGCTGCCAGACGACGATCTGGTCGAGAAAGGGAGAAAGACGGCAAAGGAGGGGGTAGTTGGGGGCTTGAATGTTGCTACTCCGCTTGATCAGGGAGCTGGAGTCAAGGATATGCCGTTTGTGGATCTGAGTGGAGAAGTGGATCCTGTTGTACGGGATTACCTCAGGGAAGTGAAGAGGAGGAAGGGCGACGTGCAACAAGTGGAAAATGTGAAGATCAAAGATGGGATGGTGGAGGTGGACGAAGAAGAGAGGGCGCAGAGGAAGAAGATGTATGCAGAGAAAGTGAGGAGGTATCAAAATAGGAGGGATAAGGATGTTGTTATTCCCCAGTGGGTTTTTCTTGGTGCCTTGGCAGTTGGGGTAGGGGTCTTGCTGTTCAGAAGTAGTGGAGGGCTGAGAGGTAAAGGAGGGTTGAAATAGAAGAGGTGGCCTTGTATTGCTGGAGTAGGAATCTCTTGCCTTCCAAGAGAAGAACCCCATTCAGCACATCCAAAGCTAACGTCAAAGGTATACCTAGTGTTCTATACGTGAGATCATCAAGAAGCTGGTAGTGTGTACTGCAAGGTATGACTTTACGATAAGATTCTATCCACGTCATCTCCACGGTAAGTCCAACTAGATCAAATGTGCCAAAGAAACGTCGAGATTGACGTTGTCAAAGTCGTTTCAGCCGCAGTGTAGATGATGTGGAAAGCTACAATGTAGACTGTTGTTTCTCTGGAGGGCAGTAACGCTCACTTGCGGGCATCTGTGCAAAGGTGTAAAGTCTGTACCACAGGAAATCTGAATGGCCCGTCGCTTGTGTGGTATTGTAGGGATATGAGATAAGATAGATTCATAGTAAGCCACCGCACCGCGCACGAATGTAAGTTAACATATAACAAGCACAGTCTGTACTCTTGTTACAGTTGTCTGCGTAGAGAATGTGGAAGTCTCGGTCGCGAAGCTCGTGACAGTGGCTGTAGCCGTGTTGGCTTCCGTCACAGTTGCAGTAGCGGAAATTGTACTGGGTACCTGATCGAAAGAGCATAGATTAGTGACTGGAGAACCAGATTGATAGAGCTTTGAGAGACCTACTGTAACTGAAGTCGTTGTAGTCGCGGCAATGCCTAGGACTGCCGTTCTAGTTGTACTGGAGGTAGGCACGGAGAGACATTTGCAAGCCGAGCTAAGAGCCTGGCCTTCGGTGTATTTGGTGAAGCATGTAGGCTTCTTTGAGGGAACGGCAGCTGCCCGTTTTTGCTCATCTCGAGCGGTTAAACATCCGGGCAAGTAGCTCGTAGTACGAGAGACAGTAGTAATGGTTGATGTCGTTGTGGCTATTACTGTAACAGTCGCGACAGCGGTCTCGGTTTGAGTTGTATCTTCAGTAGCCGTGACAGTCGCGTCAGTCGTCGTAGTAGATCCAGACGTGATTGTGCTAGTCTGCGTGATGGTTCTGCTCGCTATTAGCAACAACAAAACCCAGGGTATGAATATGGGTATGTTACGCAGTGAAGGATGTTATTGTGGAAGTCTTCGTTACTGCAGGAATCTTGAGGTAAGAAGAGCAGAAGGGTGTGGCCTGAGTTTGCTGCTTTGCGACAGTAACGAGGCCACGAACAACGTCACAGAACAGCTTCGAGACTATTGGAGATGCGGGCTCAGGAACCGGACTTCGAGGAACGGAGATTCCGGCAGCGGGAATCGTAAGACTCAAAGCCAACCCGGCTATCTTGCTGAAGTGCATGGTGGGATGTAAGAGACAATAGAGGCTGCTGAATTGCTGTAGAATATTACGCTGAATTCTATGTGGGTGGAGCAATGGAATGGAGGGAAGAAGAGTTTTAAAGACATCTTGGATTGCTAGGCTGCTTGCTGTTCACCCTTGCATGTTACTCTGGAACTTTTAGTTTACTGGAATGATTGGAGTCGGCGATACCGGCACTGTCTGGATGGTGCAGCGGGAAGTAAAGCTACACTCCAACGCCACCAAACCCACCTACCTAGCTTTTGTTGTTCCTCGTGAATATACCATCTCAAGCCCAGAGAGTCGCTTGTCGCTCACAGCAGGGTGCCGGTCAGCCAGCCACGTATATCCCCTGGTCAAAAGCATGTGTTGGCTTCGCCGGATCTGGTCACATGGGTATAGGGCGTCTAGACAATGCTAGGTTGCTCTACGACAATCAAGCTTGAAATTGCCCAAACTGGTAAGGCCAAAGGCTTTTTGTCTGTGTTGGTATGACTCTATTCAGCCCTGCGGGACGACGCATCATCTAGCTAAACTTCAGTATGTGGCAAACAAAGGAGCTTGACGACTGTGGAAATTGAAATGCGATCTTGCATGTTGATCTTCGACCTTTTGGAGATAACGACGCTGAGATAGCATTAGTGGCGTCGGCTATTCCTCCGGAAGCCTCGTAGTCCGAGGCTAAAGAATCCTTCGACGCCCAAGGTTCTCCACAAATTGCTTCCCCACGACCTTTTTGTCCAATTCAAAGTTCTAGACTTCGGAATTCCCGCCTTGCGGAGCTAGGACAACTGCGTCTGGTTGAAGGCCCCCAATTCCAGACACCCCAAAACTGCTTCGCAGCCAAGTGCGCCATTACGACCACCAAGCGGAGTGCGTCGCTTTATGGTCCGACTGTTATGATAGCTCCCAACTAACTTGAGCTGCATATATCATCTAACGGAACAGCGACTGTGTTGTAGAAGTCGATTGCGGTGACTGGCCCTTTCAGGTTCAAGCACCAATGAACTGCATCCTTGTACTTCGTCCCCATTCGATACGCGACTTCGGCGTCAACACGCAAGTTTACCCTTCTGTGGAGCTCCTTTGCCTCGAGCTCATAAAACTGCTTCATGTCTGGCGACAAAGCAACCGATGGCACCTTTCCAGGCTTGCACTTGGCAGCAAGTAATGTCATGAGGGGAGACCAGAGCGCAATCTCGAATAGCACTAGACCCAAGGAATAGATGTCGTAGTGAATCTGATACCCAGAGGCTGCCTCGCCTTGGTACAGCGGATGCCGATATATGGCTGCTTGTAGGTCATGTAGAACCTTTCCACGGTCAATGGTTTGAGCCTCAGTATGCTGACGGGAGTAACCGAAGCCCTGAATCAAGGCAGTTTCAATTTGCCGAAATCCGGCTACAGTCCTCGTGGAGTAGACTTGCGGAAAGACGATGTTATCACTGTTGATGCCTTTGTGCATCCAGTCACTACCATAAAGCTTAGCAAAGGTGTACACTATACGTCTGGCGAGCCTGTATCGTGTTTCAAGGGCGGGTTTGAACGGAGAATCGAAGAGCTTGCGCAAGGAAAGTGGCTCGCTTGCGGCGGGTCCCAATGTATCCAGTGGACTCAGCGGAAACCGAAAGATGATCCACCAGCAGTGACGGTCTGGATCATCCGTGTATCCAACTGCTTGCAAAGTTTGAAGATGTCGTTGGCTCCCAGGTTTGCCCAAAAGGCAGACCAAATTGCGGATGCGCTCTTGCAGGACATCTTTGTCTTCTTCCGAGATGTTTGGATCGTATTCTTTCTTCTCGTACATGTATGCAACCTCAGGATCGTCATGTCCAGGTTTAAGGAAACGAATCTTGGCCAGGGCTGCAAGACTGGTGTCAACAAGACTCCAATCATCAGTTTTGGGCTTTCTTGGCAAGGTTGGTACTCCTTGCAGCGTTATTGCCTTACATTGTGCAAGATGCGCAACGTCCACCTCGGCAAAGCTTTTTCCATACGATAAGGAGTTTTGAAGCAGTGTCAGCCTTTCTATATTAGAGATCTCTTGGACCATGTGGAGATTGAAACGAGTTTCTTCGCGTTGGACCTCTTTTCGCTGCTCCTCGAACACTAGCTTGTGCAATCCACTGACATGTGTCTCGAGGGTGTTGACAAAATCCTCAAACTTCTCTTTATTTCGGACAGCCCAAAATAGACGGCTTGCAACTCCGATTTGTTTCTTACTGGCTGCAGATAATTTCAACTGCTCGGCTTGGATCAAAGTCTCTAGGTTTGTTTTCGGATCTGACTTTCTCAACACGCGGTGCAAGCTCCGCCTCATCTGCATAGCCATCGCGCTCGTCTTTTTGGATTCCGGGTCAGTAGCGCCTCTGAGTTCCAAGCCGTATGTGTTCCCCTGCTGTTCGAGATCGGTCATGAGTAACTCGATGCGCTTTAGTGTTCTCACGATGAGATCGCTCAATGGATGCAAAGCTGGCACAAGCTCGCCTTCGACGAGTCCAACACGTGTAGCCCAGATGCTCAGATGAGCCTTGGCTGTTTCAATCCGGATTACCAGGTCTTCGGCATCATCATCGAAGCGGATCGTCTCTTCTAGTATTCTCATGCTCTCTGCCACAGTCTTGAACACGATTGGTGCAATACCGATCGCAACTCCGGCTACTTCGAATCCGGACATGATCAGTAGGTAAGTAAGCTAAAAGGATGATACAAGATGAGGGTGCTCGCTTATTCCGACTCGTATCTCAGGCACTGGAATCTCTTCTAGAGGCGCATACTGTTACTTTCTCGATAGATCTCCAACCTAGATGAGTTTGTATACCTTGAGGGTACACTCTGATAAGAGCGAGCGTCATCGATCGGACCAGCGCTTTAGTTCGATAAAGAGATGGAAGGATGGAAGTATTCTTGGTGTTTCCGCGCGTCTGTGTTGGTGCTGCGCTTTCATCGGTCGCTGGGGGAGAGAGCAGGTTAAGTGTGAAGAAGACGGCCGCATTCTCATTATCGGCTGCGACACCAACCCGACTATGACACACACGAGGTCAATGCTTCCTCAAGCTGGCATGATGAGGTGTGTTGTTTGGAGGATTATCCAGATATACGAGCTCGGTTGCCATGAACCCCTCACTCAACTCTTGGCAGCTGAAACGTGCATCTGATGAACCCAATAGCCGTCCCGATACCAACCCTACGCGCCAACAGCCTCAACGCAACAATGCTCTTCTCGTCGGACGTGCGTTCAATCTTCGTATAACATCTCTTGGCAGCTAAATTTGACACGAGCTATCCTCCTAAACGTCTTAAATATAACGGTATGGTTTTTCTGTGAGAGGTTATGCGAGTAGCTGCGAGCTCACCTATATTGATCGACCTCTGCGCTCAACTTCGATCGAATTTGCAATGGAAGAGTTTGAGTGGATCAAGTCATTCGCTGAATCCAGCTATGGTTCAGTCAGCGATCCTGTTCCGCCACCTGTGGAACCGACAGAATCAAAGACACTGCCTGCAACAACTCCGCGGGGTTCCTTCGCTTCATTTGTCTGCCATGTTACCAGTCTAGAACGCAAGCTGCGCTCGTTCTCACCCATCGTTCTCGATGATTCCTCAGTCGTCAGAAACACAGGCAAGATCCTAGGTCAAGGAAAGACATTCATGGTCAAGCATGCTCAATGGATTCGTGATGCGAATGAGCCACCTCTCGACGTCGCTGTGAAGGAGATCATTCCGGACGCCCGAGCGACGAACCAGAGCCTGAAGTATGTACCGTTCCCCAAAATTCGATACGATGTGCTGATCACATCTCAAAGCTCTTCTACCAGCTCCAGCGGCCTCACACAGAATGATTGGAAAGAGATCTTGTTTGAGATCCGGGCTCTCCTTCACGAGCCGATTCGTTATCATCCAAACATCATTCGACTGCTGGGCATTCAATGGGGTCTATCGCCAATTTCGGAATCTACTTACCCAGTGCTGATAATGGAGTATGCATCGCTTGGTACTTTCGCGACTTTGCAAGCCTCTTCTGAGCCATTGTCGTTTGCAGCAAAGCAAAAGCTGTGCTACGATGTTGGGCGAGGACTATCCGCACTCCACGCTTGCGGGATTGTGCATGGAGACATGAAACACGAAAATGTACTTATCGTACCTGCTAAGGAGCCACTGGACGGTATATCATACACTGCGAAACTGGCGGACTTCGGTGGTGCCGTGATGAATATGACGCCTAACGAATTCCGCAAAATGGAGACCTGGACGTGGCCCTTTCAAGCGCCTGAGGTAACGAGTAATCAGCGACTTTCTAAAGATGGGATGGTACTCACAGACGTGTACGCTTTTGGTTTATTGGTTTGGAGAGCATTTGAGGACGGCCAAGGGTTTGTGTCGCTTCCTGGCGCAGCACAGGATGCATCTGATGAAGACAAGCGCAGCTTGAGCGCACGCAAAGCATCGCAAAGCTTCACTGCTAGTGCTATTGCTAGCATTCATGAATATGCTAGCATGAGAGGAATGTCGCAACGCTGCGTAAATACTATCACGTATACCATCCTCCACACCGTGCGACTGGAACCAGAGGATCGAGATCTTGTAATGGCTCAAGCAGCGTTACGAGGCTTAGAGTACGATGAGCGTGATGACATGAGATCTAGTACTGATGGCATACAGTATTGGCCATATACCAAAATATCTGCGTTTCATCAAGAAAAAGAACGAAGAACTAGCAGCCAGTGAGACCGGGGGACCGCCCGTAAGTCAGCTTCCAATTGCGAATCGTCGCTTACAGGTATCTAGGGAAAACACGGCATCGCCAGAGACGGTGCTGCGTTATTTCTTGGACGATATGGCAATGATATAGATTTGCAACATAATATGTACAGGTCGACTACTCTACAAAATCTGTGCAATTAACTGACTGCTTACAGTCCTGGCTTCCGACCTCGTCTGAACGAGCCCAATCCCGAAGAGGTACTGTTTGAGCCCGAGCGATTGAAGAAGATCTTAACCTGGGATCAACAACGGCAAATTTTGGATGAATTCAAAGCCACTGCTAATGACAGTGCAAATGCACCTGGGGATCTTATCGAGATGAACAAGACAGTCGCTGCGTTCCACGTGTTCCAATGTTATCTCCTCGAATTCGGCACTAAATTCAACGCCGACGAAACTGTACAGTGGTTATCGAAAGCCTCTTCGCATGACGATAGTCATGATGATGCAGATTACTTGGCGCAGGCTTGGATATGGCGGATCTCACGCGCGCTTGAGGTCAACGTCAACCTCACTCAGGGGAGACTTGAGTCACTGCTGAGGATCTCCGTAATGCGGGGTCACTGGAGCTGTCTCCAGGACGTACTCGAGCTGATCAACACTAGCACTGGAGCAACCCAACAGCAATGGTCGAATAAGTTTCAGCAGTTCCGTAACATCCTGCTTTCGCAAATGGGTGCCGTTGGAATGGGCTACTTCTTCTCGCCGCACATGACACCACCATGGAACAGAGTCAACTTGAGGGATATCAGTCAACTCGATGAGACAATCGCGGCTATTCTCGGCGACACGTACAACTCTTGCTTAAGAGTACTCAATTCTCAGCTCCCAGAATCGTCAACACAAGAGCATCAGCGCAGAGGAGAAACTGCATTTGACCAAGTGTATGTCAACATACGGGGACATGGTCCACTGCACTATGCCGCCGCAAGCGGCAATCTGAATGCCCTGCGTCATATGATTGAGAAGTACGACTGCGACATGAATTTGCCAAATCAGCATGTGGACGAGACTCCTCTGGTATGCGCTTGCTCTGGCGGAAGACTTGATTGTGCACTACTCTTGCTCGACAAAGGGGCTGATGCAAACGGCTATCATCATGGGCAAGAAGGACCGCTGCATTGGCTTTGTAGCTTCTTGCCCAACGAGATGGAGATCATTGCATCAGCTCTGGTCAAAGCAGGGGCTGACATCGAATTACGTTCTGGCGGCATGCGCGCGGACGTTCGTGGTATCAGAGCTGATTGGGAGCATATTTTTGAAACCAAAACAACGCCACTCGGAAGAGCAGTCCTCATGAATAGTCTTCCAGCAGTCAAGGTGCTTTTGAGATTAGGGGCTGATCCTCTAAAGAAAAGTGCCAACAAACACCCAGGTGAATGGAAAGGCGATAAGGCAACAATGGTCGACATATCTTCGCCTTTCGAATTGGCCGCTGCCTTGACACTTCCGGAGATCCTCGCGGAGTTCATTACTCATATCGATGGTCCTACTGGTGCGCCCCGAAGGAAGCTTCCAGATGTCTCTTCCGTAGTTGATCTAGCACGCGGTAAAAAAGTGACCAAATTCGATCCACTGTCATTACGAAGCCGTCTCGTGCGGCATGGACACAAGTACAAAAACAACCTTAGATTCACCTGGATGATACTCCATGCTCGTTCAATCCCCTTCCAAGGCGCCGTACCTACCGAAGAGCTCCAAAAAGTACGAAGTAGGACGCTGTGTGACGAGGTCGCCCATGGAAACCTAGACATCGTTGAGTGCCTTTTGGAACTTGGATACAGCGCTAGCGGAACTTCGAACCATCGACCCTTGCAGAAGGCTATCGAGCTGAATCACGAAGAAATGTTCAAGCTGCTCATACGGTACCGGGCGGACATTTCAGTTACGACAATGACACCTGCGGGTAATATATCCCTGCTTCATATCTGTGCATCACGACCACGTCAGTCAAGACCTGGAAGATACATCGCCGACGCTCTCATTGTAGCTGGTGTACCAATCGAGAGCACGGATAGACGTGTCAAACCACCCCTTGCGTTAGCGGTCTTGAACCAGAACTTTGATGTAGCCCAGGCGTTGATCGATAACAATGCTGACGTTGATGCGGTCTATCCACTTGAAGTGTATGGGCTGAATGGACCAGAGACCAAATCAGTCAGTGTTCTTGTGGAGATCTTGTCTCAACATACGAATCGTACCCTTGAGTCACTCAAATTCCTGTTCGGCAAGCGTGACGGCGGTCCGGCTCAGCGGCCTGCATTTTATGTCGATCTTACAAGCAAACTCACCATCCTACACCTTCTTGCTGGTAGCCCCAACTATACACAAATTGGGCAGATAACACCAAAGATTCTTAATCTTTGCCTCGAGATGTACTGGGATGATGAGCTCATCAACTGCAGACATCCACTTTTGGGTACTGCACTATACCACGCTGCCACAAATGGACACAAGGCCATGGTAGAACGGCTCCTACAATACGGCGCAGACGAGACGTACGCTGCAGGTCCTGACGTTGATGGTTCCGTGCAAAATTTGTTCAGGTCGCGATATACCTGGACACCGCTTTGGGCTGCGACATTACGACTTGACGAAGAACTGAAGAAGGGAGTGCTGTTTCCACAGGATGGAACGTCCGGCACATGGCTGAACTCAAACATCATACAAAATCTTGAAAAGATTGTGACTTTCCTATCCTCGAATGACAAAGATGACTTGGCGCAACAAGCCGTCGAGCAGATAAGAACCAAAATGGAGGTACTCCAAGCTGAGTTTGTTATGTCTCGAATCGAGAAGGCGAAGGCTAAGAGAGAGGGGAAGATCGTGGAAGAAGAACATCCCGCTAATCTGGGGATACTTTCTGGGAAATCGGGCGAGATAGACGAGAAGATTATACGAGAGATATGCACAGGTCTCGAAGATGAATGGAGGACTGGAGAAGTTGAGGCATTTCTTGAAGGTCTACAGCTCTGAACCGAAACAGTGCAGGTTGCTGGATCAATTGCCAGACTTTACAGAATATTGGTAGCGACGACAATGTAGGCGGCTGTGATCATTTCACCACTATGCCATTGGTGACAGGACAGTAGATGTGGTGATTATTGTTGCAGCCAACCACTATCCTCGATCTAGCTCCGCGAACACGCGATGCTAGAAGATATGGGAAAACTGTTCCAACACGGTCCACTGGTAGCCATGAGACTAGATAACAAGCTCTTCAGACACAAGAGCAACATGCACACAAAATCCTTTTCAATCCCTTACTTTCCGTGTGTATATGTACGTTCGAAAAATAGCCCCTAATGTGGACGGCACCTGCACGGAGTTTTGGCGAATTGTATCGTACAAACCCGGACTTGCCGGTTGAGCCAGCATCGTACGTCATCAAGTTTCGAGACACTGAAGTTTCTACCGACGGGGCCAGATGAACGGCCGGAACGGGATGTGGGGATGATTGATTATCCATCTTAGTCTAGCTGGGCGGGGATTCGCTCGTACGAAGGTAGGGTGGGACTAGCGCGCGTGCATTCCCGGCAGCTCATGCACTACCACGATCACTACCGCAGCATATCATGTACTATCGCAACGTACGATGTGTATCGGTTGCGCTAGCCGGCAGACTCGACTTGTACGATACGTACATACTCTGAAGCTAGTGCCAGATCTTTGCTTACTTACATCGCATTGCGCATCGTTCATTGTGTTGCGCGCTCTCATACTAGCCTGCCGTGTTGTGGGTAGTGAGGCTTGAATTGTTCTGTAAGTTGCTTGTCTCGTTGATCGACTGCATTGCTCGACTGAATTCCCCATGCCAGTGATCCAAAGCCCTGAATATTTACATTCCGCATTCCAAAATTTCTGATCTGAACAGGTCTGAGCTCCAAATTCCATTACCGAGCATCCCATCTTTACGACTGCCTCTAGCACAATGACCTCTTCCAACAACAAGGACATGCGTCCGGCCCTACGCGCGTCGTACAAAACTGTGGATGGTGTGGAGATACCGACGGACATATACCTCCCAATTAAGGTGTCGCAGAGAGATGCGCCGGTGTTGATCATGTGTGTGTGTGTTTCCATCATCTTCCCACCCTTGAGAAAACTCCCGAAGAAAGACCTATAGAGATTGAGAAAGTCGTGACCTGTAAAAGCTGGCGTGGATCACAATCATCATGTACCCTTCCAACACACTCTCTCAAGACTCAGCTTAACCCACGTCCAAGCTGTCTGACTCTTCTCCAGGATCCACGGTGGTGCTTTCATGCTCGGCCATGCGGGCATAAACAATCGAGACCAGATCGCCGACTGCGTGGAGCGAGGTTGGATCGTTCTCTCGATCGAACATCGGCTTTGTCCGGGCGTAAATGTACTGGAGGGGCCAATGGAGGATGTGAAGGATGTTCTAGGGTGGGTGCAGAACGGAGGTTTGGTGGGGGTCTTGAAAGAGAGTGAGCATGGGAACAAGGTTCGGGTCGATGAGGGCAGGGTGATGGTTATGGGGACTAGTTCGGGGGGACATCTTGCGCTGTCTACGGTGAGAGATTTCTTCTTTTTTTGTTTGGCTTACCCAGTTGGCAATTATGCGTGGGGAATGTGTGAGGAAACTGCAAGCTGTTCCCACAAGGAACATTCAAAGGAAATATCGAGCAAGACTGACGAAAAAGAAAAGGCCTGGACATCATCCACGCCACCCCTCGCGATCCTCGACTTCTATGGCGCAAAGTCCTTTTCCGCCCCCTTCTGGACCCAGCCCATCTCCTCCATGCCCGCCGCCTTCCACGCGCCTCTACCGCCATCCGACGTCGCCGCCTTGCATGCCGAAAAAACAGTCTTTATAGGCGGCACCTCTCTCGAAGGCCAGTCCGCCGACCCAACCCATCCCAACCCGCAACAGCGCCAAGCCTTCGCCATGCACGCCATCGCTACGGGAAAGGTGCTGAATTCCATATGGCCCCGCTACCCTGCCGACCTGCACCTAATTGACCCAGTGCTCAAGGTGAGTTCGTCGTGGCCGCCAACGGCGATTGTGCATGGCACGGCGGACCAGACGATTCCGATCGCGATGAGTAAAGACTTGGAAAAGAGATTAAAGGAGGCAGGGGTCAAGACAAGTTTATTTGAGGTTCAAGGGGAGCCTCATACATTTGCTGGGAAGATGACAAAAGGAAGCGCGACGTGGGATAGTCAGAGGAGGGGGTTTGACTGGCTGGAAGAGAGGCTAGAAGAATCTTACGCAGTAAAATGAAGGGATAGGCCTCTTTAAATCAGTACAAAGTTGAGCATCAACATCCATCCACACCTCGAATTTCCCTTCTACATGTATCCATCCCCCCCACCCACTACCACTGTTCCCCATCCCCCAGCACCCGGTGCAACAAGATTCTTCCAAACTTGCTCTCCCCGGGACTCCTCGTACACCAGCCCACTCTATTACCTCTCCTTGAATCCCTCCAACCTCCCGCGTCTCCCACGACTTCCTCGCTCAAATCGCCTTGTCCCTCTGTAATCGGCCGACCCCTCCGATCAACAATCGTACATCCCCTCGTCCACTGCCCACTCGTCTCAACCCTGACATCTTCCTCTTTGAACTTCCACGCGCTATTGTTGGGACAGAGCGCGTACTATTAAGTGAGGAAAAGAAAAAGATAGTCAGCAAGCGTGTCACGTGTGTTGAGGATAAGTGAAAAAAAAAGAACTTACCCAAATAGTCAGCGGGTCGTGTAGTTGAAGGCCAGCTTTCGTAGGATCTTGCTGCGGATTCAGACTCGCATTCTTCTTGAACGTTGCATCGAGAAAGAGACTAGTCCATTCCGCCATGGGACTGCCCTTGATCGGCTTCAGATTGATGTAATCTTCATACATGGCCTTGGGCAACACATGCAACTCGGTCGTGTCGAGCGGGAACAATTTGATCGTCAGCCTCTTGCTCAACTTCTCGGGATACGGTGGGAGCTGCTCTTTCTTGCCGTTGGAGATGACGGGTGGCATGGTGAGATGCGGGTTTTGAGATGTTAGTGCGAAGACGCGGGCTGATGCAATGGAGTCGGCGTAGGTATTGAACTCGGCGCCGGGTGTCATCTGGTTGCGCTTGTTTAGCGAATATCGAAGAGGGGTGTTGGGCTGTTTTATCAAGCCGAATGGTGGAACGGAAATGGAGAGGGTAGATGCGGAATAGATGAGGTGCAGAGGTGGCGGTGAACGCTGTGGATAGCCTCAGTGAAGGGGAGGAAGAAGACGTGACGAAAAGAAAAAGGACAAGAACTTACGTTTCCAGGCGCATCGATAGCACCGCCCATGACAACCACCTCCTTGACTCTCAAGAACGTCTCCGGTTCCTTCGCAGCAGCGATAGCAAGGTTCGTTAGTGGTCCAACGGCTACAATGGTAATCGTACCCGGCTCGTTCTCCCTCAACAAGTCGAGCATGACTTCGTGTGCAGGTTTGAGCGACGGCGTAAAGAGCGAGTGCTTCTCCTTGACCTTCTGCAGCGCTGCAGCTTCTTCGGGCGCAAGGTTCTTCGGCTGGGGCGTGAAAAGCGATTTCCACGTCTCTTCAGGCGAGAGATGGGGGTGCTGTTATGCATCAGCGAGAATACTACGAGGCATTGGAATGGTAAGAAAAAGCTTACGCTGTGATGTATACCTCCGAGTCCATCGACACCGTCTAAGATAGTATGTTAGTCTTTGAGTCACGAACCAATCTCGAGAAGAAGCGTATCGTTCTTACGGAAGAAGTCTGCCACCATCATATGTTCCGCCAACGGCTCTTCAGCACCAACAGCAACTGCCATGCACATTAGTAACTTCTCCGTTCCACCATCGCGCGCGATTGCAATCGCTCAAACCTACCAATAGGTTTCCTCGCATTCAACGTTTCAAACCCTTCTGGTCTTCCAATTTCCTTCCGCCACGCCCTCTCTTTCTCGATATAATGGAAAAGCGTGACCACGTTTCTCAGACAATTCTTCACCTCGACATTGCCAAAAGTCAGACTCAACATCAGTATATCCAGCTCCTCACTCTTAGCTGAGAAGGCTAGAAGCATGGCTAGGATGTCATCAACGCCCTGTTGTTGTTCTCTTATTAGCCTCTGTTCTCTTCTTTGTCGTTCTATTGTTGCTCTTTCTCCACGATCCTTGTCCACTGTCAACCGCCACTACAGTAGGCCTTCCCCCACCGACTTTTACCCCGCACTTTTTGGTTCGCAAGATGGAACTCACAGGGTCAGTGTCTATGATGATCTTGTTAGGTGCCATGGTTTCGGTATGCTCAGGTGCGGTCAGATTGAAAACGCTTTTGTTGTATCAATGTAGCGAATGTTGTTTGCTGCATGGAAGTCGCACACTCCGATACGTATGTACGATTAGATAACTAGCGGCCATGCACTACCCACTTGCATCCCTACACCAAACCACGCGTGGCAGGTGTACATTTCCCGCAAACGCGCAAACGCGGAGTTCACCGATAGCGCTCGACTCCACTCTGCAATTGTGGATCCGCGAAATGTGTCCCATGTTACATTGAAAGGGAGTAATTGCAAATGTGAAATCGAATCCAAGTGGACGGATATACATTTGCTTATATGTAAAAAGATTTCCCTTATAAAAAAAAGACAGGCGATTCATAACCTAATCGCCAGCAGGGGAACAAGACGCCGATTGGACCATATCTCTAACACGTTTGCCCTCCCAATCGCCTGGCAGAAGAGCCTTAGGCTGGAGATTTGATACCTCCCCTTTCCTCCCAACTCCTAAGTTGTCTCTGATCTTGAACACCGCTTTTCCCACGTTTGTTATGCATATATACCGAATACAAGGCGACCGTTTTCGCTGCCCAAGCGTGTAGGCACGTGTCGTGATGCGTGAACATAGTCCAAATCTCGTTGCAATCTAGTAGACCTTCTTCTTCTCGTCGACAGAGAACTGTCCGGGGCCCATGTTGACCAGCAAGAGGAGGCCGCCAACGATTGAAAGAATTTGAAAGAAGTCATACTTGGCGAAATCCTTGTGGGGGTGGTGCGGGTGCAGCGTCCACCAGTTGTTGACATACAAGTTGAAGACGCTGAGGATGAGAACGAGCATGATGGCGCTGAACTTCGCCTTGAAACCTGGTGTAAAAAGTCAGCATATGCCTCTTGCATCTAGCAGATCGTAAACAGGAATATTGCTTACCGACAACAACCATAATACAAGCCACAAGTCCCAGCAGACTAGCAATAATCCTCCAGAAACCCCAGTCACCACGGAACACGAATCCGACAAAAAGGAAGATAAGCAGCACACGTCCAGCAAGCTGGAAGTACATCTTCTTGTCCTTTTCATCGAGCTGAGGCAAACCAGCAGGCGCGAACTTCTTGCGAACCCATGAGTCACTCAAAACCATGAGCAGACCGCCCATGACGGACAAGTTGCGCAGGAAGAAGTTGAGATCGAAGACGAGTCCATAGCCAATTCCTTGCAAAACGACAACGGCCATGAGGCCCGCGACGCTGAATTCGGAGTATTTGCGGAAGATGACGCCGAAGGAGCAAACCAACATGAGGATGATGTTTGTGATGAGGAAGAGATGCGTTACGCCGTTCCAAACTGTACAAGAGGAGACTGTGTTAGCAGTCTATCCACGCTTAGGGGAAGTGGGGAGGGTCACGTACTATGGCGGTAGTCGTGGAGGTATGTGAGCTGATCGGTCCATTGCGTGACAATTCTAAGCGCATCTTCGAGGAAAGTAACGACGATGAGGAAGCGACCAATGCCGGGGAGATATCTAGTATCGGTCGTGAGTTAGCCATATTCTCAGATTCGCCAAGTCCTCGCGGCGGGCGGTGTGTGTGTAACACACCATCCCATGTTCAAAGAGCAGTACTCACGGCTTGATGGGGTCGGCGACAGTGTCCAGCATGTCCTCGAGCTTGCTCGTCTGCGCCCTTAACTGATCGAGCGGACTGGGGTCATTCCTGCTGTCATCGTTGCGCCCCGAATTGCCAAACGGGGACTGGTTGCCCAGGTGGTAGCCAGCTGTGCCGCGTATCTGCGCCATGGCTGGGTCGTGTAGTGTAGAAAGAGAACGAAAGACGAGGTGGGTGGGCGGCGGAGTTGTAGGTTAAAGCCCTGTAGTGATTTGGGCACTCCGAACAGGTGTCCTTGACGCGATTGAACTTCGGAAACGTCAGATTATGTCAGCCAGCTAGACCTATTGCGCGCACGAAACCTTGCCCACCTGTAGTCTCACTACAACTCCTTCTGTTCCAGGCTAGTGTGGTAAATTGCAGGGTGCAACTATCAATTAGCAGGCTGCGCGTGATGGCCGCAGATATATATGTATATTGCGCCCGCAGTCGTGTGTGGTTCCCAAGGTTGAGGGCCGTTGCGCTTGTCCCTCGGTTCGCGTAACTTACTAGAATACCACTTTGAGGCCAGATTGCTGCAGACACTCTTACCTATGGCGTCAGAAATATGAATCGGTACGAAATAATTCCGGCCCAATTCTGAACTAGCTGATTCACGACTTGGCACGCGCTTCCGCTATTACAGTGGAGTGTGGATGTATTTATAGTATTCACCGCTGACTCTACAAATAATCAAGGGACGGTATCACAGGGCTCGCAATTGGCTCGCACATTTAGTTGTCAACCACAGTTTCTAACTCGATAGTTTTTTTCCTTTCCAGCACAGAGTCTGCGATCTGATGTAGTATTGAAGTACACGACGAGAACGCAAGAGAAGCTCTTGCAAATAACTATCAGATGCAACCCCCACACGCCGATTGCTTTTCCATTAACCTGGACAGCAAAGCAAAGTAGAGGAAGGAACCTACACCCGGCGGTCCTGTTCCAACCATGCCCATGCTTACAAGTAGACAATTCCGCCGCCGTCGTATTGAGTTGTGCCCGCCCATCCGTCATGCCAAATATGATACCATCGTGATGAACATTGCCAACCATCGCATTGACACCAAGATCTTCTCCGACAGAAATATCCACGTCGTCTGGGTCCGTGTATGGGTACCCAAGGTCTCGAGACTACTCCAGTCCATCCACCTCACATGACAGCCCAGTCATCGGCGTCATCGCCAGTCTTGGGGTTGAACTCCTCAGCAAGGATCTGGTACCTGGAGCTGGGGTTTTTGTTTTCCTTGATGACCTCAGTCGGCCTGACTGGCTTGGCGGAGTGTTGTGGCTTCGTCTCAGTGACGTTGCTAAGCTCTTCGGCCAGTTCCTCGTTCACCGTCTTGCGCTTGGTCTTACCACCCTTGGGGACCGTGGTCCAGGCGGAGTCTTCCATGGCCAGTCTCATCTGCTCTTCCTCCGAAGGGAGGCTGTTGAGGGGAGCGGAAGCCTTGGCAGCGCCGTTGGTGGGGGCAGTGGTCGCAGTAGCGGTCTGAGCGGGAGCCTCAAAGGTGTCAAGTAGCTGGCCAGTCGGAGCAGGCTTGGGAGGCTGGACGGCGCCGCGAGATGCCTTGGAAGACACCTCGGTCCAGGCGTTCGAGGCAGGGGGCTTGCTCTGACCAAGACCGTTCTTGGCGGGCTCACCGCGAGCCTCACGAGCGACACGACGCTGCTTCTCCTCGAGAGCCTTGCGCGCCTTCTCCTCCTCCTCGCGCGCGGCCTTGGCCTCTTCGGCCTTCTTCCTGTTCTGGCGCTGCTTCTTGGACTCGGTCGCAACCTCTGCCTTTTGTGTCTGCGCCTTGACTGACTTGGCTGGCTTCTCCGAGGGCTTGATGCTCATGACGGCGGGGGAGACGGGTCGCTCGCCGAGCATATCAGAGACATCCTTGCCGCTTGGGGCCTTGTTTGTGTAGGCGGCGGGTGGTGCGACCTCCTCATCGGCAGCTTGCTTGGGCGCGGCTTGCTTCAGGGTATCGGCAGCCTTGTTTCCAGCATCCTGAACAGCCGTCTTGACAGACTTGCGGGGCGCCTTGGTAGTCTTCTTTGCGGCCTTGGGCTTCTTCTCCGAGCTGTCCCAGTTGACCGCTTCTTTGAGCGACGACGTTGTGGACTTGCCCGTGGTTGATCGTCCTCGCACATCGGCGGTGTTGCCTTGGTGCATGTAGTACCAGTAGACAGCGCCTCCAATGGCCAGGAATACGGCCCAGCTCATCCACGGCTCCATGATGTAAGCAGTGTATGTGTGTGCGTCGACGTGTTCAACGATTCGAGGGTGCGGCGGTGACTACTACACAAGGTCCAATGTCAACGCTGTACGGCGATGCAACAGCTGGCAGAGCAAACCGCGAGGGGATGACGGAGTTGGGGGAGGTAGAGCAAGGAGTACTGAACAAAAGGGGCTTACAGGTAATTAGTTTTGCCTTAGCCCGGGCGTCGTAATGGTGGTGAATAGACGCGTCGCACAGGCTGCCTTGCTCGTCGGCTTCGATGGCGTTGCGAGAAGAGGCCAGGTAAAGGTGTTGGAACCACTTCGGGAGCTACGCAACCGTCGAGTGCAACCACGGAATCGCGCACTTGAGATTGGCGCCGCGCTTCGGAGGGGATTTGTCTTGGTTCACGTGCTGCTACACCTTCACATCGACTTGGGTGTGTCGGAGCCAACAATGCAGGGCGAGAGGAAGGAGAATTGCTGAACGTGGCAGGGTGAAGGTGCGAGTGGTAGTGAGCTTAGGAGTGCTTCCCCGTTCGGGATGCCGCTAAGCAGGGGTGAGTTGAGGCGCTGCGGCGGGTGGGATGCATCACACAAGGCGGAAGATTATATTTCCTCTATGCAGTCATGACATCAATTCATGTCTTTGTCTATCTTGTCGCGTCGCACACTTGGGTCTCGTCCATCACTACTCAATGGCTCTATCTGCTCCCACGTGCAACTTGAAAAGGACACGAAGCATCAAGCACAGGCTCGCTCGCGCGGAGGCGGAAGGCTACCTCCGACACCCCCGACCCCCGACGGCGGCCTCTAACGTTTTAAGCGGCTTGACACCAAGCCATTCACAAGCCATTCATCATCTGCCGCTGCACCATTGGAATCTCTTTCGATATTGCCCTGTCTCACGAGCTGCTTCCCTCTGTGTTTTTTGTGTGGCTCCCCTGCTTCGTGTAGCAGCCGTCGACGATCAGCAGTGAGAAGAACCGACACGTGAAAGGGCATGCATGGCACACGACGTCATATAGACAGGAACTGGCTCGCTTCAAAGAGAACACAGTACAGTAGTAGAGACGAGCGAATGATATTCACCAACCGAAGGCTCCTGCAACCACAACCACAAAGCCTATGTACCAACCGAACCGTAAGAAAAAGAATTCGTACCTCATAACTCATTACCCATATAGGTTTAATGTACAACAACAGCAAACCACCATAGCGTAATCCGCCTAGTTCGCCTTCACAACACCCCAAGCACAAAGACGCTTCAAAAGGGAACCCTTGAAACCTAGGCAAAACCCGTGATAACCTGGGGAATAAAAAAATCACCCCTCAACAGCGCCTCTTCTGCGCAACACCCTCGGCACCATCCTCACTCTTCCTTTTCCGTCCTCCCGCTTCACTGCTCAGGCTAGAACTACGGCTCATCGGGGGTGTCGCAACGCCCAGCGGAGTCGTCACTCCCCGCGGTGGTGGAGCGATACCACCATGCATTTGCTGTCCCATTGATTGTGCTTCCTGTGGAGGAGACGGCAACTTCACTCCTTGCCCTTGCCCTCCCAACCCCACCGCAGCCGCAGCCCGTTGCTGGGCCAGCAATGCCGCCTGGTTCCTCTGCGCAATCTGCATCTGCCTCGCGATATCGCCTAGTCCCGGTCCTACGATGTTCCTATCCCCGATGATGGTCGCGCCGCAGTTGACGGTGATGTTGATGTTGGAGAAGCGCTTCACGCCTCTGACCTGCGTTGTCGATGTGTGTTCCCTTCTTGTTGGCGTTATTGGTGTTGGGGGACGCGCTGTTGTACCATCCTCTCCTTCTGGTTTGTTCGCGTTGGCTCTGCTGTCGGTTGGGTCCTGGCCGCTGAGTACGGTGGATATGAGGTTTGCTATCCGTACGCTGTCCATTTGCGCAATGGAGATGATGTTTCCATGGCCTCGGATTTGTGTGGCGGCGTTGATGATGATTTCTGGTGTATCATCATCGGAAGTTTCGTGGGGGTTGGAGTCTACTCCTTGCAGTAAGGAGTGGTAGGGTGACGTTATGTTGGACATGGACATGTTTGGGCCTGTAATCGTGTGGTAGGCCGGTGGCGCTACTGTTGGTATCTGATCTTCTATATCAGAAGATGAGTGTGTAATGTTGTTGTGAGGATGTGAAGTAGATAGTATGTTGTAGGTTGGTGTCGTCGATGAATTATTTTGGGTTATCGACGATGATACTTTTACAAGATCTATTTCACTGTTCTTTCGAAATGGGTCCATGACATATATGAACGGGTGTTTTTCTAGCCAAGCATCAAATTCCCGAGTTTTGACGATATATCTTGTGGGGTATCGTGACCGTGGGGTTGTGGCGTGATGTTGGTGTGATGAATTGGTGCGACGATCATGCGAGTTCGGGTACTATGCGTACTGGTAAAACGTGCTGGTTAAAGGCTCTGCCAGTAAATTGTTGCGCAACCACGAAAACGTGCAGGATGTAGGAATGGACCGATACTGGGTTGTGTTATTATGATGTAGTGGTCTTGTTGATGACGTTTGCCGTGGATGTTGGTACTTGTGCGTTATTCGCAGTACAAATCTGGACTATGTTAACAAACACTCATCTTCCCAGGCGTCAGAAAATAGGAAGCACAACCTTTTCGCTGTCCACGCTGTACTCAGCAAGCCTCCTCGGGCGATACACACCAGCAGTCATTGATATATATATATACAGCCACATGCAGTCCTCCCGCATGTCCTCCCACAAACCACGACACCTGAAACAACCAACACAATACGCAACACAATAGGAAGAAGCCTGGCGTACATACCTCCGTATCCACCCCCAAGCACCCACACGTCACACAGATTGATATCTTCCACTACAATTAGCGTGCACGGGCAGTTCGCAGGATCGCGCACTGAGCCTCCAGCATGGCCATTGTTACTATTGTCACAATAAAGATGCGCTCAGCCATTTACAGCACATTCACTCTGGTTGGCTGGCTGGGTATAGCCACATGCCGGCCCTGGGCGGGCAGTGTTTCCAGTCTGCGAATGAAATGAACAGAGAAACGAGGATCGATTCGAACGAGGGCGAATCATGGCAAAGGGAAGGTAGATGGTTGGAGGGTGGAGGGAGGGGCGGCTAAGCGCCCACGTAACAAAATCGCACTTGCACGACAATAGCATCAACACATACGGTACATTTGGTAATATGATCTTGCTATAGTTAGGACGTGGCCGTGGCACGAAGACGGCGCCCATCTTCTTGGATACAAGGCATTGATCTGTGCGATGTGGTGCGTACAATGTTCAGGCAGCTTGTGTTGACTGTTTTGATGCCTGCCTTCCTAAAGTCACGTTCAACAAGGGCAAAATAGCAAGAAATGCAGTACGCAAGAACCGTCCTGCTCTAACCAATGCCTGGTATGTTTAGCTCTTACGCCGCATGCACGTGAAACGACAAATGCTGGGGTGTGCAAAGTGTTTGACTAAGACAATGTGAGTCTGCTGATATCGATGCTGCAGTGCTGGTGCTGATAACAACATGGGTGAGTGACGGGCGATCGTCTGATGATCTGGGTGCACAATACGAAGCCATCACCAAGACAATAGGATGAGGACACTGACGGAACTCACCCAAGTCCTTTGAAACTTTCGAAATGAAAAACGTGAAGACAGTCTGTCTAATGGGTACAACCAACGATGTTTGTATTATGAAACCAGAAAGATGAGTTCCACAATGCTGCTATAGCATGTTGCTACTAGAGATACAAAGGTACTTGCAACGTACAAAATTCTCCAAAAGAGCCACACCGACACTTTACGATACGGGGGCCTGTGCAAATCACTACGTTCATCCCACATCCAACCCTCTTTCTCACCGCTCCACCCATCATCCTCAGCTTCTGTCGGGAAGCTAACACAGTAGATGCGATTGGCTCGTTGCCAACACTAGAATGACGCGTCCCCAACACGTTGAGGGGCGCAAAAAAAGAAAGAGGGAAGGCACAATAGGAATACAATTTGCACTGCCAGCTGGTAGACCCCATCTGCCATATGCCGATCATAATGCGAGGCAGCAGTACTCATGACTGATAGGCTTAGACCACGTATTTTTGGTTCTACTCGAGTCCGCATCACGCCTCCCCAGGGCAAATACATGCCGACTATACGCGAACCGCATCGTTGCAATAGTCCTCCACCTGGCCTGAGACCGCCTCGAACTCGGCATCTGGAACCCAGCCAATGGCCCACCGTGATCGAGTCCTTGCGAGGGAGAGAGAGAAAATAACGTTGTTTTACAAGCCTGCTGTCTCGAACAAACAAGCCCAAGACGCCAACGCTGCAGAAAATGCTCCAGAACAAGAAGAAGAAAAAAGGGCTTCGTTGTCATCCAACGAAGCGACTTTTGAGCCGAGAAGAACAAGCATCAGGAGGGACAATCAATGGCTGAGGTCGTACCCTCGCTAATAGGAAAGTACATGTCTCAGTCGACTCTCACCGCTGCGGCCGATACTGTTGAATCTCGTGCTGTGGCCTCTCGTGATAGAACAGATTCTCGCTCCATGGTGGAAGTTTCTTATCGCGTTCATAGAGGTAGCCGCAGTTATTGCAGAGAGTACGTGGGCCTTTAGGTCCGTCGCGGACAGCCCAGACAGCGGTTCCCCAGACCCAGCAGTGTGCGCAGCGCCACGTTTGTCGCTCACTGTGTTTGTTGTCAGTTTTGATGTCCTTATACACATGATACCATAGATAGGAGTGGTGAGAAATGGGAAACTTGAAACATACCCTTCTTGCAGACCTCCATCCTGCCCGCCGTACCCAGAGCCTCCCCCAGCACCCGGCGTGCCCCTGCCAACGGGACTCAAACTCCTGAACCGCCTCTTCTTCTTACTGCGCTCGCCACGACCCATATTCTCTTGTCCCTCGATATTGTTAAAGAACTCGTTAGCGGGGGTGCCAGTCATATTCGTCGTGCTCGAGAACCTTGCCGTCTCTCTGCGTAACCGCCGAATCTGCCTCTCACGGTCGCCTTCGCGCTTCTCAATCTCTTCCGGTGAGAGGATTTCAACTTTGGGTTCCCATTCGTCGCAGAGATGCTCCTGGTCGTATCTCCAGCCCGCGCCAATTGTGGGCTCGACTGCGTCGTTGTCGATCTCGCCGTCACCTACTAATCCGCCGTTCTCACAGGCTTCCTTTTTCAAGCGCAGGACGGCTTCGTAGATGCTGTGTGTCATGGCGTTTACCCATTCTCCCGAGAGTCCAAGATCTGCGCATGTTGTTTTGGCGAACATTTCTGCGAAGCCGGGTGGGTGAAGCAGCGACCATTCAAATTTGTCTGTGTATAGTCGGTTCATGAGGTTGATGTTGAGGGTGACAATGCACCGGTAGGTGTCATCGGGGTTATGAAGCTCTTCCGATGGCAGTGCAGTCGCAGTTGCACTGATGCCATTTGGAATGCTAGCTGGTGTCTGCGCGCCGTTCGTACGCGATACGCCATTGGTTAGAGGGGTCGACGCGCCGTTCGTGGCTGGTACTTGAGGCGTGGATGTGCCGTCTCGAGATGTCGCAGGGAGAGCGGCCTTTGCATTTGTTCCTTGGACAGCAGGCGCGTTTGCGGAATGGAAGAGCGGATGCAGCGCGACACCGGCGTACTCCTCGAGCTGCTGACGGATCTGGTTTGCGATTTGGGAGATGATGAGGGGCTTTCGGTCGTTTGGCAGGTCCAGTTCGTCGACAAACTGCTTTGCGAACTGGTCGGGTGTTGTCAAAGCCTCGTGCAGGTTCCAGAGGAACGAGTCCTTCAACCTGTACGCGGGAGTAACATCGGGCTGCTTGTACGCGGGCAGGTTTTCGTTGATACCGAACTCTCGCGCGTTGGACGGTGTTGGCAACGGTGCGTCAGGACGGAAGGCCTGGATGTCCATGTCTATTCGAATCGGTATTAACGTGACGGGCAGGACTGATTGTGTCTGCACTTGTCTTTCTGTTCTGCATTATGTTAGCCTCGTGCATCCCATAGCTGAAGTGTGCCACCATGCCACTCACAGTGTGCGCTTCGGCCTGCCCATCCAGTCTCGCCATATGCCTTGAAGGTCCACAGGCGCAGTGAGCTCCTGCCCCAAAGCTGCTATTTGCGCCGTATGGTCTGCGCTGGCTACGTCCATCTTCTGCACACTGCGCAGACCAGTGGCCCGTCGCGGCCGATCGCTGTCCTCAAAATCGTCATCATCGTAGGCGTCTTCGGCATAGCTAGCGACGGCAGTTCCTCGTTTGGTCACGCGCGGCGCAGGGAGCGTATTCGAGGGCGGAACAATTGGCGATATGAGCGAGTTTCCGTGGCTTCGTAGTCGCGGCGCATAACTCGACATGAAAGCCTGGGGCGGCGCCGTCTTTCCCGTGCTCGTAAACATGACTGTTGACACGGGTCGGGTCGATGGTTCGTGTAGGAGACGTGAGGAAGCTCAGCAGAGCTCGCGAACACTGAACGCGTCGCGATGTCGGTGCGGACACTGTATGCGGGAACGGGGGGCACGGGGCCGTCGGGAAGTTGGTCGATTCGCGATTGACCCTACACTACGTCGGACAGTGAAAACCGTTTGAATTGCAAATGCTCTTGCGCGTCCCTGACTGGTGATGGAATGCTTTCGCGGTTGCGATGGCTAGTGTTGCCAAGTCACACTAGTACGCAACCATCTAGCGCTCTTTCCCTTTCACTCGCTGTCTCACTTCTCCGTGACTATAGCACTCTTCCAGCTCTCATACAGTGCCAGAATCCGACATGGCTGAAGACTTTCGCGCAAAGTCTGTCACTGTCTATTTCGGGTCATACCATACGTACCAAGACATGGACATCCAGATGCGACTCTTGCCCTCTTTGCGTGATCATTGGCGCTCGCTGCCTCCACGTCTGATCTCTCCCTGTCGTTATACGCGCTGCAGCACCCCTCAACGACCTGAAGATCAACCATGGATCGTCTATATGGCACATAGCGCAGGCGGCTTCATGGTATCGGGAAGGTAAAAAGCGGGTGGACCCGATGGCTATTCATAACGGTTGAGCCTTGCGCAGTCTTCGTCAGCTAACCGCCGTCCCCACCAGCTCTCATCATCCCTGTCAAGTAACCGCCATCACCGTTTCAACTACCCGCCATCACTGTTAACTGACCGGGGTGACATAACAGCGCTTCCTGTTCATTCTTTAAAAAAGCCTTCAATGCTGCTGTCATGGTACTGCCATCATCCACATTCACTTTCACATTCCTTGATTCTTTACAATCATTACATTTCATATCCACGCTCTTTCACATTGTGAAGTCATTTTCCTATTGCTCACTGGCGGAGCTCTTGTTTTATGATACCACAGCGGTCCTCTCACCTCTAACGTTGCGACTATTAAGCCCTTGTCTTATATTCTTCCTTGCCAGCTTACCGACACTACGAACATACCAACCACGCAGCGATCGAAGTATTCCCAACTAATACTTCATATCGTTCCTTGTGAGATTTTTCCGACAATACAACCCAGTACATCATTCAGATCACCTATACAAGTTCTTCAGCTGGTCTAAGAAACACCATGTCCGCTAAGTCGACTCTCATTGCCGCGGCGGTCATGCTGGCCATGGCACCGCTCCACGCCGGCGCGCACATGGTTCTGAAAAGCCCGGTCCCCTACGGCAACCCCAACAACTCTCCTCTCGAGGCCACCGGCTCCGATTTCCCTTGCAAAGCCGTTCCCTACACCGTCAACACCATGAATGAATGGCCAGTGGGCTCCGAACAAACACTCTCATTCACCGGCACCGCTGTTCATGGCGGCGGCTCCTGCCAAATCAGCGTAACCACCGACAAGGAGCCCACAAAAGAGTCAAAGTGGAAAGTCATCTACTCAATCGAAGGTGGCTGTCCCGTTGAGGCTGCAGGTAATCTTGACCAAAACGGTCCTAGCACCAACAATGCCTTCAAGTACACTGTGCCTGCCGAGCTCCCTAATGGGGTCATGACAATGGCATGGACGTGGTTCAACAAAATCGGAAATCGGGAGATGTACATGAACTGTGCGCCCATTACTGTCTCTGGTGGCTCTGATGACACAGCTGGCTTCGATGCGCTCCCCGACATGGCAGTCGCCAATATCGGGGTCGGTACATCCTGCGGCACAACCGCCGACAGCAAAGACTTCACCTTTGAGAACCCCGGAAAATACGGCACGTCTGTCGGAACAGGTCCATTTGTGGATCTCTGTTCAGGCAAGACTACTCAGGCAAGCTCCTTCAGCGGTGGCAGTGGTGGTAGTGGCAACACCGATACTGATCCTGCTCCTGCCCCCGGTAACTCATCTGCCGCCAATCCTCCCTCTACTCCAACGGCTTCTCCACCCGTAGCCACGCCACCCTCCCTGTCCACCACAGAATCAACTTTCCGCACCATCAAAACTGTTACTGCGCCCATGCCCCCACTGCCCTCCAAGACGGATGGTGTATTCGCTCCAGGCGCTAGCTCCGCTATCATTCCAACTGCATCCGCCGTCGCCCCATCTGCGCCTCTCCGTCCCACAGGTCAATCTCCTGCAGCATCAGTATCGCCTCAGCCACAGCCGTCGGCCACACCCTCTCCCGGAGGTCCTACTGTGGGTTCCGGAGAAGAGGCGTGCAGCACTGATGGTGCTACCGTTTGCTCAGCCGATGGTACAAAGTTTGGGACTTGTAACTTTGGCAAGGCGATTATGCAGCCTGTTGCTGATGGGACAACATGTAAGGACGGGGCTATTGCGAAGAGAGGGGAGAAGGAGTATCGTCATCGGAATCAGAGGACTGCTGTTTAGAGAGGGAGGAGTTGAGTGATGGCGGGATGCTTTGTTGTTGTTTCTTCGTCTTTGCTGTAAGATAGTGGGGAAGTGTCCTTTCACAACCTGCTCTCGTGATTGTAAGGAGCTGCGTGTAGTAACTAAGAGTATCCGTCTACCCCGGACCACGTACACGCTTTATACATGCCATCTAGATCACATAAGCGTCTCCTGCCTTTTGGGCTGAACAAGTCCTTTCACTCATGTGCAACTCTCCCGCGCTTGTCTAATGACATGGATCAAAGTTCCTCCACTTCCTGTTGTGTCGAATCTCCGGCGTCGCTTCCAATTTGTATCTTCTATCCCGTATTTGAATTGAGATAGACGTAGACAATAGCATAAGCACAGTACATGGTGGAATAAAAGCGGGATGCTATCACCGAGAGCCTGTATTTGAATCTCGGCTACCGATGACCGTAACTGGCGCGTACGTTGTCCGAATATTATCTAAATGAGGTGTGAAGGTAGGTGAAACGTGACGGTACCAAGGATCGGTATTCATAGCAGCCAGGACTGATGTTTACACAAGGCGGAGGTTGAGGCTGAGGCTGAGACTCACGTTGCCAACAGTAGCAGCCGTGGGACTTTCTTTTTGTTCTCTCTCGAATCACCGAGCGATACACCTCCGTACTGTTGAATACGTATATGCTGCCAAGCAGTACCCCGCTGTCCTCGGTTGGTGGCGTTTTGGGGGCTACACAAGGCTGAGGACGCACTTCAATACGCTAAAGCAGAAAGATTCCCATCTTCCATCTGTTCCTTCCCTTTTCTAGCCTTGAATCTTGTAATTCCCACTGCCCTCAGGAGTTTAAAGGACATGAGCGAAGACAACGGTCACCCAACGCGCGATGGAGATCAGAACCAATGCCGTACTAATCATACCGTATACGAAACTCAACTCGATGACGGTTGCGATACGAATTCTCGACCCCAGCAGCCACTAGGCGACGTTAATACTCAGGGTGATGAAGATCGGGATATGCATCCGTCAATACATCTTATACCTGCTAGCGACAGAGATGAAACACAATATAACCCCCAGTCGACACATCACGTATCTGGTAGTGACAGAGATGACGATCAGAATGTTTATCAGTCGACACAGCTCATATCCGTTAGCTGTAGAGAATCAACTGCGCCCACCCCTGGATCTTCAGTGACGCAACGTAAAACAAGTGTCACCAGACCACCATGGTTATCGTCAACCTGGGCACGCCCGCGAGCTACTATTGCTCTTATCATCTTATTCTATCTTACTGGTACGTGCATAAACCCACAACTGCCAAGAACAATAGCCTTACACTATTCAGCTGTACTACTCGCCACTGCCCATGCAATCTTTTACATTCGCCTCGACGGTACTCTTGCCGAGAACCGTGTACTAGAACAATCTGAGGTCACCGCCATCTCTCTGCTCATCACGACGTTGTTCAGAGCAAGCCTAGTCGCCAGCGTAGGCCTTGCATTCACACAACACTTATGGAGGATATTTCGACAAAGGCTCCTGCGCATAGCTCAGATAGAGCAGCTGTTCCATATCCGCTCAAACCCCCTTGAGTTGGCCAAAGTCAGTATCGTGAAAGATGCGCCTTTCCTGTTCCTCATGGCTATCTTCGCTTGGCTTTTGCCTCTAGCGGTGATCTATCCTCCGTCGTCTCTTACGGTTACTTCCCGACCCTATACCTCGATTCAGAACAACAGCATCTCGATCATGAATGCACCTCCTCCAGATGATGTCGACCTCCTTTATCCTGATGATACTTCGGTCCCCAGTCTCGCGTATTTAAATAGGGCTTCCATGCCACGAAACTCAGGGTTGACAACATCCGAGTCAGATGGTGTAGTAAGTTATACTTATGTGTGAGTTAATGGACTATCGCGTTTCGTTGACCTTGCTGACCCATCACTTAGCCAGCCTTCTAGACCAGTTTTCAGCCTAGCAAAACTGGTTTTACTGACTGGGGAGATTTTGGCGTTCCCGTCGCCAAAGAGTGAGAACATGAGCTACTTCTTGGAGTACCGAACCCTACAGCTTGATTGCAAGCAAGAGATACGAAACTGGACGTATAGCAACAAGATTAACGACTACGATCCCATGTTCAAAATTATCTGGAATTCTACAGTTTTCAACATCAGCACCATACGCTATCCTGGATTTTACGGTTATGATGAATCTTCCAAGGAGTACAAGTATGCAGTAAGCACCGAAAGCTCAATCTGTGAGCCCTTCTCGGCACTGATGAATCTGGATATCTCATTCACTCGAGGCGTACGGGACATCAGTTACACTATGAGAGGCAAACAGCCAATGCCCAATATCACCAGAAGCGAATACAGATTCCCGTACGGGAAAGGCAAACCATGGCCGAACATTTCCGATGTTCCCGATGGCACTTCGGAGTATGCTGATTGGGTTCTGCAGACAAGAGACCGTCTTACAAGCTGGGATACTTATGCGCCAATGGATGCCTCTCTCCAGAGTCTGCAATACACATGGGAGGGCTTCAAGGGTGATCTTGAAGACTGGGATTATACGCAATGGAACGGGACCATGCAGCCATTGTTTAACAGTACTATCAGGAGAAGTATGCCTTTAGAAATCTTTTTAGCTCTTATGAACGTCTTGTCCGCATGACTGACCCATTATTTATAGACGACACGATCATTGAGTGGTCTGCGTTTAACGCACAGCGATACAATGTCACTTCCATATACAACACAGAAATCGATGACACAGTGGAGTTCGGAAACGATTACAATTGGATATGGAAGGAGGACTTTGACCCACGTCGAGATCTAGATTTGAGCGAAGATATGCTCAATGAATTTCTTACTAATGTGAGCATCTCGGCACTCAACCTCGACACATGGCGCGTACCATATCCAGTCAACATAACGGAGTATCGGACCACGTATCACTTTTCCAGGCCCATGAACTTGATCATTCCATACGCTTTGTCTCTCGCCTTCGCACTCGTTTCCATTGGTATCGGGATCTGGTCGCTTATAGCGAACGGTGTTCCTGCGTCGGACGGAGGTTTCTTGCAGGTTGCGACCGCGACAACAAGCCGCACTGAGATGGACAAGCTGATTGAGAGCGACAGCGCTGAAAAAAACCAGGATGGTGTTAGAAGACAGCTGTTAGGTATGAAGATCCGCTACGGAGAGCTAGTAGACGACGGTGGCGTAGGTGCAGGTCGGGCGGGCTTTGGAACGCTTGCTGAGACGAGGCCGCTGGGAACGAGAACAAGTAAAGAGTAGCTGATCCTGGGTTACCTTCCCTGATAAAGCTTTCAGAGGCTTGGAGATGAGTAATATTTTCATAGTGTGTCCAGCCCTGTATTATGGAAATTAGGTTTTTTCCATTAATCCGTCATGTTCAGCTCCACTACGGCATACCGAAGAAGGTTGTTTTCGCAGCTTGCGTTGGAATTCTCTAATAGCACTGTTAAAATCTAGAATAAGAGCAGCACCGTGTGTCTGCAGATGCTTAAGGGCCATAGCAGTCATACCAGCTCAGCTAATCGCGTCTCTATCCTTGCGTTGCCGTACTCAGACAAAATTGTGACGGCCGAACCCCGTGAGGCAGTAATGATTAGCTCTGATAACATGTGTATTTCTGATGATGTTCAAAACCTGTTGTGGCTCCCGACAGAGTATCGACCAGCGAGCGCAGCTGTGTCAGGCACTGTAGGTACCGGGTCTGGAAAAGCTTGGATATGTCGCCTGCAGTGATATCCATAGTCTGGATATTTTTACTGTATGTCATAGCGCTAACTAGTGAAAAATGCTAAAAGTAGCTGGTGGTGGGCTTCTTGTGGATAGTGGGTGCGTTGGGGTGAAGCTTTGAGCTGTGGGTTGGTAGGAATATCGCGAAGGGGTTTTTGGGTCCAGATTAGGGAATTGGAGATTTTTGACATTGAGTCTGTGGTGGTTGCGTATAGTTTGGGATTGAGTCTTCGAAGGAAGATCTGATGAGCTATCGACGTTTCAGTGTATCGTGTACTTCTTGATTGGCCTGTCGCTTGCGAGAGCTTCGCCATGCATATAACCATGGATATAAACGTCCCCAACGTAGCAATACTCATTGCTTTCTCCTTCCGCACGCAGAATGACGGGTGTAGAACAGCCAAGCGGTACGATGATGATGTCTTCGCAGCTCATGAAACCCGTTCCCATGCCCATCGAACCGTCTCTCGTGATGCAAAAGGTCCTGCCCATCTGTAGAATTACATTAGGTCAGCAGAGAAAGTGATGTGAAAGATTGCACGCACCATCCTGTCCCCGAAGTATTTCTGAATGAATGATCGTAGCTCATGGGTTTGCAAGTTGTCCGATTCCCGTTGTTGCTGGAACTTGGGGTCCAGCTGAAGACGTGGGAATCGTTCCTGAATCCATGAAGAGAAAATGTGATAGCAGGCTGTTGTCCAGCACTACTCCAGTTCCTCGAGTGGCTGGCCTAACGAGAGCGTTTTGCAGAAGTCATTGACGCGCGGATGCTCCATCTCTTCGTCTTCCGTAATGTCGAAATGAGAGAGAAGCAGCACCCGCCAATTCAGAAAGGCCATGAGATAATCTTGTAACGAGCACAGAGTGCCTACCGCCACACCGGTCGTTTCAATGATATCTAATTCGATGGCAGATATCTCAAGCTTCCGGAATTCGTCCTTGAACTCGTATTCCGCGTCGCTGTCGCTTGCAGCCGAGAAGTCATCTGAAGACAAAGCCGAGTTTTCTGGAACCTGAGCCCAATTTGGACACCATGTAGGCAAGTCGGTAAAGCTGACCTGAACAGGAAAGTGAATCGCTTCGCGTATCACATCAAGGCGATGCGTGGAGCAGACGATGAGTCGGGCGACTTCCAGGTATAGAGACTTGACGGATGTGTCATAACTCACATGTAGGCCCTTGCGTATATCGGTTGGGAGTATGCCTAGCACACCGAATATCTTATCCCTTGGGTTCTCGCTTAGCTTCCTTCGGCAAGCTCTTAGAACTTCTAGCAGAGAGTCTGGGCCCAATTCCATGAGATGTCGAACGTCTGGAAAGCTACTTGGTCCTGTCCGGAGGTAAGGGTCGCTTTCGTGTTGCCAAAGAGCATCTGATGCGTTCTTATGTAGGTACCAGGGGAGTTTGGAAGAGCCGCAATAGACTATCTTGCTCTTTGCATGAAACACTTCCTGTACAACCCAAAGCCGACTCCAATAACCTCTCCTGAATAGAGAGCGCAAAGCTTTCAAGTCGCGTTGTTCCAAAAGGCTGATCCATTCACTTGTCGCTGAGGCCGCCGAATTCATCAACAGTTGTGTTGCCCGCCCACTATCATCCGCTTCACGTCCAAGCCAAATGGCAACACATGTTGCCTGTCGATAAATTTTGTCCATCAACTGGACCTGCTTGGCGCGTTCTGTTTTGTTCTTTTGGTCAATTGAGAGTCCGTCTATCCAAACAAGAATAGCGTTGTCTAGTTCGCGGACAGCCATTAGGGCATCGTAAAGATTCGCGTTGACTGAAACACCTTCAACGCCTTCCAAAGTCATCTGTCTCTTATCAAAGCCATCCCCCCATGCATGAGAAATTGCTATATAATCTGGTGGATGGTGAAGCGAACTATAGACTATCCCGCACTCTAAGCCTTGTTTATTCTTCGTGGACACCTTTATAAGCCGAAAATCATTTGCCCCTTGCAGTCCTCTATACACGAATTCTCCTGCGGTAGGAATCTTCACAGAGCTGCTCACTGTAGTACCGAGATTCGAATCGGCCAATGAGATTCCTTCAGCGGAGCCAGCATACGCAATGCTTGCTGCAAGCTATATGCCCTCGGCAGTGATGGTGAGGCGGTCCGCTAACTGGTTTATAGAATTCTGTTCTGGATGGGTTTCCTGAACAGACTGCGTGGTTTCCTCGAAAGTCTTCTTCTTTGTCACGTCAATCTGCGCAGGTTAGCAATGCTCGACCACGGAACGTCTTTACGTTGATGTTACCTCTTGATATGCAGTATGGGAGGAACGGCTGATTGATTTGAAAAGGGCATTAAAACGATCGCTGGCTTGCTGGCTCGTAGTAGGCAAGAGACCATTATCTTGCTGTATCGGGGTCTCAGGGAGATGATCGCCTCGCCTCTCCGGCCTTGTGGACAGTTTCCTATGGGTGCGGGAACCCTTTTTTAATTTCTTCATAGTTTCCCTGTATCGTGATCAACCGCACTGTTTGGTTCACCGCTGAGCTATGTGGTGGTCAGTCGAATCGAAAGAAGCGGCTGTTCGCAACACAGCCTGATGCGGGGCTTTCAGCTATGGTGTGTCAGCCAGGCTGCAGGATTTTCCAAGCGAGCAAATGATGTTATCGGACGAATACCTGCTTTGGAATATTGCCTTTTGTGCTGCATATGGGAAGTACACACGTGTATTGCTGGTAGTGGATGGAATCGCGTCATGGTGGTGACAGTCACCAATGGCATAGTGGGTGAAATGATCTTAACACCAGGTATCTCTTGACGCGGTCCCGTCGATGATAAAAGAATACTGGTAGTTGAGACATGAACCTTCTGATAGTGGTTACTAACTACAACGTGTCGAGTGGATTTCAATATCAGCCTAGGGTCATCATAGAGCCTCACACAAGCCATGGCTTTCACGGACCTTGAAACGTCTGGCCTTAGATCTTTCGTGGAATGTATATGGGAGAGAGTTCTTGAGTATGAAGCCATGGCCAGATCGCGTGGCCTTCAAGTGGACGCTGGGACTCATTGTATCACGTCTGTGGGCTGTGAGTCAGAAACGCGTCAAGTTTCCATGAATAAGCGACTTGAAGCGACCTGTCACCGATGGTGGTACAAGTTTGAGGGTAATAGATACTACCATGACTGTAAAGAATGGTCGGACAAGGCAAAACTCCAAGAATATACTGTACCAGAGGATGTGCGTATCCCAGACCTGGCCTAGCAAGAAACTGCTCACAAGAAACGATAGGTTTTCAGTCGAGCGTGAGCCTCTTCAGCAAATCCCACCGAGTACCGTAGGATGGTTTGCGTTCCAGTTGTGCGGGTCGAGAGCGTTGGGTTCGATAGGCTGGACAGGATTGCAAAGGTCACAACTGTGAGAGTGGCAATACCATAGGCGCAATGCAAAAGCATGACCTTCGCGTGGCTGTGTACTATTGAGACTAAGACGGCGTGTTGGCTGATCGGCTAACGTTCCCTCCTTCCACAACGACACATCGATCTATTCAACTAGACATCTCCCCGTGCACAGACTCTGTAAACCGGAGGCGTTTGACCAGACCTTCAGCGACGTCAGCTGGTGTGCTACAAGCATGACATTAACGTACTACATGACACAAACTGACGAGCCGAGAAGTGCCGATTGTGCCGTCCAAACCAATGGTAACGCGTCGACCTGGTGAGGAAGGCATAACCGTTGTAGCGCTGCTAAGCTGGTGCACCGCATATGCAAAGTTCAAGCCACGAAAAAGGGAAAAGATAAGCATACCATATAACGATCAGATTACTCGAGTATCGCTTTGGTTCAACAACCAAGGACGGATAACAAAGGCGAAAGGTTACCTTGTCGAGTTTACAACGCGCGTCGTTTTGAACAAAAGCGTTCATACGGTGAAGCCCTACAGTGTGCAACTCTGGTCATCCTCACCCTTGCTTTCCCCAAACCGAGGGGAATTCTCCGAATGGCCAAACACAGAGCTTTGTGTATGATGGTGCAACAAAGTGGGCATGCTGTATCGCCCTGCGCTCTCCTAGTGCTACCTGATACAAATCTTGCAGCTGCCACAAGCGAACCACTCGGCTTAGTCGCCGTTTTTGTGTAATGATGACACGGAGGGCTGATGGTGGTGGTGGTGGTGGTGGTGGCTAGCAGACGTGGTGCTTCTGATCGCGAGCGGAGAACGGTTTCCGTGTCGGCTCATTTCCCGAGCATAATGTCGTGTTACGTCTACATTGACGTTTGCTAGAAGGGGTTTGGACCTGATAGGCAAATGGAATGCTACTAATGCTCAGGGGTATTGTTTAACCGTCTCGTTCATCATGGAGCGAACTGTAGAACACCGATGATTGCATTCAGGACAAACAATAATAGATTCAAGAGCATAATGCGATTGATAGCTGATTCCCTACATATCCAATCTCTAAGCCCCATAAATGTAACGGCCGTCTCCACATCTTCCATAACAGTCCAAAGAACCAAATTGATTAAAGCAAAGAACTTATAGAGTTCTGCCATGTATACGAATAAGATGAACAGGACACGATCGACGAACCGGGTATATCTTGTGCATGTGAATGCCTGCCCAAAACGAAAATAAGAAAGAAAACCCACCAGCTCCGTAACGCACGGTAGATGCAACAAAGAATCGTAAAAACGTAGGTGCGGGGTTACAGGGTGTGTGTCGGGGGGGAGTATAGAAGCAGTCATCAACGAAAGTGCAGATTGCCAAAGCAATGGCAATGGCTAAGAAAACAATAAAACAACGCCCCCGCTTCAATGCAAAACAATGGAACTCAGCTCGAAAATGGAATCCAGCTCGAAAATAGGTTCCAGCTCGGATGTCCCCTTCTCCTTGTCCAACATCTTCTGTTCAAGCCAAAGCTCGAACATGTTCATCTCCTTTATGCAGGCGGTACAATCACACTGCCAATCCATATGATACCTGTCATCGGGATAATGTGCAGGCGGTACAATATCACTGCCAATAAATATGACAGCCCAATCGGAATGATCGCTGTCAACAGGACAATGCACATACCCTCCACTACACTTCGCACCATACATCAAACACTATTGATGAGGGTACGGCAGTGGACCACCAACCGGTCGCTCTTGGCCCGGACCCCCTGGCATCCTCGAAGCAGTCCAAGAGAACATGGCCATATCACAGATGCGTGCAAGGACCTGTTGCGTAGCAGATCGAGACTCGTGGCTGATAAAGGACATGGCGACGAGAAGCTTGTTCAAGTCGCTCTCAGGAGGTTGGCCGACAGGAGTAGGCAGAGCATTAGGGAAACCACCGATGCGGGAACCGTAGTGCCGTGCGATGGCGATAGAGTAGATGGCGTCGCGCACCTCACGCATGTGCAAGACGGTACGCAGGATACCCAAAGCGTTATCTGCGGCTCCTGGGGGTGCGATATCGGAATCAGAATATTGGACGAAATCACCAAGATGTTGCCAGAAGCTGACTTGTGCCCTCGCCTCGTCATCCAGGTTGGACGGATATTCGAGTTGACGCGTGGGGTTAGACTCCAAGTTTTGGTTTGTAAGGAGAGCTTCCAGGACGTCGAGTCTTGCTCTAGCTTCTCGCATTTGGAAATCCTCGCCCTCTGGCGGCGAGCCATTAGTGGCCGGGAGCATATGCTTGCAAGTGCTTAGCAGGTGCCATAAAAGACGAGCTTCTTGACTAAAGATGCTCGTCATATCAGCATCCTGGGTAGCCTTGTACTTGATGGTCTCGGTAAAGAAGGCGGCCTCTTCATGTAGGTATCGGTCGCTGAAAACTCTATTGAGCGCATTGTTGTTAGCTGAGAACCAGGTGGTTTCGAGTACGACGTCGAGGCCTTGACAATAGTCGTTGAGGAAGATGCGGGAGAATTCGTCGTCAAGTTCACGCGGCACTGGTGAAGTTCGCTGAGGAACGTCGGGCGGGCTGTGGTTACATATTCCGAAGAGGTCTTGCATATTCAACCGCTTGCCTGAATCTGGGTTAGGATTAATAAGACGATGAGGAGCAGGGTACCAACCTTTCATAGGCTCTGGTGGAGGTGGGTAAGGGTTGGCACCTGGAGGCCCTCTCATGGCGGGATCCATGGTGTGTACACCGTTGTAATGTTGGTTTTGTTGAAGACCAGGATCGGCCTGCGCGAGTGCAGGGTCTATGGCGTGGAAGTTGGCCTGCTGATGCTCTCCGCTCGTAGCAGGTGCGGCAGTCGCGTACCCAGCAGACGAGGCAGGCGCGTAACCCTGGGGTACCGGACTCTGGCTGTAGTTGGAGGACGACGGGGCCGGCGCCGGTGCGCTTGTCGCGTGGGGTGCGGGCGCTGAGTTGGGGGCAGGTTGTATTTGGGCGGGACCGGATTGCTGTTTGAAAATTGGGTCGTAACCAAGACACTCTCGTTTACTCTTCTGACAGTTTCTACACATGGGGTGGGCTTCGTCGCACTGTGGGGATGGTGGTTAGCGCATGTGCAGGTGAGTAATGATGTTGGTGCGCGATGCAGAAAATTTGCCAGAAACAAGACCAAGGGTGTTGGCAGCGCACGACAACATGGTTGATGTAGCTGGCGCTCCAACACACTTGCCAACCGTGTTGCTGCACCGTGCTGCACAGTCGGTCGTTTCTGACACGCGAGAGGTTGGATTAGAGGAGTTTGGGTTCCTCGCTCGGTTAAGCAAGCGACCAGGCAATAGCTCCTCTGGCTTCGCGTCGCGTCTGCACCGCGTCTCATTGACGTATGCACTCACCTTTATTCTTCGCTTGCGACATGTCAGACAGCCAGTCTTTGTGCGCCGCTTGATTTCCTTCTTGTGGCGACCGCCAGATAGCACTCTCTGATCGCCCTGCGGCGGCAGCTGGTATCGCATCGCATTGAACTGCGGACCGCCCATGTTGCCCATCATGGGCTGTCCGGGCTGCGCATGCCCTGGGTGAGGGTAGTATTGCTGCATGCCGTGTTGTGGTGGTGGGAGTGGAGATCCCATGGGCTGGGGCGGCTGCTGAGGTTGCGCCTGGGACTGCTGTCCATCTTGCAGACGTATTGGCGGCAGATTGAGGGGCGGCAACGACATCTGAGCGCCTTGCGGAGAGCTGCGATAGCCCTCGTTGCTCTGCTGGCCTTGGGGAGGCGGATACGTGTATGTGGGCTGCATTGAGGGCGACGGGTACGAGTGCGGTGAAGGATAGGCGACGGCCTGCTGCTGGCGCGACTGCATGTTAGGGTCGGCCATGCTCTGGTGGGAAAAGTGAGTCGGGGCGGGCGAGTAGGGCGCCTGGTTGACCTGAGTGGAAAAGTCGTGCGACATGGGCTAGCAATGGAGTATGCCACCAGGGCGCTCGACAGTTCTTGGGGATGTCTTGAAGAGCACGGCGGCGCTAGAAAGCTTGAGGCGGATGGGAAGAGGGACGGCAAGCCTGGCAAGGAACTGGGATTAGCTGAGTTGGCGAAGGCGTTTTGACCCGCGGAACAGGGGCCTGGTCTCGCTCGGTTCGACGCCGCCGGCCGCAGTAGTTGTGCGTGCACTACATGGATAGTACTGGATAACTGAACTGAATAACGCGGGAAAAAAAGTTCAAATGACAGCGGGGCCAGCAAGGGGAGACATGCAACACAGAGACGCTGAATTGCCAAAGGACGACAGCAGCGGCCTGCTGCGCCAAAGAAAACACGTCGCGAGTGCGCGATATCCCTCACAGCCGTCTAGGAAGTGGAGTGTGGGCTGCAGCATGGCTAGCCGCCTTTAGCAGGTAGAGAGTGCATGTGGCAGTGCCATGAATGAGTCGACCGACTTTGACTTACAAGAAGCGAGCTCGCTTGGGCGGGTAGTAGGCGAAAGCAGGGTACGCTGGTGACAAACTAGCCACGCGCGCGGTGAGTTGGCTGAAGTCGTCTGCGAACGCGGCGAAGAAATGGCGGCAAGCAAGATGCAGCATTAGTGAACGGGGAATTTCTGTCCAAAAGGCTAAAGACGCAGACCGCTCCCAGGTTCAAAAAGAACTGCAACCCCGATTGTCACACTAACCCCATCGGGGACAATCACGTGCTGTACCATGGGTCCCGCCACACCTCCAGGCCTGTTCTTCCTGCAATCAGCTTCGTCCCGCGCATCCAATGCACACGTCTATTGGATCACTGCATCCATTGGAGCTATGCGCGCGAGCTCCAGGTACCTTGCTGAGCGTAGCAAATATGCGGCGTGCAGTGTCATTCCATTACCCGCGGGCCCGTGTATGGGCCTCGGTGCTTTTGGGATGCCAGATGAACACAGAACTTGCAGCCAGCCTTTGGAGCGACGCAAACTGCGGGAGAAGGGCGTCAACCCCATCCGTCCCGGACTGGCAAAATTTAATTAAGGCTGATTGCGCAGTACCTGGGTCCCGGCGAAACCGGCGCGGGATCTCTTCTCGAACACCTCCCTCATACTGTAGTCGATTCGCCTACCTACCCTCTGTCGCTTAGCTATCGGTGGCTTGCTCATGCAGCATCACCGACGAACCATTCTGTGGCAGCCTGCGCTTTTTCGATCCCCGGGCTTGATCTTGATCACGCAATGGCCTCTGAGTGCCCACATCAGGACCCTTTGCATCGTCAATCGCTTGAGCAGGGATGACGTATGGTCCCGTTGTGACAGCAGTGCGCTGTCCAACGCACTCTGAATGAGACCAAGCACAAAAGCACTCCATCTCCACAATGCGTCTACGGGCCGGCTTCCCTTTCCAGCGGGTACGCATCGTCCTATCTAATGACGCGTGCTGACAGCGGACAGCGAAGTTCCGTTTGTCCAATGCTCAATTTCCCTGGCTATTTACCCGCACCCAACGGCCGCATATCTCAAGGGCGGCGGCTCCAGCCACAACGCCGTCTGAAGAGCTAGACTGCAGCCAGAGTACCCAACAACTAAGTACCAGTATCTGGTGGTTACCAAGCTGTCGAGGTTTATCAAGCGGATAGATAATTGCATCCCAGGTCGAGCTGAGTAGCTGAGTGTGACCAATCTGTAGGACGTGCATCAACGGCAAGACTTGTCCTTTCGCATAGGATGGCGGATAGCACTAGGTGTCCCTTCAACACGTGTCGAAATATCTACTGGATACCCCGCCACCATCGCCGAACAAATTCCACGCCAAATAATTTGGTTGGACTTCGCGATGCGCGCATCGCTTGTCGCGTCGCATTGCTCCTCCCTTGTTCAGTGTTACACGGACAAGCAGAAGAGACCCTGGCTCTAGGGCTGACAAGCTGCATCTACTCCGGAGTAGAAGCGCCGCTACAGGAGCGTACGGACATCATCTGCGCGCTCACTCTGTGCGACATTCAAGCATCGCAGCGATACCGGAAAAGCCAACAAAAGCGCAGCTAATTACCATGCATTTTCGCAAAAGTTGAGCGGGCTCGCGCGATGCTGAAAGTTATGTACAATACGATCTCGTTTATCTGTTCGCGAGACGAAGGCAAGGAAAGCCAGGTCAGGGATCACCCTAGCAAGAGCGAAAAGCATCGAACGCTTCGAGAACAAAGTTCCCAAGGTTGTACGCCAACCGAGCGACGCAGGCGAGCAAGCCAGCGAGTCCGCCCCGCTCTCGGTTAGAGGACGCCATGGACCGACATCGCTGCTGCTACCATGGCTGCAGGCTGCAGTAATCAACATGCAATAGTATTTTGCAGGACCGGAGATGCGACTTTACAGTATGATGACGTTTCGGAGCGACATGGTAGATGCTGAGCGCGATGGCTACATTGTAAAGGTCTTTGCAGGCACAAGGCCTGGAGACCCTGGATAAGTTCGTATCTTTAGGTTTGCACTACGGCTGTCGCGAACGGACTCCCTCAAGTGTCCCAGAACCCATGGATATAGCTGAGCATCAGCACAGACTCTAGTTCAAGCGTTATAGGTCACTGGCATGACTTGTCGCTGTGAACTTCACGATGTCTCGAAGAGCAGACGTCACCTGCGACTTCATACTCTAGACAACACGTTACACTAACATTTCTACAAGTATACCTCTAGTCGCATGTCTTCCCCGTCGTCGTTACTTTCTTTTGACGATTTAAAACTCTGATGAGCGTCGTCTGTAGCGCCTCTACTGTTGCGAACCCTATGGCGCGTCTAGATGAATACGTTGTCTTTACCAACTGTCATATCGACTCGGAAACATCTTCTTGAGCTCCAAGTTCACCTGAAAGGTGGTTGATACTTGCAGCTCATGAGTAGGTACCAGGCACTCCCGTGGTACGCTGATCTGGCTCTGCCTGAGCAGTATTGCAACTGCATGGCACGAAAGCAACAGCGCATTCGACTATGCAGATATCATTCATAGTGATTTTACTAGATTACGCTGACTTGACTGTGGCTGTCACGTATACATTGTTCTAATAAGCTCGCAAGGATTCGTTCAATGTTAGTGGCAAAGATGTGGTCCTCAATCATGGTTCGAGTATAGGGAGGTTTTCAGTTGTAAGGCATCGAAATGATTGCACGTAACATAAGTGGGTTTGCAAGGAGATTGAACCAGAGTTGCTATGTACGGTACTGTGTTCCAACTTCAGGCTGCCGTTTCGCTACCAACGAACACACACCACACCTTTATAAAACCAGGACGCCCTTTCTTCCCCGCCTTGCTCAAGATTAGACTTTTCCCCCTCAGTTCACCGCCGTTCTCAACGACATCTTACCTCGATTCCTGAAGCTTATAGTGGTCTTTTTATCCTTTAGACATGGACGCAACACTTGTGCAACGAAAGAGGGACGCTCTGACGTTGCTTTCTGGTATGCTTACTTCAGTTCTACAAGGAGATTTTCCAGTAACAAATCGCCTTTCGGCACAGCCCGCTTTCGCACTCAACGCGCTTTCTGTGGAGCACACAACGATATCCGAGACCAATGCCAACGAACGAGATGTCTTCAAGACAGACATGAATGATCTGGATCTCGGCCCCAGTAGCGAGTCAGAAGCCAGTTCCGATGAAGATAGGCCGATCAGGAGCACTCGGCAGCTCAAGTCTGAGGTACGCAGACTCAAGGTGATAATTAGAAGAGCAAACCGTCGAACAACCCGTCGTGCCGCACGAATTGCCAAACACCTGGATCCCAGCCAGGCTGCCGCGGTATTCGACAGTTTGGGGGGCTTGTTGACCCCTCTGCAAGAGCCGCAGCATGTCACAGAAGACACGCTGGACAAACGCATGACTGGAGTAGCATCACAGGAGGGTGATATTGCGGAAGCAAGCGATTCGGCTCTAATAAACTTAGAAGCCACTAGCTTCTCACTCAGCTCTCCACCCAATTCACCCCCTTCCCCCACGCCCATCTCCACACATAACTCTGACATCCTCGCAGAGGGTACATCATGGCTCTGCAAACCGTGCAATAGCTCGTACACTCACCTCGACGACTACCGCAGCCATAAGTGGGGTAACGCATACCACCAAAAAAATGTTGCCGATTACAAGCGTCTGCGTCCCACGTACCGAGAGGAGGAAGACGATGTCGAGCAAGTACCAAGCTGCGACCCGGTAGGACATTACTGCGTCGACTGCGACTTCAGAACCCCAATGGATGGTGACTGTAGACGCCATTTGAGATCTCAGTGGCATGCGAGCCATGTGGCCAGGAAGCTACAACGCAGGGACGGGGTGATGAAGAAGACGAAGAGCGCACCCATGACGAAAGGCGGGAGGCCGCAGCAGTATTGCAAGGACTGCGATAGTTGGAGTGTTAAAATCAATTGGGATCGTCATTTAAAAGGCCCGATGCATGTGGATAACGTCGCGAAGAACCTGCGATTAAGGAGTGATGAGGAAGTGTTTGGAGAGACGGAAAAGGTGGGAGACTGGGTGGAGGCTGACGAGATGAACGAATTACGCAGTGAGAAGCCTGGCCATTACTGCAAGGACTGCGACCGCTTTTACGCCACGCAGAATTGGAGCCGTCATCTGAAGGGCTCGGTACATGCAAGTAACGTTCTGAAGAACAAACATTGCGACAAGAGTATTGTGCTGCCGACTCCTCCGGACTCCATTGTAGAAGTAGAAGGGCTCGAGACTCTACCTACAGAGCAGCCAGAGCGCTACTGCGAAGCCTGTGACATATACCCTGGTGTTCGTTGGGCGCGACATGTGGCTTCTCCAAGTCATTCGTTCAACGCCATCCGTTTTCCCCGTCTTAGCAGATGTACTACAATTGACGCAGACACCAAAGGCGACGAGGATATCACTGAAGATGAGAGTATTGCAGAGGATAGCGGCAGCTTAAAAGGGGTAGAAAGATCCTCTTCCTCTTCCGTCATGGAGCTGGTCAAAAAGGTGCGAGTAAAAGTACAGGAGAAGGGACAGTCGCAAGATGAGCACGAGGAGCCTGAACACTACTGCGAAGACTGCGACTGCAGGTACTCTGGTAGCAAGTGGGAGCGCCACCTAACATCTGACGAGCATATTGAAAATGTCGAGAGGAGTATGGTGCGGGATGGTATACAATGCGACGAGGATGAAGATGAGGACATGCAAGGCGATGAGATCTTGCAGCACGAAGCAGATGTGCAGATCTCCTCCCATGCCTTGACGTCTCCCGCTTCCTCTTCCCTTCCTCCCACACCGGTAGAATCAGCATGTCCAGAATACTATGTCGGCGGAATTCCTCCACACCAATCTTCTTCCAGACGTCCTTCAGGAAAACAGGACTGGTACTGCGACATGTGCGATGCCAACGTCTCCGTTAGCAGCACCTGGGCAATTGGTGTACATATGGCTGAAGACCAAGAAGCCCTGTATGAGAAGTGGAGGATTAAGAGTTTGGAATCGAGTAAAAGGTTTTAGGTTAATGTTTAGGTGAGGGGGTCGGATGAGGAGGATATCTGGACACGGCAGTTGGACAAGGCTGCCATGTAGAGGGTTGAACACGGCTGACAGTACTTATGGAATATATGTAGATGATCGTATCAGCACAGTATAACTTTTGGAACATTACACTGCCTACGTGATTGGACTAGGAGCTCGCTTTATTCCTGTGTTGCTTCCACAAGTACCAACAAGCTCCAGTGATGAACGTGATCGGTACAGTAGTAACCACCCATAACCACCACAGTCCTATCACCTCGAAAAAAGTCGTACTGGGTGTTGACTGGAAGAGTCCAGCACTCAACACACTCTTTCTTATCTGTCAGTAGCCATATAGACATAATGGGTGTGATACTTACAGCGGCGGAAGTTCCAGGTAAGAAAACCATGGTGAGCAGCGCAATCGATGTCATGCTAGTGCTATCTCTCTTCGTCTCGGCAGCAATCTGTATCGTGTTGAGGGTATGCTCTTGTGCCCATTTGTTCATGGAGATGCTGCACAAGCAATCCTGCAGAGACCGAATAGGGCAGTAATCGCGATAAGCGAATCCTTTGGACGCCGACCACTGTAGTCGGGGCGTGCGCTATCAAGGCGAAGCTAGCAGCTGAGTTTTACAACAGACTCATTCATACAGTATAGGTAATTGGTCGATAATTTCTGGGATGTGCATGCAGGCTGACCAACCTAAGGCGACGAGGCTGAGGCTCTGTTCTTCGATCTCTTTCCATCTTGATCCTACCATGTCTCACTCCAACGCAACATCAGATTTGACATTGAAGCTTCATCAGCAGACATGTTACGCACCGTCAACGATGTCGAACTAGCCAACCTGCATGCTGAGTCGCAGGTGTCTCTTCTACAAGACTGCCAGCGAACGATCAATACACCATCGACGTAAGAACTCACGAGGCTACCTCATCCCTTTCACTGACCAGTGATACAGTCGTTTTGCGTCTATTAAGATATTGGAGCCTTGGTTTCCAGATGTGAATCCCCAATTCGCGCGCCGCAACAAACGTTTCTTCGATCGAGATGTCGCCTTGTTCTTCATACAACTGCTCTCCGTCCTAGTCCTCGGTTTCAACCTTTCAGTCACCATCTATGCTCTTGTTAGGTTCGGGGCTCACAGCAACATCAGTGATTTTCTTGGTGCGGAGAGTGGTGGTAGTTGCGCTCTCGTGAAGGTCTGGAACAGGTGGCTCCACTTTGGGATCAACGCGCTTTCCACGATCCTCCTTGGCGCAAGCAACTACTGTGCGCAACTTCTACTCGCTCCTACCCGAGAAGAAGTCAACAAAGCACACTCTCGATCGCGATGGCTCGACATTGGTGTCCAAAGTTTTCGCAACTTCCGCGCTGTTGGACCGAAGCGGCAGATCCTATGGGCGGTTCTCATGCTGAGCTCAGGTCTACTGCACCTTTTGTGAGTACACCGCGTGCCAGTCCTCTTACAAACAACTAATGAGTTTCGAATCCAGTTGGAACTCGGCAGTGTTTATGGCGAATCCTGTCAGCAAATACTCGATAGGCTACGTTACTGCTGACTTTGTAGACGACGTACAACCGTGGCAACGCCTTGCCAGTCCCGACCTCGAACACATTCGCAACAACACTTCGACAGTGCGGCAGTTGAGTAACAAAGATTGCATTGCAGAATACGCGGGTAGACTGTCTGGCCTCAGCAGTTTGCTAGTGGTCAGCAGCGATGTCATGATGGCTGACGAACGCTCTTTCGACGAGGGTAATCGGCAATCCTCCCTGATACGTAACGAAAGCACGCTAGTTATTGCGATGGATTGGCGCCTGAATAGCGATTGGATGTGCACCGCCTGGTCGACCTACGGCACGCGTTCGAAGTACACATGCACGCGCAAGTTCTTGGAACCTCAAGCAGAGAATTGGACGGTGATACAACATCACGAAGATCCGAACCGCACAGTCTCGATAAAAGTTGATCACTGCCTCGTCTTGGATAATCTGCAGGATATGCAGGACAGGTGTGTGTTGCGCATAAGCAAGATGATCCTAGGTTTGGTCACTGTGCTGAACCTGATCAAATGTGTTTGCATTGCCCAAACAGTACGCATGCACAACCAGTTCGGGATACATAGGAATGTGCGAGCTGAGCCTAGCGATGGTTCTATCACCGCCAAACCCAACAACTCTGTCCGGACAATCCTCAATTCAAAGTCACACCTAGACCCTGTCGCTCCTTACTTAGTCACAATTGGCGATGCTATTGCTAGTTTCCTAGAAGAGGAAGACTCGCATACCAAGCAGTGTATATTTGCGACGAAACGCGATGTGGAGAACAAAGGGTTCTGGGATACTCATCGCTCATACTCGAACCTTGCTCCAGAACGGTGGTACCAAGCCGCCAGCCGCAGACGCTGGATCATCACTATGTTCTTGTAAGTAGGTCTCGCGTGCCTCTCGCAAGTACTAACAATGTTAGATGTGCTGCAACGATTGGAACCGTTGGCGGCCTACTTCGAATGACTTTGTCTGTTCAACAAGCCGTGGGAGTCGACATCAGCCTACCTTCACTCTGGGGTTACGGATTTGGCGCGCAGCAACAATGGGCACTAGCCCTCACTGGGGTCACAGATCATCTCGGCCCGTCCAAAGGATTCTTCTTCTCCGTATTCTTTGCAAACTCCTTCCAAGTTATTATCAGCGCCCTTTATCTGCTATACAATAATCTCTTGACAGCGATGATCGTGGCTGCTGAGTGGAACGACTATATTTCTGAGCCAAAGACACTACGAATGTCAGCGCCACGAGGCGTACAGCGTTCTAACTACTTTCTCTCGCTACCTTACAGGTATTCCGTTACGTTGATGATCTTATCCGGCCTGCTGCACTGGTTTATATCACAGAGCGTCTTCGTAGTGCAAACGGTTGCATACGTCCCTAAAGACACACGCCCTCTTTCCTTCGTACGAGAACCTACCCTGGATATATCCTGCATTGGCTTCTCCAGCATTGGCATCATACTTGCGCTAAGTGTTGGCTGTCTACTAGTGCTCAGCTTATTGACAATTGGATTTGGCTCGACGTACAGCGCTAGGGTTGTGAGGACTGAGGACCAGCAGCCACAGTATACTATGCCGCTGGTCAGTACCTGCAGTGCAGCCATTAGCGCCAACTGCCACAAACACCCTGAAGATACGCACTGTGCTCTTATGCCTTTGCGGTGGGGGTTCGTGAAAGATGTTAGTCATGGGAACGGAGGACGCTTCACCTTTACCACTGCTGTTGACTTGGCCTACCCAGAGGTGATTGGTGGAGAAGTGCAGATGCCATACTTCAGTCAAGTATTCACTCACGCACGCGAATAAATCGAGAGCACGGCTGCAAGGCGAAGATGCGGTAGAAGTCGAGGATGATTCACTAGCAAGCATGGTTTGTTACCAGAGTTTCCTTAACATAAATCTTTGGAAGTATTATCGTTTGAGTGATTTATGTATCTTATCCTACAGTATATGCAATCACTTCAGATAGTCATGCAACCACTGCACAAGCATGCAGTATCTGCTGCCTTCTTCACTGCAGTAAGACCCTAAACGACCATGGCTCTGGTGTCCACAACACTTCAGAAGGGTGTTGGGCAAGTCAACGTGGCGGCACAGACCTTGCATTCGAGCTTAGAGTGGCATCGAGGAGTCGATAAAGGGTTTTGATCTCCATTCTAGCCTGATAGATACAGTTCTTGCAACTGCGATAGCTCGCTGAAGAGACGATTGACCAGGTTGGCTAGTGATTAGCGCTGCGCTACGCACCCAAACTAGCGTTTGGACTATACACACCCTTCAGTACTTTCAATCGTGGACTGAAGCGTTTGACGGCTCTGTCATGTCTCCCCCTCTAGAAAAAAGGCACCCGTTTACGCTGTGTATGGCAAGCGCTGGAAAGTGCTGTATCACTAAATCACCTTCCTAGATGAGCCACATCCGGTCCCCACAATCAATTGATCTCGCCTTCGTGCACCCTACCGTCTGACCACTGACCTTATCCACCCCGCCTCCAACCTAAAGCTATGTCGAAACCATCCAGCTTATTTACCTCCTATACCGACGCCGCCAGCACGTACTGGCCGCCCGGTTGGAACTTCCAGCGGTATGCCCTCGCCACGTCCGCGGACAACGCCGCGCTGTCGGACGAGGAGCGTGCTAAGATGCAGGCTGGCTTCCGCGAAGCGCTTGGCGACGACGGCGTTATGGAAATGGCCCGCGTCGTGTGGCAGGAGCAGTTGCGCCTTATGAAGCTCGAGAAAGAGTCTTCTTCTGCCGCCACCGTGTCGTCATCGTCGTCTGCGCAGAAGCAGCAGCAGCAGCAGAAACGGCCTCCGCCACCTCCCCCCGACTGGCTCAAGACTTGGCGCAAACGGGCGGGCGGTGACGGCGGCGGGACCTGGGGCTTCGTCGCGTTCTGTACTTCCAGTGCCATCGCCGCCATGCCGGAGTCGGACGTGGCCAAATTTCACACACGCGTACGGGAGATGGCGGAGATCCCGATCCAGAAGGCGTTGGAGGAGGAAGGGCAGCCGGCCAACGAGATCGCCGAGGCGCGACGATCGTTCGAGATCCGCTGGGTCGAGGTGGACGACGACGACGAAGATATCAAGGGCGAGATAGGAAAGGGAGAGGTAGGGACAGGGGAAGACTGGGTTGAGAAGGCGCGCGCCAGTTATCGCGCCATGCGCGAATCTGGCGTCCTCCCGTCGGGTCTCGATCTGCCTGTCTTCCTCTGCGCATCACCCGCCACCGTGGCCTCGGTGCTGCGGACGTCGCCGGCGGAAGTCAAGGAGGCGCACGAGGGAAAGTCGCGTTGGCGATCTGGCGATGTCCCATTCCTGCTGGTCGCAGCCGCAGAGACGGAGCAGGGGATTGTCGAGGACGACGACGACGAAGAAGAAGAAGAAGAAGAAGAAGAAGAAACCAAGGTTGGCGGTGGTGAAAGGAGCTGGTTCAAGCCCGTTTTCAAAGCGGCCGCCGAGGTGCTGGTGGACGAGCTCTGGTGGATCGTCGCGGAGCAGATGATGTCGCTAGGTCAGATGACAAGGTTCGTTCGGGGCGCGATGGTGGCTGAGGAGTATGTCACGACGACGGAAGAAGAGAGGCAAGGGGAGAGAGGAGAGGCGCCTGATGTTGGTAGTGGACGTGCCGAGGAGCCAGGCCATGACGACGACGGGCTGGATGACATATGGTGGACAGTTCACATGCCGCCGCGTCAGATGAGGAAGAGACGGAGGGTATGAGCGAGATCTGGATAGTGAGTCCGAAGAGCAACTTGCCTGACTGGAGTGTCCACTCCTGGGCATGTCAACATGTGGCTCCCTGCATACCATACACGATCAGCCCGCTGCTACTACCGCCTCGAGTCCTCACAAACGATCGCCTTCTAGATGATACTTTTATATTATCACCCTTTTGACATTCGTGGGCGCCTCTACAGACAGCTACTCCACCAATCCTTGAAAACTGCAATCTGATCCGCAGTCAAAACTCAAACATCTCGGAGTAATCGAAGTCAGAAGATCTGCTTGACCCCTTTTAGATCAGCGATGCAAGAGAGGCAAGGTATGCTCTTGCGATGACGCTTTTCCATTCTCAGGCATGAACCGCGCCATTTCATAACCAGTTTCCATGGATCCCTTTGAGTCTTTCTCATACACCTTTGGCACCTCACGCAACCCGTGCATCTCGAAGGCCAAGACTAACCTACAAACAAGCGTTCCCGTAAATATAAGACCAATCATCCAAATAGCGCTCCACATCGGGACAAATAGAATCGTCGAGAGAACGATGATACCGTAAATGACATCAGTCCAAATGCAAAGCCTGATCAGCCAGTTGAGAATCTGATATATGGGACCGTTTTGGAGTTTGATTCCATCGGGTTCGATGTCTGTCGCGAAGGCACAAGGAGTGAGTTCATTCCGGAGGCGGGAGGTTAACGATGTTTTGTTCCGCGGGCGTGTCGATGAAGCATCGCCTGCCAAAGGAACGCGGCACAAACGTAGTTGCAAGACGCCAAGAAAGTGTATAGGGATACCAATGAAGGCCCAGAGCAGCGGCGCAAAGGCTTCTAGCGTACCGCCGTACTGCCCCATCTGGGTGCTGATCAAGACGACAGCATAGAATGTAAGGCGGTAGAAATGATACACCACATTTCCAGCGGCCACCATAACCGCAAAGTATTCTAGGAGAGAAATTACAACGCTCAACCATGGTCGTCGCGTCCTCAACCAGGCGGGCCAGAAAGGCGGCGAGTCCTCGGCGAGAAGAGACTCCATGCCCGTAGTCTCGTAGTCCAGAGCTGGACACGGCGATCCGATCGTTAGAAACAGTGCCAGAATAGGTCTCCGGGTAGCGAGGATGGCGAGGTCGCTGAACTTAGGGCCTATGAGTTGCAGCACCCCAGGAAGTAGACCAAGCATGACGGCTACAACGCCGAATTCAGACTTTGTGACTTCGTCGGTCTTGGCAAGTATGCCTAGTGGAGCGCCTTGGTCAGCGGACATGGTGTTGCGAGGTTGGGTTCAACGTTGGTTGGCATACAGTCGACAAGCGCAGTTGAATTAGAGTTGTAAGGAGACTTGTTGAGAGTTCTGTATGCCTCCCAGCATTCTTCCTCTTCTTGAATTATCTTCCATTTTCCAAAGGTGTCAAAATCTACGTGCCAGAGGTGGTTGCTGTATGCGCACGCCGACGTCGCAAGTGTAAGGAAGAGGACAAGGCGTTGTGTAGGAATAACGGAGATCATGGTAGCAGAATGGGTCCTGTTGACTAAACGCTACTCTAGTTGTAATAGAATCTTCCGAAATAAGGATTAACAGGATCGAGAGTACTGTTGAGTCGCCTTTATGCGCGAGGCCATATATCTTGGACAACTCGGTGCAGTCAGCCGCGTGGGGGCCAACTACTAGCGCCGTGTCGCAGGATGTCGCAAAATCCTTGGCAACACGTTTTTGCACCTATGTGCGAGGCGCATCGTATCTTTTTCGGCAGGAATTGGGGGCCAATATTGTAGGCGCCCTAGCATCCGGGTTCTCCATGTTGTAAAAGCCGTCGGACATAAGACACTAGTGCGAATTTCTCGTGTTTTCCACGCCATGAGTCTTCGAGATGACGTGAGCAAATGAAAACCAGGCTCCAGTAACTAAGTAAGCATACTAGTAGTGTCTACCACCGCACACACAAGTTTTGTATAGACGTGCGCAGACGGGCCCTATCACACCACTTCTAGGGGAGTGTGTTTAAAACAGTTGTGCGTTATAGCTATTGAGAACTGCTATAGAGATAGAAGTCTCGCTGATATAACTTTGCTTAGATGCGCTACTCTGCTACAGCTAATAGCACGCGTTGTAGGCTCTTTCCGGCACCTGTACGCTATTTCTGTCGTCACTGCGCACCTCATTCACAATTGTCTTCGTAATCTCACCCTTGCCAGACTGCTCTTGTGAGATGTACTCCTCACTATCTGCATCGTCGTCGTCATCATCGATTCGTAATTTGTCGCCTTTGGCCCGGGTGTCAATTGCAAAAGGCAGGTTGTATTGAAGCATGCCGTGGTCGCTAGGGCCCCGAGTTCTTGACCGGCTGTTGAGAAAGGTAGAAGGCATGATCTTATACAACAAAGACTTAAAAAGTTTACGTAACAGTAGGAGTGAGGCGATCGATATACTAATAGACAACCTAAGTCCTGACTATATCGCTAGACAAACGCTGTCCTACGTGGGATCTTTAGTCTTTATTAGGACAGGAAGTCCGACCGTCTTGAGAATAGAATAGATAGTTGCACTAACGATACTTTTAGCGTGTTAGGCATGTCGAATAGGGGGTAGATTCACCCTAAGCTTAGGCAAAAGACGACTTGTAGACCCTATTAAGTACGCCTTAGAAGCTGAATAGCAGAGAGGTATACAAGTAGCGCGACAACATCTACAAGGTCTGTGAAGATATTGGTCCCACCCTGCTACTGTTTTAGCAACTGTTCTCTACTAACAGTAATATGTGCTAATGAACCTGTGTCAAAGTTAATCTAACATTTCCCGTCGACATAAAGTATTGTCCAGGAACGCTCTTGTTCTAATTGGCCTCTATAGAAGTGCAACAAAACACACTTATTATAGGAACTACTAAGCTAAACGTCGTAATTATAGCGACACTTACCTATACTATCCCCGAATAGACTTTAGAAACCCTAAGGGCCAAGAGGTACGCGCAGATAGAATACTTCAAGGCCTAAACCACAAGCATGTTGAGGATTTAGCTAATCTAGAGGTAGTAGCTATACTGCTTTATGTTGACACTAGGATCTTTCATCCGACGGCCCAGGCCATAGTAGACTGTTTTGAAGCGTGATACAATAGAAGCTATACTAAGGACCTCAAATCAATCAAGTCAGCCTGTAGCTCAAGGAAGTTTATGAAGATAACGACATATCACAGCAATAACAAGGAGACCGTCACAGATAAAGGTTCTGCGTTTGTTTCCAATCCCATGAATTACGCGTTAGGCAACTACGATAGTACTAAGGACGCAGAGGGAAGTAGTTGAGGCTAAAATCTTTACTCGACAAGTAGGCCACTCTTATTACGTATCCGCTATGTTGAAGAAAGGCCACACAGATAACAGCGCAGGGGTAAAAACGACACCAAAGACAAGGGTAAAGACAAAAGTCACTCTAGATTTCCCTGTTGTATTTGGTGACAGAAAGCCTTGTAGCAGTGCCGCCACACTTCATATTGTTTCCACAAAGGACCCAACAATTCGGTTCTGATGAACTGCATTTTAGCCAAGACATTGTTTCCCAGCGAGCAACGTTGTGAAGCTCAATCACCGCCCACGAATGGGATACATTCGGTGAGCTTGTATGGGTTATTGGTATCAGAATCCTAAACCCTGGCGAACGGAAGATTCATCTCAAATCCTTCCAGCAGTTCGGTTACCGGATGGCAACGATAGACGCCGCTGTCACACACACAGTGTCTTCGTAAGTGGTCAGTGAAATGCATCGGTGCTGTGATCTCCTTAAAATGTGCCGTCGTCATATCTACAAGCGGGAAATGGGCCGATGTATGCGTGAGAACACACGGAATTTCTGGTCTTGATTGCCACTCATCGACGTCTCTTAGTCGAGCGTTTGTCCCTTTTGTCGATGATGTCGACTCAAAAGTTCACGGCATCATAGTGTCCTCATTTTATCGGAATCAGTCAAAGCTGATGCATGTTGGCTTGTGTCAAAGATTTGTAGTGCCGATCTGAGTAAGTCTGTGTGGCTCGTTCTCTACTTTCGCGGCTGACCTGGCGGCTATTGCGACGAAGAAGAAGACTTGTGACATACGTAAAGTCCAATATGAATGCTTCGAAGACACACGATTCGTCCAATTATGCCGTATTGTGGGTCGATCAAATGGCGCAATCCTCTAAGCGAAGAGCAAACAATGTCAAGCGGCTCGAACGAAGGAGCTTGTTCTTGACCGAATTAGTTGGTCAGGAGCGAACAATACGGAGACTAGGATCTTGACTAGACAAGTGATGTTAGCAGCATAACGCACCCGTGTCGCCAGTATGTGTGGTCTTGAGGTCGAATGATCGACTGCTGAAGGGTACCCGATACCTCCGCTTGCTGGTTGGAAGATCCAGCTCTCGGAATCTCGTTGGAGCATCAGAAAGGGGCTCTAGCATTAAAGGGAAAGTCAGAAGTAAGATTTAGAACACCAACCCTGCTTGCCCTAATCACGCACCACAACGTCGCAATAAAATAATAATAAAAAGTAGACAAGTAGAAAACAAGACTGCAAGCGCTGCTAAGGTTTTAGATCTCAAAAAATCGTAAGTTGTCATGGTGTTATAAGGCTACCCACCCTCAACTTATCTCCAACTTCCCCTTGGTGCTAGAGAGGGGCTCACATACTCCACGGTCGAAACGAAACATCGAGGTCGGGACATAGGAAGGAGGGAAGAAGAAGGATCATGGCATTTTCAACGTCGCTGCATGCGCCTCCACTTGGGCCCAGAATAGCGGGACGCGGCAGCCGTGCCGCCCGCGAAGATACTATCTGTCGATCCGCGCCACATTGACGTTGGGCGTAAACAGGTACTATAAGCCTAAGATGCGGTAAATTGCCATATAGCCGATATACGCAGAGGTAATATTTCTTTCATGCCATGCTGATGGCGACCGTTGCCTGCAACGGCTGGGACGCACAAATTCCTGCGACCTTGACCGCGCCGCATACTCTGCTCCACTCTACCAGGAGATACGAATCATGCACGAACATGTATCCACTTTCCATACTAAAGTCCCCCAGGAAGGTCGGATGAATAGAATTCGCCACAATACCACTACACATGGCATACTCACCGCAGCCGCCGAGTTAGGGATGTACTATCTTGCATCTTGGCAGGACGGGCTATCCAAAGCGATGGTATCAGGCTCACTTCAACCTTCTCGGACTGGCGAATTTGTATTCCATGCAGCAAAGAGATAACATTTGTAGGAAACAAAAGATTCAGCTTAGCAATGATAGCGTGTGATTAGCAACGATTTTGAGCGGTGCATTGTCCAAAGTAGTGATGGGAGGCAACGGAACGGCAGACAAGGCGGGGGAAACGTCCTAGCTCCGGAAGTACCCTTGCCAGTTTAATTTTGCGACCCATCCTTCTATCACGCCGTAATTCTCGACTCAGCCTGCAGGACGCCCCGTTTCCATGCTTTAGAATCACGTGGAAGGGTCTAAAAACCCTTGTTGCCCGCGGAGCGTTACTGCCGACATGCAGCGACTCATGTGCATTTTGGCGACTTATACGCGTCTGGGTACTAGACGATGATCTAGACGAATGGCAGAAATAGACCACAGATGCTTGAGAAAGTATATCTAAAAGTTTAAGAGATCCTGCCGCTGAAAATGTACCTCCCATTCATCCAGGTCTCCTGTGTTGGACCCCCGTTCCGCGAAGATTCCTTGCGAGATGTTGTCAACGACCACTTTGGCAGTCGCTGCCATCCTAGGCATTACCAGTGCTTTGCCTAATAGTGCTGGACAAACACAAGCCAATGCTTCAAACGACACGTGGGACTATGTCATCGTCGGTGGAGGAGTTACAGGGTTGGTAGTTGCGAATCGCTTGACTGAGGACAAGAAGAGTAAGTTGAGATGCGTCCATCCGACAGTTGAATTCAGATCGGTACTATTCAGATCAGTACTAATACGTGCGCACAGAAAGCGTTCTAGTTATCGAGGCTGGCGCAGCATATGACAATCCTAACATACGTTTGCCATACGGCGCTACTTATGCGCTAAACGAAACTTTGCTCTGGGGTTATATCTCGCAACCTGAACCACACATTGCGAACAAAACGTTCCCAACGCGTGTCGCACGTGTGCTTGGTGGCGGCTCCGTCGTCAATGGCATGTTGTACGATCGAGCCGCAGCGGGCGACTACGACGCTTGGGAGGCTCTGGGAAACAAAGGTTGGGGATGGGAAGGCATGTTCCCATACTTCAAAAAGTCTACAGAATTTATTGAGCCACCAGCGGATGTTGCCGAGACATTCAACATCACCTGGGATCCCCATGCGTAAGTCGATGGATGCGATCCGTCTTTAGAGTCTGCTAACTCTGTGGATCTCATAGATACGGCAAGGGTCCGTTGAAGATTGGCATCTCTGATTTCCAGTATCCAGATGTGGTCGATTACTACGAGGCATTCGCCGGGGCCGGCCTGCATGCGCCTAACAGTGGTGATACTGGTGAGGCCTACGGAACGGCTTGGTATCCTAACACGATGAACCCATTGACTGGCGAAAGGTCGCATGCCCGCAACTCCTACTATGATGCTGTATCAGCACGGTCAAACCTCCAAATAATGTTGGAGACCCTTGCGACCGAAATCGTTTTCGAAGGCAGTGGCCGTAAGCTCGAAGCGAAGGGGGTCAAGATCACCGATAAGAAGACTGGAACCACAAGGACCGTATATGCGAAGAAGGAGTTGGTCCTAGCATGCGGGTCCGTGAATACACCCCAGCTCCTGCAGCTCAGCGGCATTGGACCGAGATCTGTTCTTGAAGCCGCTGGTATCTCAGTCAAGCTTGAACATGATGGCGTAGGTGCAAACTTCCAAGACCACCCATACACCAACGTACAATTCAATATGTCGAACGTCAGCAAGCCCAACCCTAGCTCTTACAGCGATCCAACGTTCAATGCTTCCGCGTGGGCAGAGTACCGCGCTAACAAGACCGGGCCTCTAACTCTGTCTCGTGGAAACGGCCTTGCGATGGTGCCACTGCAAATTGTCGACCCTGAAAGATACAACAGTTTGGCGGAGCAAGTGCGAAGCTCAGACAACGAAGCATTCTTACCGGCTGTTTACAAGAACAGCAAGAAGTTGCTCAAGGGATTCAAGGCTCAGCGCGCTATTCTTGCTGATCTGTACGAGAGTGCCAAAGCGGGTGTCGTTGAGCACACTATCTCTGGATCTGGCACATTCGAGATTGTTGGTCTCGAGAAACCTATCTCGAGAGGTACTATTACCATCGACCCAGCTAATCCTCAAGGACCACCAAAAATCCTGTACAACTCGTTGAGCAACCCAGTTGACAGAGCTGTCCTCGCGTCCTCCGTTCGCTTTCTTCGGACAGTCTGGGCTCGCCCAGAGCTAGCGAAGTTTTCACCTATTGAGACATCTCCAGGGGCACAGTACACAACTGACGACGAGATTATCAAGAGGTCGATCGAGGTTGGGAGCGTCATTCCTACTCTATCCCATCCTTCGTGCACTTGTGCCATGATGCCTAAAGACATGGGTGGCTGCGTTTCCGAGACGCTTCTTTTCTATGGAGTAAAGCGTCTATCTATCATCGACGCCTCTATCATTCCCATCGTACCTACACAGCATATACAGTCGACGATGTACGCTATCGGCGAAAAGGCAGCGGATATCATCAAGAAGAGGGGTTGATTCGGTCGAAGTGTGCATTGCGAACCTGCAGCAGAAGTATAGTGCGCAACGTCGGTTCATGCGTGGTGCTCGAGGGCGACGGATTTCTGCTACACGTACAAGGATGATACAAAGCAACGTTTTTACGAATCTAATAAGCTATAATTGTACTCAAACTACACTATCTGAAAACCTTTTTACTAAACCCCCAAAAGATTCTCAAAGGTATCTCTGCCTTCCCGTCCCCCCCTAAAATCAAAACGCCGTCAAATGCACACGCACACGAGGTCGGAACACTAACAAAAAGAACGCCACATATGCAATCCGCTATCCTCCTTTCATTTCGCTGCCTAAACATCCGTCCTCGGTTTCTTATTAGGCAGCGCAGGGACCTTGAAACCGCCCGCATCCGTCTTGCCACTACCACCACCATTAAGCTGCGTAAAACTACCCCCCTTGAACCACCTATCTTCATCTGCTTTTCTCTTCCTCGCCGCCTCCTCCTTGGCCCTCGGGTCGATAAGCTCAAGCCCTTGCACAGGCGTAAAAGCAATAGACCCCGTTCCACTGCCGCCCAATCCCACACCTCCCGTCCTCAATCCCTGTGCGCGAAGACTAGTCGCCGTGCCACTGCCTCCAAAGCCTTTGAGGGAAGATGCAGCGCCGAGGGTCGTGTCTGTGCCCCAGCCAGGGTTCTTCTTGCTAAGTTTGGCGCGTGTCTTGGGATCGATTTGTTGGGCGCGGAGACGGCCGGTATCTGTTGCTCCAATCATGCCCATGCCCTTGACAGAGTCACCATATCCGACTTCCTTCTCTTCCTTGCCAAACGTCATGCGGTTTTGCGCTTTGCGGATTTCGGTCATGGCAGTTGCTTCCTTGGCCTTTCTAGCACGTCTTCCACCGCGCTTACGCGACGGCTTCTCGTCGGGTACAGGGAGTGCGCGTCCACCGGCTTTTTGGTTGGCTGGCATTTCGACGAGTTTGTCGAGACGGCGTTCACATTCTTTACGAAGGTCCATGCCAATGTCGGCGGTGTGCGAGTTGGAATGTGCGTCCACGCGTGCGGCAAGAATGACCTTTGCGGATACAATGCGCAGAGCTTGTTTCCGGAGATCCGGGCGTTGATTCTGGATGATGTCGCTATGATACAGGTAACCTTCGTGTCGTAAACCCATATTTGACAAACCGACGGTAGCGCCGGAGACTTTTGTTGAGCCCAAAGGCGCGATGTTGCAGGCCGGGGTCTTGGCTAGGTTTGCGATACCGCCGGAGTAGGAGATGAGATGGGCGGCAGTCAAACTTCCAATCAAAGCAGTCAAGTTCGGCGCAAAGAGTTCTGTGCGGGATTCGACGAAACCTAGGATCTTAGACTTGGCGGCGTGGAGTTGAAGGAGGAGGTGGCAGGCGCTTGATACCAGGTCGAGCTCGGTTTCGTTGAGCAGCCTCCCTTCGACGCGTGTTGCTTCAATTTCGACAATCATGACCTGAGCAGGCTCCATTCCTTCGATTTGCCGTAGCTTGGGGCTTATGTCTTTGATGTCTGAGAGGGGTCCGCCGCCGATGACTAGACATGCTTTTGCGTAGACGACGGGGTTCTTGATCAGATCTTCCAAGTGGGGGAAGAAGGCTGAGTAGTGGTCGCGGATGAACTTGTGGACAGTAGCGGTTTCGCCGTCGATCTGAGTGGAGAACTCGTTGGCCTCGGTGAGGAGTTGGTACTCCGGAGACTCCTCAAAGGACTCGCCCTCGACTATGTCCATCTGGTCCTGTGTTTCTTCGATGCGCTTCAACACGGGGTCTAGGTTGGCCTTGAGCCGCTGGGCGGATCGGATGTCGGCTGGACCCTTGTCTTCCTTGTCCTTCTTCTCCCGGTACTGCGCCTCTTCGTCTACCATGTCATCGTCGCCCGAACCGTCAGCAAAGTCATTCTCAAGGTCCTGGACATCTTCATCGCCACTATCGGCGAAGTCGGCCAGAAGCTCTTGTTCGAGAGTCGCCATGGTGGAGTGCGGTCCGAGGTAGTCGCGACGGCGGCCAGAGGTTACCCTCCTAGTAGATTTCGGTTGAGTGTTGGGTTCGTTATGGCGCAGTATTATACGTACCTGTAGCCCGAGTTGGCCGCCGGTCGAGTGTGAAACGCGCGCAGGGGAGAGTCGTGTGGTGGGAGAAGAGAAGTTGCGACGGGCAGTGACGTGAAAGTGCTAATTGCTTGGCGTGCAGCGGGTAAAAGCTGCGCTAACGGAGTCGCGTTCTCACCTTGGAGAATAAACTTGTCGCATTGCCGAACAACTTTGCAGTTACGAGAATCGCTGTCGCCTAGCTATCGTGTTGCGATCGACTTGCGCAGGCATCCGACGTCACGTGTCTGCCAGTTTCTGTGTCCAGGATCGAAGTTGGGGCTCTATTACCACGACACTGCCGAGGCGCGGTTGCCCTCACGTCCACGACTGACGTGCGCCTCGCCGTCTCTCGCCATCGCGCGCATACCTTTACTTGCCACACCACGCCCTTGAATATCGCATCCCCGCCCCAAACATGGAGGCAACACGAGGACCCCCGCGGGTCAAGAACAAGGCCGCAGCGGCTGTCCAGATCTCCGCCGAACAGCTGCTTCGAGAAGCCGTCGACCGTCAAGATGAGAAGCTCAAGGCGCCAACGCAAAGGTTTGCGGATATCGAAGAGCTCCACGAGTTCCAAGGCCGTAAGAGGAAGGAATTCGAGGACTATGTACGGCGGAACCGCATCAACATGAACAACTGGATGCGCTATGCTTCCTGGGAACTCGAGCAGAAGGAGTTCAGGCGCGCACGATCCATCTTCGAGAGAGCTTTGGACGTATGTATTCCTAGCACCAACTGCATGCGAGGCACAGACTGACTCCCATCCAGGTAGACTCCACGTCAGTTCCACTATGGCTCAGGTACATTGAGAGCGAGATGAAGCATCGCAACGTCCAGCATGCCCGCAACCTTCTCGATCGCGCCGTCACCATTCTTCCACGAGTCGACAAGCTATGGTACAAGTATGTCTACATGGAGGAGACGCTCGGTAATATTGACGGAGCCCGCTCAGTCTTCGAACGCTGGATGCAATGGGAGCCTGAAGAGGCCGCATGGAGCTCATACATCAAGCTGGAGAAGCGCCACGGCGAATTCGAGCGATGTCGCGCAATCTTCGAGCGCTTTACAGTTGTACACCCCGAACCCAAGAATTGGATCAAATGGGCCAAGTTCGAAGAGGAGAACGGCACCAGCGATCTTGTACGCGACGTCTACGGCACCGCCGTCACGACCCTCGGAGATGAGTTCATGGACGAGAAGCTTTTCATGGCATATGCAAAGTTCGAGGCAAGACTGAAAGAGCTGGAACGTGCTCGAGCCATTTACAAATTCGCCCTCGATCGCATGCCAAGGTCGAAATCGGTTAATCTACACAAGGCCTTTACGACGTTCGAGAAGCAATTCGGAGACCGAGACGGTATTGAAGATGTTATCCTGTCTAAACGGCGGGTGCATTACGAGGAGCAGATTAAGGAGAACCCAAAGAACTATGACAGTTGGATTGATTTCGCCAGGCTGGAAGAGACGTCTGGTAACCCCGACCGAGTGAGAGACGTTTACGAAAGAGCCATTGCTCAAATCCCTCCAACGCAAGAAAAGCGCCATTGGAGACGGTACATATATCTCTGGCTCTTCTACGCCGTCTGGGAAGAAACTGCATCTCACGACATTGAACGAACACGCCAAATTTACCAAGAGTGCATACGCCTGCTCCCTCACAAACGCTTCACATTTGGCAAAGTGTGGTTAGCATTCGCTCATTTCCTGGTTCGACAAGGTGAGCTCACTGCTGCACGCAAACTACTCGGTCAGAGTTTGGGTATGTGTCCAAAGGACAAGCTGTTCAAGGGCTACATTGAGCTAGAAATGAAGCTTTTCGAGTTCAATCGCTGCCGCCAGCTCTACACAAAGTATATCGAATGGAACGGTTCAAACTGCCATACCTGGATCAACTTTGCCAACCTAGAGCGCGGTCTCGATGATCTCGACCGCGCACGCAGCATCTTCGAAATAGCAGTCGAACAAACTGACATGGATATGCCGGAAGTGCTGTGGAAAGCATACATCGACTTTGAAGAAGGAGAGGGTGAATACGAGCGTACACGCGCGTTGTACGAGAGGTTGTTGGAGAAGACGGATCATGTCAAGGTGTGGCTGTCTTATGCGCAGTTCGAGTTGGGCGTTCCAGATGAGACCACAGCAGAAGACGACGACGACACAATCAGCGACGCCGCCAAAGCCCGTGCGCGCAACATCTTCGACAGAGCGCATGGCAAGCTCAAGGAACGCGACCTCAAGGAAGACCGTGTGGCACTTCTCAGCGCCTGGAAGGCGTTTGAGGATGTACATGGTACCGAGGAGGATAAGAAGAAGATTGAGGGACAGATGCCAAGAAAGGTCAAGAAGAGGAGGAAGCTCGACGATGACAGCTTCGAGGAGTATGTCGATTACGTCTTCCCTGCGGATGACGAGAGCGCTGCGAAATTGTCAAAGTTGTTGGCGAATGCGCAGAAATGGAAGATGGCGCAGGCGCAGGCAGCGCAGGCAGCGCAAGATGCGGGAGAAGAGAATGGGGATGGCGAGTAAGGGGTAACGTGGTGGTGGCAACAAGGAGTGGATGGAATGTGTTTGTAGGCCAATACGAATCAGCATCGTTGATATCATGGTGTTTGGCTAGTTGATGTGCAATACGGGGTTTTGGTATTGAGGGTAGTACATGACGGTGCGAGGTCTTCGTCATTACAATCGACCAATCTACGCCTGCTGCTCTTTGCATGTGTACATCTTACCGAGTTCATGCCTACCCCTATACAAAGTCGGAATGCACATTTTTTTTTTCTGGCGTGTTCGAGATATCGCGGCGCGCGTGGCTCCTTGCACGCAGCACACTTGGAGCCTGCCCGCTTCCGGGCCCGCCGCTTCCTGTCCCCTGATTTCTGCACACAAGCTGCCCGCGTCTACCTCCATGTTTACCCATCGCGCCATCATACTGAACTGGCAGACTTCGATATTGATATCGTAACAATTGCCGCATAGCAGCACCGACGAAAACTTCCAAGTCATGCAGCTTTCTCAAAGACTGCAAATCCTTCGGTCCTTCCCTACTTGTATTATCCAAGACAGGCTTTACAGCCGATATCGAACCATCGAGCTTCTTCGAAGGCGAGGGAGTGATAAGTTGGGTCGAGCACGCGATGGGGACTGTGGCGCAAGTTGATCGGCCGTGGAGCGTCGGGATAGTCCTTCGTCTAGCTTACAGTGGCTGCCTAGAGCTCGAAAGATATCTCCAGAGCTCTTACGTCGTGTGCTGCTGCGGTCTGGAATTGACAAACTGTCTGACATTGCTCGAGCGAGCGATGTGACCACGTGCTCTTCGTGCTCCACCCGCTGCGGCTCATAACCACCTGAATTACTATCTACACCGTGATTGATGACAAGCATGTCGCATCGGATGAGGTTGAGCAAGGTCTGAAAGAAATTTTTGGTTGGTGTATGGCGTTCCAATGACTGTATCGAGTACAGATCTTCGATTTTCTGTATTGACAGTTAACAATGAACATGGGATAACGGCAGCAGAAAGTCGCTCACCTTCAATATAGCAGGCTTGACCTCTGCTTTCGGAGCGTGACCCATATTGTGTATTACGAAAAACGTGTCGGATGGGATTCCGGCCATGTATCGATCTGTGTCCAGTCGATGCCTATTGAACTCGGCGAGAGCTTTCTGGCCGCCAAAATACCACGTGGCAAATTCAAGAAAGATGCAACCAAGTGCCCAAATGTCACATGCTATGCTGTGTGTCTTGTCAAGTTCGTATTCTGGAGAGCGATATGTCGGCGAGTTTGGTACAATACCCCGCTTCGAATGCTCAGTACTGAATTGAGTGGTTCCAAAATCTGCGATCTTTAGTATGCCATAACTGCCATCAGACTGCGGATCTGGGAACCATATAATGTTCTCAGGCTTGAGATCTCCGTGGCGACCAAAGAAACGGCGCTCAAATGGATCCTTCTCCGTTGCGCTGGAAGGAGACGTTGGCGTGGAAACCTTTTCTAACGTTGGAGCAGACGCTATTAGACTTCCAGAAAGGGTATTATAATGATGAATCTTGTTCAAGGCTTCTGTAAGCCCATGACATTGCTTCGCCATCCATACTGCTCTGGTAGCATTCTTGTCTGGTGTGGGATTACGTTTCCAGTAATCGAATAGATCGCAGTCAGCCCATGGAAAGACCAAATGATAGATATCGCTCTGTTTGTATGCCGCAAGCAAGTTGATCAGGTGCTCATGCGCGTGTACACTTTTGTTCAGCTTCGCAAGCACCTTGAATTCTTGGGTAAATGCATTGGCATCTGAGTCTTTCAACACCTTGATAGCAAAAACATTGCGACTCTTCCTATCTTTGTTCTACTGCAAGAGTCAGTCTCGGTTTTATTTACTCAGGCTCACATACATGCCGCTTTTTTGTTCCAGTTCCACGGATGGTGGTCAGGATGAATTTTCGTCCTATAGATCTTGCCGTAGGCGCCTTTCCGTCCAGTCGGGTGGTATTCGCGATAGGGTAAGATTGTCTCGCGATCTAGATGATAAAATGGAACGTGATTGCCCTCGGCCTCGTCGAACACATGAGCAATGACGCTCCATTGCTGTTGGAGGAATGATCGAGTATCACCCTCGTCCGTGAATGGAGCACAGCAGATGTCTGGTTGCCTCCTACTTCGTAGCCCTACTCGGTGGACACCTTCAACCGCAACTGTGGCCTCGTCGAACGGCAGGTATGCATCATTCACACCTGTAGAGACGAAGGTTTCGATTGCATTCGGCATCTTCGTAAGGTACAACACTGCAAGTATCTTCTGGTATTTATCTGGTTCAGCGCCCTTGGGAATGGCCGCCTTGTGCCTTGAGAGCTCCAGTAGCACGGCTGATTTGCCTAGAACCTTTCCAATACTGGAGCTGGGAAGAAATTGCACATGGTAATCGATGGACCTGTGTTTTTGTGCGACACTCTTAAGCTTCCAGCCGATCCTCTGGGAGGTCACATCGTCGACACATTTTCGAATAAGTCCATAAGGCGTCTCGCTAATCCCATCACCGTAGGTTATTTGAACGACTTTCTCGACGTCTCCGTAGCTGGTGGGTACCGGGGCACCGTTGAAGCTGGTCGAAGTGTAGAACTCGCTTGTGGGTCGCAATCTTGCTTGTTGATCTATTCGTCAAGTTAGTGGATGAGGCTGAGGCGATCTGCACATCATGGGACTGTGAGCAGGTTGCGTACTTAGATGGCCGGCCCAACTGAACGTGGTACTACGTGCGAAAGCTCGTTGGTTCGCATCATTGCCTGATTGACCTGTACCTATGAATCCATCACTTGAGGGATACGACGATCGTTCATGCCTGATCTGCGATGACTGGACCTGAACACGAGCCATATCTTCGGGCTAGAGTCAATGGGACAGAGCGACCGGTAAGCCTCAGGCTGAAAGCTTTTCGACGAACGGACCCAGGCATCTTCATATGTAGCTGGGCCTTGCAAGTTCGTTGGTCACCACCAATATGCGATGAGATCATGGGGGGCTGAGATACTCTAGGGTGAGGGACGAGGGCGCTTGGTGCAAGGCTGTGACAAGAGACGCGGTTCGATCTCTATGGTGGCGCTGAATCATCCCGGGCATAGCCCAAATGCGTGAGACTCTCACAGGTCAAGGCCGCGTGGGAAATGAGCTGACCGAGCACTTCGTTCGCTTGTTGGATCAGCAGCCGAGCTGAGTGCAGGTGATTTGACTACATTGCGCCTCAGCCTTTCTCAGCCCCGGGTGATGGTGTGCAAAACTCTAGAATGATTGGACGAAGAGATAAGTGGCGTTTTCAGGATTTTGCGTCACAATGCAAATTTTCTGGCTGTGTTCAGCTGGCTTTGTTGATTATCTGCGCTTTAATTCTCCTTCCACACATCGCAGTCCAGCATAACCGTTCAATCCTCACGAAAACCACGAAGCTTTTAAAAATGCCTTTCTTGAACGCATTGCTGCGACGACATCAGCGCATTTCCCATTCTGCACAAACGTCTAGGCATCCTCAGAGGAAACGAGACATCTTTCATCTGCGTGCCTCCACTCGCGACGTTCATCAGGATATTTGTGTGGTAAACGTCGACCCGGAAAAGCTGATGGCAAAGTTGACGGAACGGTATGGGACGGCATTTGAGGTTCATGTACGACTCGTGCAATCAGTAAAGGGCTGATATCGGCTGACAAAAGATCTGCAGATGATCCACAATGTGTACAGTATTCGAGCGTCAGGGAGCTTTTCACAAGTACGTGCGCTTAACATCTTCCAGCATATAGCTGTGCTTTTACTGATCTTGGGCGTATAGGAGGACTTGGACGATCTCGGGCGAGGGAGAAGTTCGTCAGAAGGTGCATGATGGTGCTGCAACGTTTGTTTTTCGGTTCCAACAATCAGCGTAGTCGCCCCACATTTCCGCTGGCCCCGGCGTGGTTCCCTCCGGATCCTGCCGCTTCGGGTACAAAGCGCTAGCTCAATTCAACACTCACCCACCTTTGCAAGACCGAGTCTGATGTGCCATCATCGCAATCCACTCATTTTGTGTTTGTGGTCTGACAACAGTGTATCTAAAGTGCAGGACCATCATACCCATCTGTGCAACCGCGTTGCCTGGAAGTAGTCGACCTGCCGCGGTCACAGCTGAAGGCTGATAGCGGCCCCTCACGCGCAGACGTCCAACTCATGCAGGGAAGTATTAACTTCTGTATTGGATGTGTCTGGAACCCTGTGTCCAGGATCAGCCCTCTGATATCGATGGCTATGCCTGTTCAACGCGCTGCCTGAGGTCCTTCTCGGTTCGCTAAACGCTGTCTAGCAAGGCTGAAACTATGGCTTGGAGTAAGAGCTACCCAGCAGCCCAGCTAAGGGGCCAGAGATGCTTGAAGGCTGAGTAAAGAAGGACCACGTAGTCGTGCTGACTTGCATTGCTGAAGTACTTAACTTGATTGTGGCCGCTCAGCCTTTACTGCTAATTCTTACACCACAGAATCAATCAAGTCATCTGCTATCCAGCTTCGAGAATGCCGATCGACCCAAGAGTTAGGCACAGTATCGACGACTATGATTCGGATAGCTCGTCTTCCGAAAGCGGGCCGCCAACCGCTAACGATGCCAGTTTAGACTCAGACAGTGATACAAATTATCCAAACACTGTTGACAGCGATTGGGCTGTATGGATCAATGCGGAGTTGCGTGAAAAGTCGAAGCGAAGCGCATTCAACAAAACCCCTCACGAGTTTGTACCCAACGGCATTGTCGATGAATTAATCACGAAGAAGGCGATCCGCGGTTGTCTGAAAGTGAAGAAAAATGAGCATATCGCACTGGTCAACTTCATCTTCGAACACGCAAAAACCGCATTCGCCATAGCTACTTTCGCAAGACTCAACTCTCACAGAGTCATGAACTGGTTCCTGAAAAACGAGTTAAGCGATGAGGACCTACCTGTCAAGGAGCAGACCGGACCATGGACTCAGAGCTGGCGTGTCAACTTCTATGATGAGCAGTGGAGATTCTGTGCACCGGTTTTTGATCCCAGCGAGCACGTTCACGACTTCAAAGAGGCTCTGATCCTTCCGGTTGTGTCTATGTCTCCTGTAGGAGGTCAAGGCGCTTTCGGCATGGTCTCAAAGTGCGAGATACATGGTGATCACATAGTTCCCGTAAGTCCTCTCGCTGAGTTTCTGACTGCAGTCGCTGACGTTGAATAGAAATCAGCAAATACTGAACAGTTTGCTGTGAAGGAAATCATAGAGCAAGCGGACAGCCAGGATGTTGCTGAACATTGGGAAAAGGAAGTCAAAGCTCTCCGAATGATGAACGAGCTAAACCAAGAACACATCGTCAGATTCATCACAGCGTTTCGTCGTCTCAGAAGAAGTGGATTTGAGGAGCATTATGTCATGTTCGAGTGGGCGAACGGCGGTAATCTGCGAAACCTATGGGAAAGAGTTCCGTTCCCGGACTTGACAGGCTCACTGGTGAAAGACACCATTAAACAGATACTGGGCCTGGCTTCTGCGCTCCAAGCAGCACACAACCTTAATAACACAGAAGCCTCCTACCGTCATGGTGATCTCAAACCAGAGAACATTCTCATATTTAAGACTGGCAGAGAGACTCTGGGAACACTCAAGATCGGTGATTGGGGTGAAGCAAAGTACCATGGGGAGAACAAAGTCACGGAGATGCGTTCGAAGAAAACCACGGCGCGCTTTGGTACTCGCCGCTACGAAGCCCCCGAAGTAGTGACAGGTATCAAGGTTAAACGAGAGAATCAGCCCGAGAAGCGCCGGTCACGACTTTACGATATTTGGGCAATGGGCTGTATTACTCTAGAGTTTATCGTCTGGTTGTTGTACGGACTGGATGGCCTCAACAAGTTCAACCAAGATGTCGACGGTGACACTTTCTATCAAACCAGCATCGAGAACGGCATCAAAGTGGCTCGACTCCATGACGCCGTTGTTCGCTGGATGGATCACATGGCAAATGAGCCCACTTGTGAAGTTGGTAACACTGCCATTGGGGACCTCCTGGAAATCGTCAGAAGCTCTCTATTGGTTGTCAAGTTGCCGAGGCGTGGTGGTGTTACCTTCATGAGTGCTATCAATGAAGCCGATGAAACTGCGGAAGCAGATCGACCTCGTGCGGATTCACTCATCGACCATAATGTAGGGCGACCCGCTCGATCAGATCTGAACTCTGAAATGGACTCGCTCGCGGTTTCAGACACGCGTCCACCCGGCGTAGTCCCAGCGTTTATGGTGACGGGAGCCGAAGAAGACACCGAAGACTCTATGCAGGATATCCAACCTGTACAACCTCTGCCCGAGCTCTCCGGACCTGAAAGATGTCTTGCTTCCAAATTCAGTGATAAAGTAGATCACATCTGGTGCGAAGACGATATTGTGGGATACTGGGACACACATACGCACCATTTACGCGTGCCAGTGGGTCTCGCCAGCTCCTCTAGTCTTCAGGTGGTGGACAATCGCAACGGAGCAGCAAGCGAAGACCAAGCTGTAAGTCGACTCAATCTCAACATTCCGTGCGAAATGCAGCTAACATTGTTGTGACCCAAAGCAGAACTACGACCCCTCTGAGCTCGATGAGCACGATTGGAAACTTCGTCTGGACAACTCGGTCGCATCGAGTTTCCTGTCTGGTCTGCGTGAGAATGCCAAGCTCGAGATCCATCAGCTTCACAGCTCAACAAAGCTGTGCGATCGATGTAAAGAGTTTCGTACTCGATTTGGCCCAACTTTCGACATAACCTATAATCTTGGCAAGCTTCACGAGAACACCGATGCTGGAGCGTGTGACATGTGTACACTGCTCTGGCATGTTTGCAAGGATACCGGTAGCAAGAGGATGCAAGCCATTCGGCTCGATCGTAGAGCCGCTTTCCTAGAACTGGAGCATAACCACAAACTCGCGCTCTCTGTCGTTCGCGACCCAGCAGTGAACATACCAGGATCCAGTGACTTCCAAACCGGATTTGTCGAGCTCCCAGAAGCGGGGGGGACGACACACCTTGAAGTCGTCAGATCTTGGTTGAAAAATTGCGACACCAACGTAGAGCATAAATGCAAGCCATTTGTACGAAACAACGGTGTTAATGGAAGCTGTTTCATTCGTATGCCCACCAGGCTGATCGATGTTGGTGTTGAGGGGGATCCTAAGGTGTACCTGCAGAAGACTGAGGGTCAAGATGACGTGCAATGGATTGCCTTGTCGCATAAGTGGGGTCAGAAGAACTACTCCACCACACAGGACAACGTCCAGTCACATTTTGCAGGTCTGGACTACGACACCTTACCTGCCACTTTTAGGGATGCGGTGAGAGTTACCCGAGCCCTAAACCACCGGTATCTCTGGATCGACTCGTTATGTGTCATTCAAGGCGATGATGGTGACTTCGAAACAGAGGCCAAGCGTATGGAGGACGTGTATAGCGGTGCATACTGCGTCATTGCGGCAACACGTGCTACTGATCATTACGCCGGTTTTCTCGGTCCCCGGAAGCCTCGCAAGTACGTTGGCTTAGTTAAGGACGGCAAGAATGAGACGCCCTACTACATCTGCGAGAACATTGATGACTTCCAGTCCCATGTACTTGACGGTGATCTAAATGGTCGCGGGTGGGTTCTCCAAGAGCACGCTCTCGCACGGCGCACGATCTTCTTCACCGAATATCAAACCTATTTCGAGTGCAGTGTTGGTGTACGATGCGAGACATCAACAAAACTGGAGAAGTAAGTCCGCCTATGGCTCTCACGTCAACAAGGTTACTAACGTTGCCAATCAGCTTCCATGCAGCATTTCTGGGTGACGCCGACTTTCCCAACGTCCTCTACAGAGCCTCTCAAGCTGATAAGATCGTTCGGATCCAGGAGCTGTACAAGAAATATTCGAAGCTCGGACTCTCAAAGTCATGGGATCGACCTGTCGCTATCGATGGCCTACAGTCGCGATTGCTACGCACATTGCGTGTCGTTGGTGATTTTGGCATTCTGGACGAAGGTGCAACTCGAGGTTTGCTCCGCCGGACTCTGCTATGGCGACGGCATACTGACACAACCACGATGTCGCGCATTGACTTTACTAAGGCTCCAACAAAGACGAAGTTGCGTATACCTTCTTGGTCCTGGATGGCTTACACCGGAAGCATCGACTATGTCACTATTGACTGGGGTGCCTACACATGGGAAAACATTCAATCGCCGTGGTCGCAAGACCACAACCGCCTCAATGTCGATCCTGAAACTGCGAAGATGACAATAGTCGCGACGGCCAGTCAGTATGATCTTGGCGCAGCAACTCAAGCAGAGATCGACCTCATCTTCGACAGCCCCGAAAAGGCCTTACCGTCTCTGTCACTTTGTGTAGTGTTGGGCAAAGCAAAGAACAGCGTGGTGGCAAAGGATCAAAAGAATTGTCTACTGATCGTGAAGCCAATCAGACGTTCAGATGGAAGCACTGTGTACGAGCGGATTGGCACAGGCTTCCTCCCTGGCAAGTGCATATCTCCGAAGACGGACGTTGTGTCGATCTGCTGACACAGGCATAAAACAACCCGTCAAATGTCTCGTTGCGCTCAAATTGAATATAGTATGAACTAAGCCGGTCGAAATTGGATTCCATGTACTCATCTAGTCTTGCGTTGAGCGCTGGTTAATGTTACTCTGGCAGGCTTCAACGTTTGGATCGCGTGCTTTACCTTTTGCTACAACGTAAAAAGGCGAGGTTTATTAACATAGTCTTGTGTTGTGCTGTTCTGTTCTGTTTATGTACACCTCTTAGAAGGAAGGCTAGCAGCACATCTCAGTATGTCTTGCGTGGATCCTGAAGTCACTCGTCGATGGACAAAGTGTCACGATATCAACACCATCTGTGTTCACGCCAATAGATGCTGGAATCTTGCTTATCAAAGGTGCTTCATCGGGCGCAGATAGCATGAGCGTTATCATGCCAAGGGAAACACGTGATCGGAGCTCACGGATGTCGGTCCGTCTGCGGTTCCATGAGATCACCCCGGGGAATAGACACGGCCCGTACGATACGGTTCGTCCACATCTGCTGCCACCTGTAATGAGCACTGAAATCATGGAAGCTGAGGGGCTGTCTTACCAGATTAGCAATCTGTGAATAGTGTTGGACATTTCCAATCGCCGACATACTGCCTGCCTTGTCAACAGATTGGAAATCTTGAGCAACACCACAATGACAAAGATCGTTGAGAGAACCATGAAAGAGAAGCGCCACATTATTATCATCGGTGCTGGGTCAGTTATATCAAAATCTCCATAACATTGTTGCTAACTAGAATAGCGTCTCTGGTATTCTACTTGGTGTGTGTCATTGCTAAAGCAGACGTTTCAGAAAATAACAACTTTTTTCCACTAGCACATCATTTCAAGTTGTATTTATCGCACGCCTATACATTCCAGATTGTGGAGAAGAATCACGCCGTCGGAGGCACGTGGTTGGAAAATACATACCCAGGCAGGAACAGGACCTAAGCCAAATTTAGTGGAAGATGACTGATCTTGCCAGGCTGCGCGTGCGATGTACCAAGTGACATATACCAATACTCCTTTGCGCCCACGAAGGATTGGTCCAAATTGTGCGTATTGATCCCTTTCGATATGGCTGCAATCAGCTCTCGACTAATACTGGCTGACGTCCGCAGATTCGCATCGTCTGGGGAGATCCAAAGTTACCTATCGCACGTTGTGGATCACTTTGACCTGGCTCATCACATCGAGTTCAAGACAACGGTGACAAGATCTGCCTGGTCTGAGCAGGAAAGCAAATGGCTAGTCGACACCGAATGCAATGGTATTGTCAACAAGGGCAGGAAAGCAGATGTCCTGATTAATGCAGCCGGAATCTTGAACCACTATCGGTATCCCGATATACCTGGGCTAGATAGCTACAGGGGTCGTCTGATACATACCGCGGACTGGGATCATTCGATCGATCTAGCGGGGAAGAGGGTGAGTGTTATCGGAGCAGGTGCGAGCGCCGTGCAAGTCATACCGCAGATCCAGCCTCTCGTCAAAGAACTTTCAGTATACATCCGAACCCCATCCTGGATCACGAGCCTGCCCGACAGTTTCGAGGGAGTCGACAACAACTCCCACAACACCGCAGGTTACCTCCAACGCTGCAAGAGCCTTGAGAGCTACTACAACAAACTCTTTCCTGTCTTTTACCGGGACTCGAAAACACAGACGCAGAAGCGCGAAGAGCTTGAACTATGGATGAGAGAACGTATCGCAGACCCTTCACTGCGCAAGAACCTCATTCCGAATTATGAACTCGGCTGCCGTAGAATCAGTCCTGGAGAGCCATTTCTACAAGCTCTACAAAAACCAAATGTCACTTGTATATTCAGCCCCATCCTGACGTGTCAGCCAGAAGGTCTCGAGACGCAGGACGGCATCGAGACATCAGATGTCATCATCGCGGCCACGGGATTTGACACGTCTTTCCGCCCACGGTTCCCCTTATTGGGTCGCAATGGAATAGATCTTAGGGATCTGTGGAAGGACGATCCGATTTCGTACATGGGGCTCGGGTGTGCGGAATTTCCGAACTACTTGTCTATGCTCGGCCCCAATTGCCCAGTTGCGAACGGTAGTTTGATAGGTACGTAGAAAGCTTTTGTTTATGGTTTTGCCGCTATTGTTCATGCTGATAGCTGCGCAGGTAGTCTGGAAGCCATGGCGGATTTCTTCGTACGACTTCTCAAGCGCGTAGACAGCTTTGGCGTCGCTACGTTCATGCCGGACAAGGGCGCACAGGAAGACTTCAATCTGCAGGTTGAGGAGTTCATGCAAGGAGCTGTATGGACGGGCAATTGCACAAGTTGGTGTAGGTCCACCTTTCACTTGTCCACTGTTTGGTGAAGAGATTCTGAGGTCCTGTACTTACGCACGTTCCAGACAAACGCGGCAAAGGGGGGAGGATAACAGCTGTGTGGCCTGGGAGTAGCCTCCATTACCGTGAGGTACTTGAGCAGGATCGCTGGGAGGACTGGAATTGGACTTATCGTGGCAGACGATATGGGATATGGGGTAAGGGGGAGTCTGCTGTTGAGAAGGCCGGTGGTGATCACAGCCATTACCTAGAGCATGGACCATTACTACGAATGTCTTCCCTCGCTTGAGAGAGCTTCGGTAGGGGTGAGCTATATGAACTTTTTAGAAACCTTTCAAACTCTTTCTCTGCAAGTGTGGATCAAGGGCTTCAAAGAGACATCATGTAACAGAATGCTCGCGATGGCTTGAACAGATGCGAGGTATCAAAATCTCTGACCTTCCTCGCCATCCGCCAAAATCATGCACTTCACTTGGGAGTTTGAACTAACGGGAAGTAATACACATTGGCATGTACCTTCTCAATGTTGAAAGGTGCGCAAGTCTACCCAAACCGGTCCACTCCTCTACCTGCAGTCACAGCAGTGCCTTCTCCTGCGGCGTAAACTCGCGCCGTGCTGGTCCTCCACGACTTCCGTCGCCATGAAACGTATCTTCACGATTTTTGTATTCCATCCTGAATCGCCATCTTTGTTGCAAGCCTGAGGGCAACGTGCGCTCGAATGCCTGCGCTACGTACTTTCCCAGCACTGGCAGGAATTTGAATGCACTATAGGGGGGAAGAGTCAATACAGATTCAAACATTGACTTATACAAGATGAGTTTAGCACTTACTGGCCACTACCAGCCGTTGCCAGGAGCATATTCGTGTAGTCAGGGTGGTAGTCGATGATGAAGTCACCAGAGGGCGTGTCGTTGTACCAGCATACGGCAACACGATCAAACTCTCGCTCCGCAAGGGACGGAAGGATAGTTCCAAGGCCCGCACGCAACCTTTCGACGCCGTCTGCTGGCGCAAAATTCGTCCGCTTGCTTCGAGTCGTTATTGGAGGGAGAGAGACACTGTTCTGCTCCGTCGTTCGAGTATAGCCCCAGCCATGTACGGCGATTTTCAAAACCCGGGCTTCGGGGTGGGGCGGAAAACAAAACCAGCCGGAATCGTAGTCTATGTACAATGGCAGGTCTTTGTAGGCTTCCATCTCAGCATCTGTCAGGTTGATGAAGGCTAAGACTTGTGCCGTAGATATTGTTGAGTTATACATGGGTGCTAGGCTTATCGACCAAGCGCCAGCACTCAGGATGAAGTAATCCCCTTCGATATCGTGGCCGCTTCCAGTTTGTGCGGCTAAAATTCTGCGGGTCGTCGTGTCTTTTTGGAAAGCAGTGACAGTGCCTTGTTTACCGCAAATGAAAGATACACCACTCTCGATACATTGGTTGCGAAGGACGGTGATTGCCTTCTGAGCATCCGCCCACCCAGAACTTCGATTACAGTATCCAGAAAGATTGGTGTGAACTGTATCACCATACAGAATCGGGAACTCAGATTTGATAGCTCCTTGATTCGGCATTGGTTCCCAGGGGTGATTCAAACCGTCAAGGGCATCTGTGCATTTTTTGAGGTGCGTACGCCCGTACGCTTTGCTTGCGATGAAGGCATTTGGACCATGGTGGAATATTCCGCGAAATCTTGGATCATCACACCAGACATCAAACGCTTCTTTTGCAAGCTTGGCGTAAAACGGATCGCGATAGTCGAAACGTATCACTCGCGAGATGTCGACGCTGGAGCCATCGGGTACCTTTCCTTTCGGTCAGCTTCAGCATTTTCCGTTCGTGTAAACTGCTTACCGGGGGTACATGACGATCTACAATTGTAATGTTTCTGTAACCTTTGCGTACCAGCTCTACTGCTGTCGACAAGCCAAATACCCCTGCGCCTATTATAATGATCCGACTATCTTTGTGCATTTTGCATTCGAATTCTGTTGGCAATACTGACAACTTGTTGGAAGATATGCAGTCCGGACGTTGTAGGTATGTTGACACAGATTTATGATTGAACTACATCTGGAAGGAGCATATTCGTCAGGCCATACACGCTAAAAAAGACGTGGATTAAAGCGGGAACGGAAGCGGAAGTGACACGGGGCTGGTACGGGACCAATTCCGGCGCTAACTGCCTCATCCCAGTATCGCCCCATGTATCTGGCCGGCCGATTACATAGAATCTCAATCGCGGGCAATCACTCGAGAAAGAAACACTTACCATGTCTGTTACTTGGCCAGAGCAGTACGCTCTTTCCAGCTCTACACATGTCCCAAACAACATCTTACCAGCTCTAATCTATCGAGATGTTCTCCCTGTTCCGGTGAACCCTGAACTTTCAAAGCGTCTTTGTGAGGGGAATGGCTGGGAAAAACGTGTAAGTAACTGACCAAGACTGGCTTGAATCAATGGTTGCGGTACAACGGGTCCCTATGATCGAACCATGTTTACTAGACCTATCCTGGGATAGCGCGTGCGGGGGTAGGGATATATCACCCTTCTCATAGGGCGATAGTGACTACGCGTGGTGTTCTATCAGAACCAATACCACCGGGCCTCTCACTGCTGTATGTGTACTTACGCTGACTGAGTATCAGGGTGAGTGGGGGGAGATAACAATACCACACTTCCATCCAAATACTCACGAGTGTTACGGTACGAATACCGAAGCTGCAGTCGTTAGCTAGGCTGACGTGAATTGCGCAGCTATAATTCGAGGAAGCTCACGCCTTGCTCTTGGGCGATCGAAAGAACATGATGCTATGGACGGCATTGAGGTCAATATCCGTACAGGGGATGTGATCGTGATTCCGGCAGGAGTTTCGCATCGATCGATTGAATCTGAGAAAGGCTTCAGGTACATCGGCGTATATCCCAAAGTAAGAATTGGATCAAATTTGGCATTGTGCTCGAGCACTTATTGACTATATATAGGCGGCTCCACGCTGGCGAAACAACCACTGCGAAGGCGATGAGCCCATGGATGCATTGTGTCTAGAGATCAGCAACGTGCCAATCCCTGATTCCGACCCTGTCTTCGGTACGAATGGCCCTCTGTGTCAGATTTGGAAGTCGGCACGAAGTAGGACCCGCGTGAAGATTTGAACTTGTCGAAAAGTGATAAGCCACCAATCCGACTTTGAGAATGGAACACACAGATAAGAACAAAATGCATATTGTTCCGTCTCAGCGCCTGTGCTATTGCGGATGAAGTGAATCGATATCGTCAGGAAAGTAGTTGAACGCAGTTCCGCCGGATACAGATGTGTCACCGTACGCCTGAAATGCAATGTCTTCCAGTCCTGCGCTGGTTGTCTGAATCAACATACCAGCAGATGAACTCGGACTCGGATTGATAGACGATTGATTATTTGCAAAATTCGACGAAGCGTTGAAGAGCGGTGGTACGCTGTGCATAGCGGTATTAGACTGCTCGTCAAAAGCACACTCTGAGTTTGACTTAGGCGATGTCAATGTGTAGTCGAACAATCTCCACAGCAATAGCAAGTCTTCTTCCTCAAGGTGTACTTGGTTGGCTCCTTCTGGTGGGGCTGCACCATCGTATTCTTCCTCAATATAGTTTAAAATTGAACGGTAAGGGATCCTTGCCTTCAGCTGCTCGAGAAGGGAAGCCTTGCGAGTGTTAGTTCTCTTGTTGAGATTGACAAAGGTGAGCTAAGCACATACACTGACTTGCATTCGCGGCCACTCTTGCGAGAGTCTTTTCACAAAGTCCAAGCATTTTTCGAATTTCTGTTTCGCAGACGCAGCTACAGTTGGATACTGGCTCTTGGTATGTTCCAGGTGTATCGATGCTGCAATTGCGACCAAGTGACCAAGAAAGGGGTCGTGAAGCATCAATTTGGCTTCATCCATATGACTCAGTAGCCTAACGACCCAATTGGCATGTATCAAAGAGAACTCATAAGACTTTTGTAAGAAGGTCAAAGGAATCTTCTGCTTGAGTCGTACTGTTTTGATGTGTATCATGAAAGGATGATTTCTGTATAAACTTCAGTGTGATGACACAACAAAAGCTCATGCTTGACTCACAAGGTGCAGTTCACGACAGATAGCGTCAGTTGAAATCGCAACCATACCACAAAATAATTTTTCAGATGTGGCTCATCTAGCACTCGAGCGGGCGATCCTATGCATGCCAAAGTATGTCCTGAAGTTTCGCATCCTGGAACGCTATTCAGCTTCACTTACACAAGCTCAGGAGCATACTTACTCATTTCAATATCCAGAAGTTTTGTCAAGATGGCGGCTCTAGGAGAGTCATGTCTCCAAAGAGGCACATCGGTATCCGAAGGGGGCTGTGCAATGTAATCGATGACGCACTCCCAGATCCTGATCGTCTGTATTTGTAGACAGGTGACACTCTGCGGCGGGAGGGGCGCATCTGAATCCACACATTGCAATGAGATATCATGCTCAGGTGGTTGCGTTCGAATATCTGGGTGGAAAGGTCCGCTTTGGATCACCGGAAGCTCGAAGGCTGTGGTAGGGGTCGAAGGGTTCCTTGTGTTTCCTCCAAGAAGCATTCGGTCTAACATGAAAAGTGACCAGATAATTTCCTGCCGGCGAGCTCGATCGGCAAGCTCAGGGCCGCAGAGCGAATCCGCACTCAACATATCACGGGCTTGCGCAACTCGCAATCCTAACGCCACTTGTGCTCGCGCTCTCTCTAGTCTCCCGTCTATACAACATTTCATCAGTCCATATCAACGAAATCGGTTCGATAGGTATAGAGACGCACCTCCCGAATCCACCTGGACTTGGAGACAAAGCGCCTGGAAGTATACGTCATCAATCGCAAAGTCACAGTATGCCTTTGCGATAAGATTCCACGAAAGTTTTGTCATTCTCGCTATACATCTCATTCTTTCGGATCTGTTGCTGAGAAACGGATGCCGGGATGAGCGTAAACTCAGAGCGAGCATAGCATATAGAATCATCGGAGGTAACAAGTCATCTTCACTAGACTCGAGGGTCTGAGAGGAAGCCAGGATGGGACATGGCTGGTTGCAAAACTCTGAAAAGTAAAGCGCAATACCCTCCGATATGACTGAGTCTGGTAGCTGCGCGTCTTTTATACTGCCGAGTTATTAGTGTTCAGTCATTGTAGTGATCGGCACAAGCCCTTACTGTGCATAGGGAGATTGTCTTGCAGTGGGAGGTGTTAATGGAAGTTCAATCGCAGGTTCTTGTGAGCTTCGCGTTGTCGCAGGGTCCTCATCTCGGCCATGGTCGATGGAAGGTTGGGCTGATTCAATTGATCGCTGTAGGCTAAGATCATCAGTCTTCATCGAGAGACACGGAGTAGCGAGCATACTCAATCGTGGCGGCAAGTTTCCTCAGCAGATCTTGAATCGTGTCTAGATGCCTGGACTAGAGAGGGATGAGCATTGCACAGGGAGATGTGATTGGCATGCATTACATCACTGGTGCCAGCCATATGGGGGACATCGTGAGGTCCGATAGACCGCTCGCGAGTTCGGTATTGAGTAGCATAGACACATCTCTGTCGAAGTCGTACACAACACGAACAGTCGGGTCTTTCCCCGGTGCACTTTGACTTCTTGCGACTTGCACTCGTGTCAGTTGCGGAAGTCTGTGGGGACGGTAATCTCTCCATACGCACGTACCGGCAATTTTCGCAAGCCTGTCTTGCGCGCTTGTTAGTAGTATATGGGGTGTGTCGGCTGCTTCGCCGGACTTCTGCCATCTAGAGGATGTACGTTGAACGGTTCACATCGTGCAGTGTCAGGAAGCCCGCAACCCGCGCCGGTGTCCGCTGCCGGCAGCACGATCGCGCACAGACCTTCAGAGATAAGATTAAGCATTACCTAGGTACCATGCGTATACGGAAAACAAGCTGCTGCGATGATCAAGCCAGGCCATTGACTGTCTTGTTCATCACTTCCTGGGCTAGTCCGAGGCCGGATACCGGGGCCAAAACCATGATTCTCCGATCACCTGACCGGAACGGCAGAGCCACGTGAGCGGCTTTCTAACGACGTGTCTGTTGTCCGATAACACATCTGGGCAGTATCGAGGAGTATATGGGATGTTGCAATGGTTTCAGCGCAGTTATGACCGTGAGGTCAAGACGGTTGATGACGACCCCTTATGCCTATCATGAGTCAATATCTCTGGAAACTCTTAGGCTACAAAGACGCGGAAAACGAGACGCGACCCACCAATACATCACGCAGTTTACCATCGTCGTGGTACACGTCCGACGCTATCTATCAGCTTGAGAGGCGGGCCATCTTTTCGAAGAGATGGATTCTGATTACACACAAGCACAGGATCCCGTCTGCTGGGGATTACGTGCAATTTGAAGAGGCAGGGTTCCGCTTCTTCCTGTGCCGAGATCGCGATGGCGATATCAATGGCTTCCACAACGTCTGCCGACATCGAGCATTCCCCGTCGTTACCGAACCTGCAGGGCGAGTGAAGATCTTGTCCTGCAAATACCACGGGTGGTCATACGGGTTGAAGGGTAATCTAGCAAAAGCGCCTGGTTATGAAGAGATGGAGGGATTTGACAAGACGCAGAATGGGTTGTTCCCAATGAGCGTTCACATTGATCAAAAGGGATTCATATGGGTAAATATGGATGTTGCAAGGGAGGTGGCATGGGAAGATGACTTTGAAGGAGTTGACACGCAGCCTCGGATGGACAATTTCAACTTTGATGATTACCGGTTCGACCATACATGGGAGATGGGTGGCGATTACAATTGGAAGGCGTTAGCTGATAACTACAATGAGTGCTATCATTGTCCGACGGCTCACCCGGACGTGGCTGGTATCACCGATCTGAAACTATACGCGGTCAGTACTCAAGGGGGGCACATTCAGCACTTCACCAATGCGGAGAATATCGCCATGGACGAGGGACAAAGGGTCCGCAGCACATATTATTTCCCTAATGCCTGCATGACAGTGACGTGAGTGGACGAATGGAGAGATTGTGAGCTCTATCACAGTCAACTGACCGAGAGTAGACCTTTCTTCTTTTACATGATGAGATGCGTACCTACATCAGCCACTCATTGCTCCATGGAGTACGAAGTCTATCGACACAAGGACGCCTCCGACGCGGAGTTCGAAGCCATTGATTCCATGTACAAGCGGGTACTGAACGAAGACAAGTGGCTTTGCCTCAACACGCAAAAGAACTACGCTGCAGGTGTCTACGTTAGTGGCGAGATGCATGCAAGAATGGAGAAGGGGCCGTTGTTCGTCCAGAAAACTGTGCGCAACCTGGTTCGGCAGCATCATGAGCGCGAAAGGCAGCTGGGTCGCGAGATATGGCCTGCACGACAGGTTTTGCCAGATTCGGCAACACGGGTACATGAAGACGAGGCTTTCTTGTGCGATCTGAAATGTCAGACTGACAAGCTCGAGTGGTAGAGTCATCTGCATATGAGTGGTGGATAGACACTCGGTAGATTGCAAGTGTATCTTATCTTGATGAGGATGAGGCTATGAGAGGAGATCTCTCAAGTTGACTGTGGAGAAAGAGATTGCGTTTCTAAATTCACCGAATTAACGCCGGTGTATCGGTGTATACTAATACATTCTGCAAGACGTATTGTATACTTGCGCAGAGGTACTCATCAACAAGATATGCCGTACATATACAGGACTTGATCCACGGCCATCTTCGGCATCGTCACGTTGATGCTTTATGACATTACGCACTGCGCCACAACAGATAACCAGCTAACCGTTCATTCAACCCCTTCTTCTCCATAGTGTTTGGTACGACGCGCAAGTTGGAGAAAAAGCTAGAGCAAACAATTGGCTTTCGCGCCATGCGCTTTGACATATCCACCGTGGCAAAGTCCGCTAGAACCTCAGAATACGAAAAGAGAGAGAATACGAGAAAGAGCAGTTATACGAAAATGACTCTCAGCCAAATCTCGACATCACATAAATACGCTGGTACCGCGTAGGTTTCAAGGTGTTACATCAGTCGCCCAGTTGCTTGTTTTGCCGTTCGATATATCTAGCATGTTGCGATCCCTCATTCTCGCAGCTCCCGCTCTCGCAAGTGCAGCAGCAACACCACCATTCTGTCGTTCAACACCCTCAGATGCATCATGGCCTACACTTTCTGAATGGTCTTCTCTAAACGAAACGATCAGCGGGTCTTTGATACGTACTGTGCCCGTCGCATCGTCCTGCTGGCCCGACGCCAATGGCACCTTTGCTTCTCCTTCCCCTCGCTCTTGCCAGGAAGTCAACGACAAATGGTCAAACGGGACCTGGCACTCCCAACTTCCCGAGTCAATTGATTACCAGCTGTATGCAAACAACTCTTGTTTACCAGACGAATCCGGAAGTTGGACGCAGAAGCAGGGATGCAAGATTGGTGCTTTGCCGCAGTACATTGTCAACTCAACGGAGGAGGCTGATGTCGCAGCTGCGATGAAATGGGCTGCTGATCGTAACATTCGGATTGTTGTCAAGGGAACAGGTCATGACCTCAACGGGCGGTAGGTATATGTTATCCAAATGTATTCAGGGTAGCCAGCTAACAATACCCGTGTAGCTCGAGTGGTGCTTTCTCCCTCTCCATCTGGACCCGATACTTCCGCAACTTGACTCGCGACACAGCCTGGCGTGCCGCAAACAGCTCTTCGCCAGCTGAAGACGTCTTCATAGTCGGCAGTGGCCAGCAATGGGGCAACGTCCTCAAGTTCGCGACAAGCCAAGGCCGTGTCGTAACAACAGGCCAGGACCCCAGTGTTGGGCTCGGCGGCTACATCCAAGGCGGCGGCCACGGTCCGTTGGCTCCTACCTACGGCCTTGCATCAGCCCAAGTGCGCCAGATGACCGTCGTAACAACCACCGGACATGTTCTTGTCGCGAATGAAGTCCAGAACCGAGATCTCTTCTGGGCACTCCGTGGCGGTGGTGCAGGACAATATGGCGTCGTTACCGAATACGTCATCAAGCACCATCCAGCACCCAGTAACGTCGTCATGGCAAGCGTCCAGATAATGCCCCAGGGTAGTTCGAATGCCAGTATGGACGCATCATGGTCAGCAGCAGCCAGTTGGCTCAGTGCACTCCCCGATCTCATGGACGCCGGACTCTCAGGCGCGGCCACCGTAGCAGTAGGAAGCACGGCACCAAAGTTCTTCCCAAACCTGGACGTATCAAACGGCCCATTTACTGGCATCGGGCTCAACCAAGTCTTCTGGGCTTTCAACACCACGCCCGCCGCCGTACAAGCCCTCGTCCAACCCGTCTTGTCCAAGATCCTCGCGTCCAACACAAACAACACCAGCGCAAACATCTCCCTTGTCTCGACATCAATGACAGCTTCACACTTTGCAAACTACACCGCCTTCTTCAGCGCCATATCCGGCGACAACGTAGCAGGCGGTGAATCCCTAACCTCATCCCGCCTGCTCGGCCGCCCAGAACTCACCCACACCCCTCACGAACAAGTTGTTTCCTACCTGAAAACCGCAATGGCGAGTCAAAACACCACCGACCCGGGTAACTACGCCACCATTGGCCTCAGCGGCGGTCCCGGCGTGCACTCCACCCCGTCTGCACACTGGGGCGCTTTACACCCTGGCTGGCGGCGCGCATACCTTCACTTCATCGCCACGGGCGCGACCGTCGATTCCAAGGCTGCCGGGTCTGCCAAGAAGGCGCTGCAGATTGGCGCAGACTGGCATGCCAAGGTTAAAGAGCCCATGTGGGAGAAGTGGGCGCCGGGTTCTGGTGCGTACATGAACGAGGCGAATCCATTTATGCCTACGTTCCAGCAAGCGTTTTACGGCAGCAACTACGAGGCGTTGAGGGAGGTCAAGCGCAAGTATGATCCTAGCGAGAGTTTGTATGTGCTTTCGGGAGTGGGAACGGAGAGGTGGGAGTATGATCTTGATAGTGGCAAGTTGTGTGGGTTTTAGACATGGTGGGATGCGGTAGATCTGATCGTTCAGGTGTGTTTTAGAAGCGACGGTCGATAGATTGTATTTTTACATGTCTTCATTGTTAGCTAATAATAGAATTGTATGCTCGATTTCGACTGCTGACTGCGTTTGGCAGTGTAGGTGGTATATGTTGTTCGTTTTGGAGAAAGACAGTGGGTCTTAGCAAGTTGATGAGCTTTGGTGTGGGCATGGAGGTGGATGGCGGTCTGGAACAGACGTCAGCCAATTCTGGGGGGAAAGCCAAAATGGTTGCAGAAACAGCAATGTTGGTAATTCACAACAGAGGCCACTTGTGGAGTTTGGCTGAAGTAGATGTTTTCATTTGGGTATTGCAAGACAGCTCATCGTGGTTTCGTCCCACCTCCCTTCCAGCGCTCCCAACCCGATACAAGCCACGGAGCTCTGGCGCCCGGCGTGTCCTTGTAGCTAGCGGAGAAGATGTCTCACATGTCGAGCTTTGTCGTCCTCTCCGCTTCGTTTACTGGCCGACCTTCTTCGCCTCATCCTGCAGCTCCTTGATCTGCTGCTTGGTGTCCTTGCCGGTCTCGGAACGATCCGCCTTGACCTGTCCTTTGCGTTAGCCAGTGCCCTCACAATTTAATTGTGCCCTGGATTTAGGGCGGGGTATTCAACTTACAGCGCTCTCGCTGTCACTGGCAAGCTGCTCCTCCCAAGAACCCTTGCCCTGCTTTTGCTTGTTCAGCTGCTCCTGCTTCTTCTTCTCAACCTCCTCGGCACGGTTCTCGGAATCTGTTCGATTGCGTCAGCTCTGCTTCTCTCTCTCGGTGTACAGCTGGCACGCATTCAGCGTCATGGTGTTGGATGCTGGGCCGAGGTTGTCGGTGCGGACGTACGGAGAGTTGACTCCTTGCCGGCGGTGCGGGCTATTGACTGGGAGAAGGCCGCACGCTGGACAAAGGCGACGGGAGCGCGACGGGTTGCGAAGGCACGGATGGCGGACATGGCTAGTTTCGTAGGATGTGTTTACGTGGAGGGAGTAGTAGTTTGCGGGGTTTCGGCGGTGTAGCTCGGAGCTCTAGCTGCACGTATTATTCGTTCCGTGGATGTATTTCAACGGGAAGAAGTCAATTGAATTGATGAGGAACCTCAGAAGTGTAGAAAAAGCTGGCAGATGACGATTGCAGGAGGAAGGGTTGGTTTGCTGGAGAAAACACACGTTCCTCGGTTAGTGGACGTGACTAGCTTCACCCAACGACGTCATCCTTTCCCCAGTCGGCAATCATCATTACAACAATTGGCCGAGTCCTGTCAGTCGCTCGACGGAGCCTCATTAGTCATGCTCTTGCGACAGCTAGATGAGGCCTAGACCCGGAGAGGCTCTGATGAACTTGCTCTCTCCACGCCTGCCCCTCAACTCCAGCACACGGCACCAGTAGCCACTTACAGCTTTGGTTTATGTGCTCTTATGCCACAGTATGTTTGATTATGCCGTCGCTGTCCCCGATATCTGCTAGCCTTTTTTGTACCCACCGTATCAAAGTGAAGATGGGAATGCACAGACCACGAACCCGATGGCTGTGTGCATTACGCTTCGGTACCCTAATTCCACGTCGGCACTGCCGTCATGATCATTGAATCTGACTGCGTGGGTGAACCAGAGATCTAGCGAGATGCTGTGGTTGACGACGGTGTTTTCGAGAATTCTAGCTGGTCCAGGAGGCTTCTGGTCGGCGGAGAGCGCGCTGGATAGCACGACGGTTGGTGCCGGAGAACTCATCGCGGCGAACAGCTAGCCCCGTGAGATCTGGTCCAATTCGTCAAAAAGCAATGAGGAAGCCATTTACGGGAGTTTCCACCATGGTCAGCACCGTGGTGATTGAGGTCCAAGCGGAAGAGTAGCGGTATAGGCGCGTTGTGGGAGAATAGTAGTGAAACCGTGATCCACACCTTTCGACGGACTGCCTGATTAGGAAAGAGTTTGGTGGGATGTGAGATGGAAATTTGGGTCTCGAGAGTACAGAACATGTCCAACGGAGATATGCGTGTCGGCGCGCGAGCAGGCCCGCCGATACAAGAACCAACATAGCGGGCATGAGATATAGCGAGGTACACGCGAGTCGGACCTCACTGTTTGAGTGTGCAAGATTCAGCACATATCAAGGTACTCTTCTCAGGCAAAAGTGCCCGTGTATAATTTCCGCACTCCCGTTCAGCGCGAGTGATGAGATGACGGAGAAGATCGTACGCAATGCGTTCAGATCGATGCTAAACAAGAGTGCAGTGGGTGCAGTCACGGCTAACATGCACAAGCTCATTGAGTGATGAAAGATTTCCTGTAATCATTGTGTCAAGAGTGGCTTTAATAATAGAATCTAGTTGAACTTACTGAGAAGGATACAATCTGCGTTGTCGGTCTTTTCTCCTCTTATCTACAAATTACAAAAGTTCCAGCTTCTGCTACACCTTGCTATTCATTCTCCTCTTAACTACGGTAGATACTCCAAGGACCTTTCTAGAATGTCGCTGCGAGCAACAGGAACACTACCTGTAGAAGAAGGTACATCGAGGGATCTATCAAAAGGGTATATATACAGCTGCATATAGTGAAGCCAAGTGAGTGTTTGGAACTTACTTCTACTACGATACAGTACAGTGTAACTCAACAGCGTTGTGCCTGCGTCTTAGCACCAGCACGTCCATCATATTAATGGGAACATCTGTTCATATTCCTATAAATGTCGAATTCTTCACACGTATCGACGATAGAGACATGAGATCTATAGCCTTCAATCGCACTCTCGACATCAGTCTACCATCTCGCTATCGAAGACTTACGCCTCCTTCTTCAGAACACCAGATTCGTAGAACGTCTCGCCATCCTCCTACCCACTCCCTTTCTCTGCTACCACCAACCTTCCCTCCTCCCACACTCTCGCCACAACATCACATCCATTCCACCATCCATTCACCCTCGCAACCCATCACCAAACCTAAGATTTTGTTCCTTTTTCTCAGAGAAAGAGAAAAAAGTAAAGAAAGCAAATACTTCAAATCAGTCCACCTTCCAACCCAATCAAGTTCACATGACCAAGCATTCCACAAGTCAGGGCTAGCTAGCATAAAGAGCTCGAATGAACATCCCATCTATCCATCACGCATCCACGCCCAAGAGGAACGAAATGGGGAGGCGGAGGGGGAAAAGGGAAACAAACACACTACTAATATTAGCACAACACCAACATCTCCAGCTGATTAGCCAACCACCACCATTTGCCCCAAAAACACCCGTTTTGCCTCCCTCCTCGGAATCGAGTCTAGAAATGGCCATAGGGCACCAAAACCCAATGATCTACATAGCCAAAATAGCCCGCCGCCGCCTACTCCCTCGTGACAGCTCCCCTAAAGCTAAGTGTACCACTAAACTCCCCGCCAAAGAGAACAGGCCACAGGTCGGCACAGCTTCCCCCTTGAACTAGCCTACATTCGTTTCCTCTCCCCCTGGGTTCGTCCGTCCGCATGGAGAGAGGGGGGAGGGGAGTACCTGGCATGGCATGGGCAATCCCCGAGCTTGGTGTGGGTGGAGGTTTTAGTCAGTTTGGTCCCTGGGAAAGCTTTCCCAAGTGCATGCCTAGGTGACATTGCGTGGCGTGCGGGGTCAGCTCAGCTCAGCTCAAAGTGTGTTGGGGACCCATCTTCCATCAGTTTAGTGTAGAGCTTTCACACAACATGCAATGACAAGTAGAGCGCTGGCAGTGGATTTGGAGATCTGATCAATGAGCAAGTTGCGTGTATTCCTTTCCTAGGATATTCACTGCCCTCGAACGTAAAAGTTGCGAGGCGTGTAGATATAAGAGGGAGAACAGAGCTCCCAACGAAAGGAGAGAGAGAGGGAAAAACATCCAAGAAGAGATCGCCAACCACACCGGGTGTCGTCGTATAAATCCTCGTACAAAGAAACCAAAAACAAGCAGAGAAGATAGGAAAAGAGACACCAGCGCCTGATTGCGTAGAATCATCCCAGCGTCGTCGTACAAAGTAACGCGACAAGGCGAACGAACCCCAAGACAACACCGTGACTGATGACCCACCAACATGTACGCTTAGACACCGTCGCTTTCGCAAGTTATAGGGCGCCCAAACAAATGGTATATACCAACACCGCTCCGCTTGAAACCCGAAGAGAGAACCAACCAGCGACATAGGAAATCTACCTCAAGTTTTTCAAGGTGTTTGAAAAAACAGATAGCAATAGCCAGAAATGCGTGAACAGACCCAGAAAACACCGTTGTATGTGCAAACCGCCGTTAATGCGTTAGCGCTTTCAACGCTTGAAAGCAATCGAGAACCAAAGCGCTTCTATCCGGTAAAATGATGTGTGGTTTTGTTTTTTCGCTGACAATTGCAACGCCGTCGCCGAGTTCAAGTGGTATACCCAAGATATGTCGAAGAAGATATCGTAGATTTATACAGTGTGGACATGGTGAATGAGGATTAGAGATCCAGGTAGCCCACTAGCCTAGCAACACACAACGCCGCATTTGTTGACCGAACAAAAGACGCTTGGCCTCGTGCCTGCAAGATTCTACCAGCGTCGCGACATGAACTGTTGCTGCATCTGTCGGTTGGGGGAGACAGAGGGAGGTGGGCTGGCAACAGCTCGTGTCGAGGGGTCAACAATGGGGATGGCATTACGTGTGCGCTGGGCTAGTGGCTGGTGTAGCTTGGTTTGCGAGTTGTTCTGTTGGAAGCCGACAGGGGTGTAGGGGTTGGGTCCTGCTGAGGACAGGACAAAAGAGGGAGTTGGCTGCAGCTGGTGCTGGAGCGGTGACTGCTCGGGCGAGCCGCTCGACAGCGAGGAGCGGTCTGAGCCGGAAGAGTGGATGGATTGCAACTGTTCATCGAGTGTCAGCGCCTGCTTGGGCGGATTCGATGACGGGTGGCAAATATTGGCGACTTACATCATCCTCGGTGAGTAGGTGGAAAGGGCAGAACATCTCATCATCCTCGATGTCGAATGACCTGGCAGCCTCGAAGTCGCGCTTGTATGCGATGAGGGTGGGGGGCTCGACGTTGAATTCCTTGGGGGTGCGGACTTGGCGGAACTGCTTGTTGTGCTGCTGAGCCGAGATCCGGGGCGCCCTCCGCGATCGGCCGCCGTGGTGGTTGTGCGAGTGGGCGTTGAGATGTTGGGCGTGGTGCTGCTGGGCACCGTAGTTGAAGAATTGCGACATGGTTGGTTGGTTGTTGTTGTTTGGTGCTGTATGGGATGACTGTTGTGTGTGAGGAGGGGTTGCGTTGTAATCCAGGGAGCTCGACCACAACAAAGGCGAAACAAAGGGGTATAGCTCGGAGGGTGGCGGTTGTTAAGGATGCAGGGTAGATGCAAAGGGAGGCGGGAGCGGTGCGGGTGCGTAGAGTATTATTTAATAGTATTGCGATGCGAGGCTGAGAGATGTGGTTGAGAACGCTGGTGCAGAAGTGCGAGGAACAAGAGGAGCGAGAGGGCTGGAGAAGAACAGGCTGGGTCAGATGGATGGGTGGGTGGCCCGAGCGCGTCGACCGACACAAGCGATAGCGTGTCATTGGCTGGCTCCATTGCGCCAATTCGCCACCACGCCTCCTTGGACCGATGCGCTCTAGCTCAGCAGGGGAGCCTGCGCTAGGACCTTTGGAACGCTTGCGCTGCATAGTCAAAGGCGCGCCGCCAGCGTGCGCAGACGGATCGCCTCCCGAGGGCATCGATGTCCATCCATCGAGTATCAGACAAGCCTGGTTCAATAATCGGCCATGCCTATTGCCCTCTCCTAGTTCCCTCGATACATGGCCATTCCATGGGGATGCGCGCGCAAAAAGTAAACCCCAGCCGGCGGCGCATCGTCAAACAGCCCTTATGCGACACACACGACGCTAACAGCTGCCAGCCCAGCGAGGCTGTGAGCTGGCTGGCAAGTGACCACCCACAGTGTCTGCGCCCTGACCGCTTCTTCCGCACCTCTACCGTCGCCAGGGGAATGCAGGTAGTCTTCCCGGCCAGTACATGACCACTTGTCCAGCGTCGGCAAGGGCGGCCGCATCGTAAGTGGAAGTCCCGAAGATGTGCTGGAGTGAGGCCGCGAGCGCTGGCGCGTTGGAACGCTAACGCAGCTGTGCCTGCGACGGCCAGCAGCAGCCTGACACCGTGGTTGAGCGCATGCCAGGATTCGCTCGTGGCCGCCGAGTCCCTGCCGACGGCGCCCGCAAATCGCTACCATTATGAGCGCACTGCCCATGTTCTGGAATGCCGCCAGCGCTGCGCACCCGGATGCCCATGGGAAACTTGTTGAGCCCATGCTGCGAGACCAGCTCGCCCACCCGCGACCACCATGACCATCATATGAGCAGCGCCATTCCATGCGAACATCCTGCTGCCGTTGCGCCTCCGACAGCAACGTTTAAACGCCCATGGCCATGCGAGACGTTTTCCACCCGTCAGTGTTTCCGAACATGCCCGGACCTCACCCTGTGTGACGTCCCGACGTCCAGGATATAGCGCCATGGCCAATAGAAATCTGCCACTACGTGAGACCAAAATAGCGCTTCTGCACTCGTTCTCCCCGGCCCGGACGCTCGACGGCCTGTCCAGTGATCGACAATCCTTAGCAGCAGCTCCTGTCGTCACTCCATCTTCGTGTGATGTCGTCTTGTTACTGTTGTTGGGGGTTCTCGGTGACGGCCGTCGTGAGCTGATCAAGCCAGCCATGAATCATCCTCGAGTGCCGTGACATCCATGCCGCGCAAACGTTCCTGCGACGGGCCAAGCTTTGTCGCATGAAGACTCGCCCTTGGCTCGAAACAGACTCATTTGATTGTCTCTCCCCACCCCGTGGGATGAGCAAGTGGACGCGAGCTGAATCAATATATTCGAATTTAGGCCAAGTGCTGCATTGATGCATGGTTCATGCTGATACTGTAAGGCTGCTTGCTGCTTTAGAGTGCTGACACCATGATAAGCACACCAAAGCACGCCGACAGAGGAGCCGGCAGCTCGTGGTGGCACAGTGGAGTGATTGTTGGGACAGCCATGCTGCGACTTTGTGGCGCATGCTCATTGTGACGAATGGGCAATGTCTGTCCCTGATGCTGTTTCATCGGTATGAAGTCTTTGAAGACGACGCTATCAAGCGTCTGGTGTACCGTGCATTGCTACGTGATAGGACCGCCGAGCTGCTGACACCCAAATATCATATCTAATGATCTTGGAAGAGTCTACGGAGGAGCTTGGATTTTTCTTTAAAGCCACACCTCCAAACAATACAGCTTACGCTGAGGATGCATCAACTTGTACGTTGCGACTAAATTAATCAAGTCATGTTGTATACTCTTATGCTACTTGTTATGCAACAGGTTCAACTTATTAAAAACGAGCTCTCGATAAAGGTTTAGCTGGAACCAGAAGGTTACTTGTCCAAACCTCTCGCCTTGACAAATTTTGCAATCTGGTCTTTGCATGTTTTATCGGTATAAGTCTCCCAAACTTCGTACAATGAGATCAGCTCCTGCGTGCACTCCACAACAGCCTCGATATCTACACTACTTTCAGCAAGCCAATCGACTAGTTTCTGTATTCGTGCCTGCATCCCCTGTCCACCACGTGCATTGCCCAGCGTCTGCAGTGCGTTGTTCATCCCGGCTGCATTGACCTGGGAGCCGATGGGCTTGAGAACGACTGCCAAGAACATCGCTGTTATGGCGATAACATGCGGTGCGTGGAGAAGTGGAAGATCTGTCAGATAGTGATCGTTGATGATCGACCATGCCAGGGCATTTTCTTCTTGGGTCAGTTGGAATTGAGTCTGGAGTTCAGCGAGGCTGCGGTATGGGTGGTGGAGGATTAGTTGCGAGTTCATCTCAGAGATGAGTGTAAATTCGCACTCGCCGATTTTGGAAACGTCGTTGAATGATGTATCTGTATTTGTCAGAATCGGGTTTTGTTCTTACATTCCGTGACTTACCCCAACAGTGCCGCGCCTCTGCCAACACCATTCTGATATGCTGCGGGCACTCTTCCATCTTACACGCCAAGTACAGTGCTGTTGCCAGCACGAGCGCTGGATTCGTCCTCCGAATCTCGACCTTGGCATAGAATCGTCGGACGTACACTTGTGCGGTAGCCAGGGCTTGCTGTCGAATTCCTAGCGGTCTTGCCATTTTGGAGAGTTCTAGGACATGTCAGCATGCACATGGATCAACGTGTCACGTTACGTACGATGAGAGAAGTAGATGCTCATATGCCTCCGATCTGGCAGAGGATATAGGTTGACCAGATTGCGTTCTGCATCTTCCATTCTCTTCCGCTCGAGTGCTAGCTCTTGTTTTGTAAAAGTCCAGAACTTGCGTTGGGTTGACTCCCAATAGCTTGAAGACATGATGGGCTGAGTAAACTGGCGCCTGTTGTACGCCGAGATATGACAGGAAGCCGAAGTCACTCGAATCCTCAAAGAACGGCTTTATTTTGTTCCCTGATTTTCAGGTGATCTAACAACGCTCTCAGATGTCGCTTTGGTGTCGAAAGCGGTGCCAGCAGGCTGGAACTCCGATATCGTTCGAAGAAGCAAGATGCCAGCGGACCAGTAAAGGCCGGATACACGGCGACCGGAGAAAAAACTATTTCAATGCATAGTCGAACGACACCTGGACGCAGGACGATCGCACGAGACGTGAAGCGTGGAAAGAAGGATGGTGTTGCAATGTCGCGTCCAATCAGGTGCGAGCGAATGTTAGGCTCCTGTCGTGGCTTCCCTCGGTGTTGCGGCATGCCCCGCTAACCCCTTTCAGCCGCCCTCTCCAAGCTTTGAGACTGACCTCATACCCCACGTCGAAGCCTGTACGAGCCTGTCTCCTTGACAGCTTAGCCATTCTCCTCGCAATTCACCTCGCCCGGTGCCCATAGTCGCCCTCCCGTGTGTGTCGCGACCCTCAGCCATGATAGACCGGAGATAGCAGGACGAACATGGACACAAAGAGCGCAAGCGTTGCCGACGCCAGGGTGGACGAATTATGGTCAACACTCGACACGCGCAAACAGGGCCACCTTGACCTCGCAGGCCTCAAGAAGGGGCTGCGAAAGCTGGACCATCGTAAGAGAGGACGGCGCGCGCCGAGTTTCCGTCGCTGACAACAACGCTGTAGCCTTGAAAAATGCGGACCAGCTCCTCAATGAGGTAATGCAGGCTGTGGATATCGATGGGAACGGAAGAATCACAGAGCAGGGTGGGTGTCTTCCTCTTGTTCAGAGCAAAGACATACTGACACTATTGCCCAGAATTCCGCAAGTTTGTACACGAAACCGAAAAGGAGCTCTACCACCTATTCCAGACCATCGACTACAATCGCGACGGCAGGATCTCCAAAGATGAGCTGCGCTCGGCTTTGCGGACTGCCGGACTTGCTGTTCCCAATAGCAACCTCGACAAATTCTTTTCAGAAGTGGATACCAATAATGACGGGACCATTAGTTTTGAAGAATGGCGGTACGTACTCAGTCAATTCGATCACCACACGTCGACTTGCGCGTCCGAGTCTGGACCACGAGACGACATGGTGGAAGCGTGAACATCCCAAGACTGTACGGTTGTTGGATCGCTGTTTGAGCTACACCATGAAACGGTCTCGCGATGCGCACAGGCATCGTAACGAACTTTCACGACAGCGTACTGACTGCTAAAGGGACTTTCTTCTCTTCATTCCGGTCAGCGCACCATCTCTCCACGCCGTAATGTCGTATTTTTCCGCCACTATGAAGGTCAACCAGGAAGGCGACGTTCTGATCAGTGACGACACAATCCAAGGCCTAGGTACTACACAGCGTTTTCTTCGTTTTTTCTTTGGTTCCCTTTTCATTGTAGCGCACACACCGCCCTACAATCCCCTTCCAGAGGCTAGCGCACCGCTCGGAGGAATGGCTTCACCACCTTCAACGATGGTCTACCAAGGTGCAGGTGCCCTCCCGCCACGGTCTGAAGCCGACAAGAGCAGCGCTTCTTCTTCCATTGAAGAGATACCGGCAAAACTTATAGAGAGCTTAGGAACCATGCTGATTGCTTGTGTTCCCAATCCAGGCTATTTCGTGGCGGGAGGCGTTGCAGGCATTGTTTCTCGCACCTCGACTGCTCCGCTCGATCGTTTGAAAGTCTACCTCATCGCCCAGACCAGCGTGGCGGAAGAAGCCGTCGTCGCTGCGAAGCATGGCAATATCATCAAAGCTGCTATGAATGCTTGGAGGCCACTTGCGACCGCCACCAGGGAGCTATGGCAGGCTGGCGGTATGCGCAGTTTGTATGCTGGTGAGTCCATATTGACATGTCTTGCTCGCAGGCTTTGACAAGCGCAATAGGAAACGGGTTGAATGTCGTCAAGGTGATGCCTGAATCGGCCATCAAATTTGGTTCTTACGAGGCAAGTATAATCAAGTGAACCAAACGCTTCCCCTAACTCGCGCAGGCTGCGAAACGCGTCTTTGCCAAGATCGAAGGCCACAATGACCCTGCCATAATACATTCCTGGTCGAAATTCGTTGCTGGTGGTCTAGCTGGTGCGTTCTTCCACGTCATGATCTAACATGCACACATTTAACACGCTCGTAGGAATGGTCTCACAATTCGCCGTATATCCCATCGACACGTTGAAGTTCCGCATGCAATGCGAAACCGTCTCCGGCGGCCTTCACGGCAACCGCCTCATCTGGGCCACGGCAAAGAAGATGTGGAATGCTGGAGGCGTCGCCGCATATTACCGCGGACTCCCTATGGGTATTGTGGGCATCTTTCCCTATGCGGCTCTCGATCTAGGTACCTTTGAGTATCTCAAACGCTACGTCGCGCGCCGCAACGCTAAACGCCTTGGCTGCCATGAACAAGACGCCGAACCGGGAGGCTTCATGACGGCCGCTATTGGCGGCTTTTCTGGGGCGTTTGGTGCTAGTGCAGTCTATCCACTTAACCTCTTGCGAACCCGGCTACAGAGTCAAGGCACTGTCCTCCATCCACGAACATACACAGGAATCATGGACGTGACGAGGCAGACTATCAAGGGCGAGGGAATGAGGGGGCTTTTCAAGGGTCTAACGCCAAACTTACTCAAGGTCGTGCCGGCTGTGAGTATTACTTATGTTGTTTATGATAAGAGTAAGAAGGCGTTGGACCTGCCCTGAAGGGAGGTAGATGATACTGAAGAGGTGGAGAGACGTGTCAAACATTGACAATCATCCACCACTTACCAACCATGCCGAGCCCTGGCGGGATACAAAGCACCGGTCTGGTCAGACCTTGGCCTCGAATCCACAGCACCAGATCACAATGCCCCTAGCGGGGTTTCCACCTTGCATATACACAGACAGCGATACCCTTCGAGCTTCAAAACTTTTACGGTCTTCTATTTTCTTTTTTTGTTGCATCATGCGTGGCGTTTAGGCGTCAGCGGCTGTGTATCACCCGACTGGTGTGCGCAGATGTTGGGTCTTGGGAATGAGCGAGAGCATCTGATGTTGTGGCTTTGTGTTGGCGAAAGCAGACGTGTTGTAGTAGTAGTAGTAGCAAGTGGTGGGTAAGGATGGTGGAGGTCCCAAGTAGGAGCATGGCATGATCAACAGTACGATGCATGCTAGTCTTTAGCTGCTACAAACAATGACTGGTTCCTTTACTCCGTCTCAATAGCATGGAACTGCCGCTTGATCAAAAGTCTAATTCCCTTTTCCTCCCATTTCAAACAAAAAACGCCCATGGAGAGGCCTATTAAATGCTTTACTACTTTGTAATAACAATCAACAAAACCAGTATAATAATGAGCACCACAATAACCGTCAAACTCCAATTCTCCCGCGCTTTCCTCGAAAACCTATCTAGCCTGCCTCTTGCACGCACAAACTGCGCCGCATGTCTATCCACGCCTTCCTCGACATCATCCAGCAACATGACCTGCCCGTCTAGCTCGTCGCCAATCTGCATGGACAGCTCGCGCTGGCGACTGATGCTCTGGCCCAGTTGATCGAGCTGCGAGTCTTGGTCTGCGATGACGCGGTCGTGGTAGGCGTGGATTTGCTGGTTGTCCAGATGCGCGAGATTGGGGCTGCTGGCGTCGTCGTCGTCGGGGGGATCGTCGCGGTAAGGGAAGAGGGAGGCGCGGTTTGCAGCATCGTCATCGTCGTTGTCGCTGAAGCGGACGGATTTTGAGGCTGAGCGCGTGGTAGTGGGTTTCTTGTTTTGGGCGGCGGCAAAGTCGCGGGATAGGGAGGGGTCGTTGGGGGAGGTAAGGGTTGGTGAGGTCGTTGTTGCTGCTGGGTTGGTGGGTGTGAATTGCGACGTGAGTTCAGCTAGTTGGCTGCGGAGGCGGGGGAGTTGTGAGGTTATGGAACTTGAGACGGTGACGGTTAGTTCCATGGCCATGTTCTTGTTGGTATAACGGGCTCTCTTACTCGTCTGATGTGTCTTGGACTTGCGACTCCAACGATTCAATGCCGGAGCGCAGTTGCTCCAGTGACCGCGAGATCTGGCCATCTTGGCTGTTGGACGGGAGGTTGAGGGATAATGCGCGTTGGCGCTCGAGGAGGGAGAGCTTGATGTGGTCGGCGAGGAGGAACAGCTGTGGGGGGTTGGTTGCCATGATGGCTTGCGGCGGGTGAAGGGTGGATTCAGGGCGGAGGTGTAGTACGGGGACAGTATGCGGGAGTAGACGCGATTATTCACAAGGGCAATACGAAGACAGAAACACACGGGATGTTGCAGCTACAAGCTCGTGCCTGGTGGAGATGATGGCAAGGCTGCTGCACTCCAGGAGCGGACCGCTGACGACAGCCCTCAGAGGTGGTCCACATGCCGTGGCTGGGCTGGGGTATCTCATGCATGCATGCACGACGGCACGGCCATCAGCCGGCATTCCTCGCTCTTGCGCAACCACACACAACAACACCCGCATGCTTCGCTCGCGCTGCTGAGATATGCGCAAACCTGACCGGGCTATATAATCTTTGCTTCTGGCGCTCTGCAGCCAGTGAATGACTGTCAGGGCGACCATCCTCCAACCACCCACCCCGCCAGATTCACTTGGATCGACACTCAACGAGGAGACCCGAGACAGCGCATCTCACCGCCGACTGCTGGGCGGCGCGCACAAGAAGCCTCGCTGCCCCGGCTATCCAGGACAGCTGGTCAAACATGTCGTCTCCCAGTCCCATCCCACCTCCCAACGACCGACGTTCTTCACGCTCCTCGCGCTCTTCCAGCAACGCCGCCTGGACAGGCTGGCCCGACGAGCACGACGACAGAATCATGGTCGGTGGCCCTCCAAGCAGCCCCTCGCCCCTGGCTGTCCGCGTGTCCAATTCGCCATCAACGGCGCGTCGTCACAGCCGAATCGTCAAAGTACCCCCCGAGTTCGCCAACCTCGACTACGTCTCCGCGCCCGACAGCAACCTCGTCTGCCTCATCTGCCATGCGCCCTTCGACAGGCCCGTCCAGCTCTCCTGCGAGCACTACTTTTGCCGCGAGTGTCTCGATCACGCGTGGGCCCCGCAGCCCAGCGGCCGGCGGACGTGTCCTACGTGTCGGCATGCTGTGGAGACGGACCATGACATTCGCCCTGTGCCCAGGATCATCGAGACAATGCTCGATGAGCTGGTGGTCAAGTGTCCCAACACAAAAGCCGGCTGCAATTGGGTCGACCAGCGCGTCAATGTCCACGATCATGTCATGCTGTACTGCGAATACACGCCCGTCGAGTGCTCTGCCGCAGACTGTCGCCTGCAGATATCCCAAAAGGATTTCCACAAGGGCTGCTTGCATTACACCGTCAGCTGTGACGACTGCCACGCTTCCCTGCTAAAGAAGGACCTCGAGGAGCACCAGCGAAGCCTCTGCGACAATCGTCTGACCATCTGCTCGCTGTGTGAAGCTCAAGTCCTCCGTCTAGACCTCAAACCCCACATCAACAACGACTGCCCCAAACATGTCATATCATGCCAAGGCACAATCGTAGGCTGCAAGTTCACTGCCGAACGAGTCGACGTCTTGAACCACGAAAGCAGCTGCGCAATGGCGACAATGGCCCCCCACTTCCGCGAGCAACAAGCCCGCATCGAGCGCAACGAAGCAAGACTAGAACCCCTGACACGCAAAGTCGGAATCCTCGAAGACGGTCTTACAAATATCACCAACTATCTTTATCCCGCCAATGGAAACGACGCGAGTTTTCCCGTCACCGATCCTTTGGATCCAAACGATGCGCAGGCTCCTACGCCAGACTTCAGACTCCCGCCTGCGTCGTTCCCACCGGCAGGGAGTGAGAACAACAACACCACACAACCTCCTTTCGACTCGCAGGTCCATCATCTGCTTACACTGCATGATAGCCTGCGGGAAGAAGTCAGTCGCATCGCAAATGCGCTTACCGACCTCGACGGCCGCACCAACATGATGATTATAAACGAGAGTCAACGCTCAAAAGACGAGATGTTGCATGTCAACGCCGCTATCAGCAATATGCGCATGCACTTGCAGTGGGTGGTCAGTGCGACGCTGCAGCAGAGGAGTAACGCTGCCGGCGGCGGTTCCAGGACACCGGGCAGCGGTGCTACGACTGCAGGGGCAAGCGGCGCAAGCAACGGCGCACGAGCAAATACTGGTGCTAGGCCGGGCATGGGTGTCGTAGGGTTGACGGGGTTTCGCAGGCTCAGTGACAGTAATAGGCAGGATACTAAGCTGTAGGGGAAGGGGGGCGATGATGACGACGATGATGATGATGGTTACGATGATCGCGGGCGAGCATCCATGATTGATATGTCTTATGAAAAGTGAGGGTTATGGGCGTTTTCTTCTATACAGGGGAGGTTATAAGGGGTTGATTGTGTTTTTGTCTTTGGAAGAGGGAGGAAAGATTGAACATTGCTTCTCTCTTGGAAGCGGAGTTTGAGAACTTGGTATGGGAACTAGGTTGAAATACCCCATCTTCTTCTTTTTTCACTTTGGTAGTTTAGGTGCTGCGGCATGGAAAGGGATTTCACGTTGAAAAGCTTTCTACCACAAAGGGAAAAACTAGGAGATATCAGATTAAGAAAAAAAAGAAGAATATATCATATGACCTAAGATGAAACCCTTACCAGACACGGTCGTTGCAATTATGTGTGAAAAGCGGTTCTAACACGTGAAAACGCGTCGCCATTCGGAGGATCATTGGTGACGTAATGCATGCGTTTTATCGGGAACCCTGTAGATCTACGAGTTTCAAAATAATCCTGGCAACACAATTGTTGTTCGTCAATTGCTTTGTACAAGAGATCAGCCTGTCGTTTTTGCTAAAATGTCTGGTAATACTAATTCAGATATCCTAATTGTGAGTATTCGCTTTTTTCGACTCACTCACTCGCTCGTGGGCTTGCTTGCACATTGGGCACCGCCATGAACACGTGCACACACACATACCTGTCCACGGGCAGATCCAAAAGACAGGAAAGAGCAAGGGAATAACTTTGGGAATAACGGAGGAAGACCAAGAGAATTAGAGAATGGAAGCGAATAACGTTGACGTGACAAAAAGGCCGGCGCAATAGCAGCCTTCACAGTAGACCTCCTCGTATACCCCCTCGACACGATAAAAACACGCATCCAAAGTCCGCAATATGCAAAACTGTACACAGATAGTCGGACAGGCAAGGTCGATCCCAAGCTATTCCGCGGTGTATACCAGGGCATCGGAAGTGTAATCATCGCTACGTTGCCTAGCTGTAAGCCGAACCTACCTCCCCATCCCTATCCAACAACAACGCAACAAAATCAAGAAAAACGGATATCGCAAACAAACTAACCGCGGGGCGCACGCAGCAGGAGCCTTCTTCACGACATACGAACGCACAAAGTCGCTGTTTACAACCTGGAACACCAATACCAAAGGCAAGGATATCCTCCCCATCGCCCTCGTCCACGCATCCGCATCCAGTCTCGCAGAACTCGTATCCTGCGCCATCCTCACGCCCGCAGAAGTCATCAAGCAAAACGCGCAAATGGTATCTTCCTCTAATCCTACAAACGCCACGCTCGACACGCTGCGCAGGTTTCGGTCTAACCCTTTGGCGCTCTGGCGCGGCTACACGGCTCTCGCGGGCCGCAATCTGCCTTTTACGGCGATGCAGTTTCCGCTTTTTGAGAGGCTGAAGGGAGGGATCAAGGAGTATAGGGATGAGAAGGGGTTGACGAGGGGTGGGGTCGTCGAGATGGGTGTTATTACTGCGGTTAGTGCTGGGAGTGCGGGGGCGGTGTCGGCGGTGATAACGACGCCGATTGATGTTGTGAAGACGAGGGTCATGTTGGCGGCTGGTGAGGGTGGTTCTGGCTCTGGGTCTAGCAAAGATGTGCAGAGTGGTGGTGCTAGTGGGGGAAAAGCAGGCTTAGTCGACGCCCTTGGTAACTCGTCAAAAGACACGGTAAAGAAGGTGGCGGATTCCGTCAAAGGCCGAAAGAGTAGTTGGGCAATAGGCAAGGAGATTGTAGAAGAGAAGGGATTCAGAGGGCTGTGGAGAGGCGGTGCGTTGAGGGGTGTTTGGACGTTTATCGGGGCGGGGTTGTATTTGGGGGCTTATGAGAGTGGGAGAGTTTGGCTGGCGGGACGGAGGGGTGAGAAGGTTGATGAGGATGAGCTGTTTTGAAGGCGTGGAGAGGAGTAGAGTCAAGATGCATCGTGATGGTATGCTCTTGGTGCAGGAGAGATGCTATGAGACCATGGCCATCCCCAGCAACCCTAGACGTTGATTCTCTCGAGCCTTCGAGTCATTGGAGTATCTACGATACCTTAGCATCGCTTCAGAATATCCTACAAACGCCCTTGGATACCTCCATGTCGAAATGACAATCGAAGCTGAGGGCAGTACCTCAGCACAGGTCGCCCGAGTGATAGAGGAGGTGCTACCTTCGGTCTCTCATCAAGGAGACCCAAATGACCGCCGTTGATCTTGACTGAGACTGTCGCCATTTTGATGAATTGCAACACCAATACGGCAAGTGCTTGTGTTAGCCAGGCCCTTCCCCACACCCCCCAACCACAAACTCGTCTCAATTGTTCCATCGGCAATAGATTCAGCACGAACCGGAAAAACTTACAATTGTTCGTCTTGTCGAATTGATTAATGTTCAATTTACGGAACGGCCCGAAGCACGAAAAGGACGTACCCCATGTTTCAGATTCGGCTAGTTAGCCTGACCACCGACAGGCCATCCAACAACGCGGACGATCGAATCATGCAGCGCAAATATGCACTGGCATCGACCTGGGACTTGACTAGGCGCGCTTCAACAACTTTTGCGTCATTTTGAACTCTTCTCACGACAGGTTGACGTCTTTGATTGGCGGAACCCACCACGCGTTGTGTGTGTGAGGGGTAGGCCCTGTTCGTGGACTAAATCGTTCCGCAGACGAGCTAGATCTTGACATTGACAAGCTTCGCCAACGTTGCTTGAATCACGCCTTGAAGCCCATGTGCCAAGAGATGTATTGAGCTTCTTTGAAATGTTTAAAAAGACCAGGACTCTGACCGCAATGGAAGGGATATCTTATTCAAAGCATTCTCACTTCCATTAGGCGCAATGAAGACGTCAATCTTTGCCAGTGTTGCATTCCTTATTTCCTTTGCTGCCGCTCAGCAAGGCTCTCCTGTTGGTTATGCTTCTCAGAACGGTGGCACTACGGGTGGAAAAGGCGGTACCACGACGACCGTAGCGTCCTTGGCCGAATTCACCGCTGCCGTCGGCAAGAAGACAGACACGACAGCCAAGGTCATTTACATCAAGGGCGCAATCACTGGCCCCGCAAAAGTCAACATCGGCTCCAACAAGTCCATCCTCGGCACCGACTCCAGCGCCTCCCTCACCAACGTCGGTCTCTACGTCGACAAGTCCAAGAACGTCGTCATCCAGAACCTCAAGATCTCAAAGGTCCTGGCTACCAATGGCGACGCGATAGGCATCCAGGCATCGACCAACGTCTGGGTTGACCACGTCGATGTATCGTCTGATATTGATCACGGCAAAGATTACTACGATGGTCTCATCGACGTCACGCATGCTTCGGACTGGGTTACCATCTCGAACAGCTATATCCACGACCACTACAAGGCATCTCTCGTCGGCCATTCCGACAGCAACGGCGCGGAAGATACAGGTCATCTGCACGTAACCTACGCCAACAACTACTGGAACAATATCAGTTCGCGCACCCCGTCTATCCGCTTCGGAACCGGCCACATTGTCAATAGTACGTTCCTCTCTTTCTCTCTCTCTTTTAGTAGTCATGTTGGACTCCCCGCCCGCTAATACATATCACAGGCTACTACAACGGCGTCTTCACCAACGGCATCAATACCCGCCAGGGTGCCCAGATCCTGGTTGAAAGCACCGTATTTGAGAACACGACCGAGGACATCGGCTGGTACGATGGGAAGGTAACGGGCTACGCTGTTGTCAATGATGTCAGTCTTGGGTCGGGAACGAATACTGCGCCCAAGGGCACTTTGACCTCGGTCCCATACGCGTATACTAAACTTGGGAGTGCGAATGTCAAGGCGTCGGTGCAGGCCAATGCGGGTAATAAGCTCACTTTTTAAGTGGGCTTGTAGAGGGTGGAAGATGGATGGTTGTTTCGTTGGATGTATGATGGTTTTGTGGCTCTCGCGGATTGGATGACGCTCGTTAGTTGTTGCATCAGTGTGGACTTTGAGAAATATGATGTCTCATATCAAGTATCCGCTGTGTGATTGATCTTACAGGAGCTCATGTCTTATGCGCTTCGATTGTCATTGTGCTAAAAACCAATACTTCAACAGGGAGATGGGGAATCATGAGATGATGGTGGTTCGGAATGCACTGTGGTATGGTGTGCTATCCTTCTTTGATTGGCTCTGATATTATCCAGTATGCCAGGCAGTATTGGTGTCGGCTAGCTGCGTGACAATCTAGCTGCAGGTTTGCTACACTCGGCTCATTCCCTTCCCTCCCCTCTCGGAAGTTCACCAGTAGCCGTGGTTGTCAGTTGGCAGTCCCAGTAAGGCTTAGTATGATAGGAGAATTTCATCGAACTAGTGATATCCTTCCATTGCTTCCGCCCAGAAAGACCTCTCCTCATCGGCATCTAGCACAAGTTGATCTGTATTGGGAAACATTGTATTAGCACTTTACAACGGTAATGTTATGAAGAATTTGTATAGAGACTTACCCAAGGGTAGAGCCAGCTTCTGGCGCAGAGAGAGTAGCAGATGCTCCAAAGTATCGCTCACGGACCTCTTTCCCTCGGTATAAAGAAGAACTTTGTACTGAGTACTTCTCGGTGTGTCGATCATGACGATGAAGCTTTTGTAAACGCTTGGGTGTTTAGTGCTAATGACCTCGAGGACAGATACCGGGGTGAGCTTCTCAGCATGCAGAATACGGTAGTGAGCTACTTGAGTTAGCACTGGTTGTTGGACATGCCAGAAGCTGCAAGGTACGTACACAATATCTGTTCCTTCAACTTCTCCTCCAACATGATGGTCTCATACTTGGATATGGCCATGGTGTCTGTCGTACCTGGTATTGCTATTGAGTGTCCTTTGTTCAACAGAGTCGCGAATGTTGGATGTAGAAAGGGCAGAGGCAATGCGCGAAAATCTCTTGTTAACCGAAATACTTCGCTAAGCGCTATATCGCATTCACCTTCACCTTCACTTCGCGTCTTTCAGTCCGAGCTTGCCCGCAGTCAACAACATAAAGACTACAAATTTCGAATCCGGCTTTCCGTTATCTCTCTTACACGCGACTTCAAACACCTTGTAAACGACAGCGACAGCGAAGATGCCTTCTACCTTTGAGCCTTCCGCCCACGACAAGCTGGCACAGGCCCAGTACGAAGAGATGCTAAAAGCCAGGGTGCTCAGTGAGTTCGAATCAGCCTACTATTACACTGCATGTCTAACGCATTCGGCAGATCAAGCCAAGGCAGTCTATGACGGACGTCAGTTCCAGGACTGCAAGTTTGACGTCGTGATCAGCTATCACGACCCTGATGATGCAGGCGATAGGGACTTTTTCATCGCGTCGCTCATCGTCTACGACGCCGCCTGCGACAACACATACAACTCAGCTCCTGAGTTGAAGATACTACTACGTTCAGAAGCGTGCACATCCTTCGAGGGGGCATACGAGTCCTTGGTCGATGCCCTGCTTTTCAAGATGACTGAAGCCCTAAGTTAGTGAACATCAGATCCACAAATAAGTTTGGTATACTAATGGCTTCCAGAGTTTGTAGATACACAAGATACGGAGGATGCAGCGGAAGTATCCAGCAAGTTTTGAGGTCGAAGAGGTCTTTGCTACGAGATGCCATGACGTCTATCAAGAGCAATCTAGGGTCAGCTGCTGAGCTACATGTCTAGCTTGATACCAAGTTGTTTTCTGGGACTAGTTTGAGAGATCACAGTTGTGGATTAGGAAAAGACAAGACAGTGATTGAATGAACCACTTTCGCAACCAGTCTAGTCAAGATGACAACCACTTGTACTCTGCTGTATGCCACGACCTTTCTCTTGTGGTGTATGATCTGATCCATCGAACGACCTTAGCTTCGTTACTGTCCTACTGGTTCTGATCATCTGCCTCTAGTTAGTCTATAATCTCTCCATGTCATTGTACCCCTACATACCAATTGCTTTGAGGATTTTAGGCCGCAATATTCTCATAAGACTCCAGTAGGTTTCTTGTACATAGAGATGCTCAGTGGAGCGCATAACCTCAACACACTTGCCAGCGTCTGCCGGGAATAGCTTTGCTGTAGGGTAAACGATGACGTGAGAAACAGTGCGAGTGCTGTCAATCACTCCAGGGCTATTTACAACGTCGAAAACGGAGCCAGCAGGATATCCGGGGCCGTAAACGACACGGGCATGGGCTGTTGGCAGTGTGAGTATCATGAGTGTTTGAATCATTGCGTTTCAACTTACAGATGAGGATGGCTCTAAGGCACTCGTCGTATTGAATCTGAGAAGCAATGTTAGCTGTTGTTCGTGCAAAGACCTCGAATGTAACGGATGATAGTTGGGAGTTGGGATTGTATTACTAGTTGGCTTCGATCCATGACGGGAGTTTGAGTTCGATCCATAACAGGAGTGGCCATAGGTGTAGGAGAGACAAGGTTGAGAGCCACGTAGGAAGATGGAAGCTTGTTTAAATAGACGTCAGCTGCTACGCGCATCTTTGTTCTCACCTTCACCTTCACTTCAACTTAGGTTTGCACAATCGCAAACAAATACACCAAAATGCCTCTTTTTGTCTGAGGATTAGCAAATTTTCAGGCCTTTCGCAAACCACAATTCCTTGCTCTCCATATATTCTTCCTCCACATCTCATCAACCAACAGAATCGCTGCGGTATTATGTTTCTCAACTTAATTATAGCCGCGCTCATTCTATAACGCATGCGTAGCAAAGGGGTAAGAAGATGTAAACTTACAGAAGATCTCTACTTTGACACTTGCTTCATACTAGGTTGAAGCCTGCTGTTTACAGATATGGAGCTATGTTTGCCGTTACCGTGTCGAGTACCAAGCCAAGTTTGGGAATGGAGCCTATGCGTCGAAACTCCAACTCTGAATGCCAGCTAGTTGACATACAAGATTCAAGCATCTCTGATAAGTAATACCCAAGCATTTATTGGCGTGAGGACAGATAGCACTGATAACGTGACACTTTGTCAACAGATGAATGGTTTCAGAATCCATGCAAGACATACTGAGATGAACTTGAACAAATAGCACAGCCATGTGAAGTTTTTGCACCTGTGAATTGATTCGATCATTCTATCCGGCCGACGATCTCCAGCGATTCCTACAACTCCATGTCCCCTGTACCCTTCTTGCCAGCTAAAACGAGAACATCAAATCAGCAAGCAATTTTTCAGGTCGTCGTTCCGAGACTTACCCATGTCCGTAGATAGCGCATGTTGTAACAACAGGACAAAAGTATCCAAAGTCTCCTCGACGGAATCTCTTGGCTTGGTAGACATGAGCGGCTTCCAGTCGTCTCTGTTCAGCGGTTCATAGACGACAACATGAGCCGTGTAACACACATTTACGAGAAGATTGTCCGCCGCGGGGTCTTCCAAAGTGGCAGTAGTGATGACGTCAAAGACGGAGCCATGACTGTGCTTCGCGGCGTACACTGCACGGGCATAAGCTAAAAAGAGAGGTTGGAAGCTATGGTGGCATGGGTAGGAGTATAGGAAAGTGATTGCGGCGTACATAGAATGATCTCTTTAATCCCTTTCTCCCAAAGAAGCAACTGGTATTTCTGCGTGCTCATGTTTGGAAGATCGTTGGTGACGATTACGCACGTGAGAAGCGCAGATTAGTCTGAAACAGTGCAGGGTAGGAAGCCAGAAGCTCTTGCGCGAGAAGCCTCTCTATTCCATGCCCAAAGCGCAATTATCTTCCAGTTTGTCGCTTCTATCTCATGCTTAGCCACAAACAATAACAGCAAACGCAACCCGAGTTTCGTCTTATCCCTCATATTTTCGACGGTAGCGGAAAGACGACCGTAGAAAGAAGCTCTTTTCCCAAAAGGTGATCCTGACTATAATGTACCCTATTAGCATCTATGTATACTATAAAAGAGACAGTGACGTACCAATGGCAGGTTGAAGATCTTCATCTCGGCGACGCAGTGCGCAAAGTCACCAAGCAGCAGCGCGGTATGCTAAAGATAGCCGCTCACATATCCGCAAACTCGTGCTATAACCATTCCCTGTACGTCAAAATTCTTCCATTTTTCTCATTTCCTGATGCACCACAGATCTACTCGGTCATCATTCATTCCGCGATACTCAATCATACACCCCACCATCACATCATCTTCCCCCTCTTGCGCCTATGCACAACCCACCTCCTCCCAACATCATAAACCACCCTCGTCCAGCTCCTCGTAATAATTTTCCCCTCAAACGTCCCACTAACCCAACTAAACAGCACCAACAACGCCACACTCGCCCCGAAAATGATGCCAAACGCCTGCCAGTAACTCCTCATCTCAAACTCCATCTCCTTGAACTGAATGCTAAAGTAGCCAGTCATCAACGTCACTGGGGTAAACAAGATTGTGATCTTAGCCAAGAGGAGAGTAACCCATGTGAGGCGCTCAACAGAGAAGGACTCCTTGATGGCGATGAGGTTAAAGTTCATCATCACGAGAGATTCCTTTTGGTCGAGACATTCGTTGATTTCGCTGAGGGCATAGAGCAGGATTCTATCTTTCAAACGCTCAAAGCGAACGCGTGCCGCAGAACTGAGTGCTACGCCGAGCAAACTATCAGCTTCCGGGACGAGAGGTCCGGGCGAATCGTTTATCACAGGGTGGGAGGACACTAGTGAAGCGTTTCCCGGAAGAATGTGCGAGTTCTTGAGGGACGCCAAGGTAGCTTCTTGTTTCTTGAGTACGCGTTCGATGATGAGTTCGTAGGAATGGTATACGCGTTTCAGGACGGCGAGTTGGCAGCCGATGTGGTGGAGTTGGTCGACGTGAGTGAGGTTGGCTGTTTGAAGCATCTCTTGGCGGAGGCGGTCGAGTTCGGCGGCGTATCCATGTTCGCGACGTGATATGAGATCAAACGTCGCACCCCAGTCCTCGAAGAGATAGTAGAAGAGGAGTCCAGGGGCATCTGTGGGGCGATGCGCTGTTTCTTCGTCGCTGCTGCCGAGGCGTTGGCGGATAGGTAGCTGGGTGAGCGCTGTGTCTCTAAGCGGCGTTGGTGCTTTGGTCAGTTGTCTAAACACGTTCACGAGGTTGCGACGGGTTGTAAAGAGGGTCTTGAGGTCTTCTTTGTTTAATGCGCCCGTGGCGAAGGGGAAAGGATCTTCGGAGATCGAGATGACGGTTTTGTCCTCGCATAAGAGGAGCCAGTTCCAAACGCGCTTGCCGTGGGGTACATCCCGGCTTCTATCTGCGATGTGAGGATGCGTGTTTGTTTCTTTACTGCGAACGTTGTGTAACGAGTTGTAGCCTATGCACATATCTGCGATTCTGTCAGCTCAGCTCAGTGGTTAACGGGGAGCACTTGTCCATCAGTAAGTGCCTGCAACTTACATCTTCGTCCCTGATCCACAGTACTCCAATGCCAAACATCGTCTACTAACTGATAATGACTCAGATCCCTCACCAACTCCAGCTGTGTGGATTGCATCATCTCAGTCATGCCTATGCTCGACTCTGAATCCACAGCCTCTTCGTTTGCCTGCTTCGCCTTTTGCTTGATTGAGCTAGACTTGCTTGATGCATGTGACAGCATCGATCTCAACGTGGAAGAGCTCTTCTTCATGCGTAATGACGAGGTGTTTCGCGGCGGCATAGGGTCGCTGTTCATCATGCCTAGTAGTCGTGGCGTAAAGTCAAAGTGTGAGGCTAGCATTCGTATCAAATCTTTCTGGTTGTATGGCATCCAGATATTGATCCATCGCGTATGTAACTCGGTTGGTCGTGGTGAATTAAGCAACGTCTTATATGCTTGTGCGTCGAGATCAAAAGCGCAATAAGCATCGTCTTCTCCAAAGTCGATGCAGAAGTTGCTGCTCTTATGTTCTCGTGTCTGTCGGTCGAAGAGATCGAAGTTTCGTTCTGAATCAAAATCGCGGAAACAGTATTGGATGTTTTCGTCCCCTGTGTCTTGGTAGTATGCAGGCAGTCTTTCAGCAGGCGACGCGGGCCGAAAAGGATGGTTTTCCATAACGAGAAGATGTGGAGATTGTAAAGACGTGTGCGAGGTGAATGATAGTGATAGGAATAAGCGATCTGTTTGGACGAAATGCAATCTCTGGGCAGCTGAGCCGGTGATGTGAGCTCGTGCCGCGATCTTTGTGGATATTTGTCGTGCGTACCTCCTCAAATTGTGAGGTCACGCGGTGCTGTTGAGGCTCATACCGGCAAGTTGTCTTACCTAGAGATGGACTAAAAGGTTCGCAGCTGCCTGCGCAACTCCACATCTCTTGCTGATGAAAGTCGTACTTGACATGTAAAGTTTATTTGAAATGTTTTCGATGTGTTGCACATTGTACCTGCAAGCTCGCGACACATCACAGACACCCTCACAAGACATCATGGGATCGTAGGGCCTTGTGCATTCCGAGTGGTATGTTACGGATGCTGCCCTTTCTTGCCTGGTATTGCCGAAGTGCTCGAGCTGCCGTCCGTCAAGAAAGCAGACATAGGTCTAGTTAGATGGTAGTATGGTGCGCATCATGAATAGCAGATGGTTGATCACATGTCGCGTCGACCAAAAACACCTTTGTTGATCTTGTGTGAAGAATGATGTGCACAAAGGTTACGAAGCAAGAAAGGCTTAGAGGAGGATGATGACTTGTGTCGCGTGGCTTAGATCGAGATGGCACCTCACCCGACTGAATTATGGAGACGGAAGATTGCGGTGATCTCCCATTGGCTGAAGCGACAAACTACCCAAACAGGCAGTTTGGAAAAGCCATTGAAGACGGCCAAGTATAGGGTGAAGCAACTCGATGCTTCTAGATGACGTCAAACTCAACCTTCTTTAGACATTGAAGTGTAGGTACCACAGAGGGACAATGAATCGACATGGTCTTACCATCGCTCCGTTGCATACGCCCATGAGCGATAGCCCGGATAGGCAATTAACAATCCCATTGATTGCTGTACCTCGAGGGTGGAAACAACAACTCATCCGCTAATCCGCCCGTTGGAGTAGGTGCATTGCAGCATCATCTCAAGGGAGAAAGGCCGCTATACTGTGTTCATTCAATGGTGGGGCTTCATCTTCACCGTCTGCGAAAGAAGGGCTCGATAGCGCGTTGCCGTCTTCACATGCGACATCATCTCCACACCAGAGATCTACTGCCCTTATCAACAGTCAACCGCCTAATGCGATGCAAACAGTTGTTTCGGCCCTTTTCAGTACATGTCCGCGGGTAAAGCCAACAGCTGCTGTATACACGCCACGGTGGAGGGGAAGAAGGTCGAGCACGTGCTCCTCAACAGCGTTTGAAATGGTTACTCCACCTCGAAGTCCGGTTCACGCGTTCAAGCAGCTGCACGTTTGCGAAGGCCGACAGTGGTCGCGACGCCCACGCTCCCGTTGTGACGTTCTCATTCGAGGCGCGACGGACGGCGCCATTTACTGAGGTATCCTGACCCTCTCGGCCAATCATGGGAGCGCAGGACACCCACGGGATCACTCTCTCTGAGCTGCGACACAAAAGAGCCCACGCGACACCCCAATGCTGATAATGCACGCCGTACATTTTCTCAACCGTCCTCCTGTCCCCTCCTTGTCACCTTTCGACTTGGACTACGCGCTTGACAGATGCTGAAGACGTTCTATGAGCGCCTTTACTCCCATCATGCCTCGCCCTAACCTCCCTCCAACTCCCCAGCCGTCGACTGATATCACCGGCAAAAGCAGCGCCAATGCCCCTCAATTGGAGACGAGCTTCACCTTGCCACCTGCAGCTTTGGGTGGTAGGGGAAGTGTAGCTAGCTCTTCTGGTCCGTCTGAAAATGCCTCAGATTCCTCGTACCGGCCACCATCCCCGTCGTCTCCAGTCGCGACTTCCAAGCCCAGTCATGCGCGCAAACGCTCCCAGCAAAGCATCATCACCAAGGACGACTATTCTCTGCCTCCTCCGCCCACTCGATCACGTAAAATCATCCAGATGAAGCCCAAGGATACTCAAGAGTCGCCCAAGACCCCGTCCCAAACACAGACTGCAAATGCAAAGACCACAACTGCTGCCGCCAATGGAACCAAAAGGAAGCAAGCGGGCAGCACCACTGCTGCAGGACGCAAGATTGCAAGGAAGACAGCGCATAGCCTTATTGAGCGAAGGCGGAGGTCCAAGATGAACGAGGAGTTTGGGGTTCTCAAAGACATGATTCCGGCATGCAGAGGGCAAGAAATGCATAAGCTCGCCATCTTACAGGTGCGTCTACGTACTATACGATATTACTTCATATGCTAATGCGCCCAAGGCATCTATCGAGTACATGCGCTACCTCGAACAATGCGTCTCCAACCTCAAAACCGCCAACTCACGACGCGACTCTCCTTCATCTGCCACATCCGAGCTCCCGCCGCCCCCAGCCCAGCGCCTGCGCTGCGACGACGACGACGATGAAGCCTCAGACCAAGACGAAGATATGGAAGACGCCGTATCACCCACCTACGTCGAGCCCCCACCCACCAAGTCGCGATACACATTCCCCCAAGCCTCACCCGCCATCCACCCCTCCGACAGAAGCGCATTCACTCACTCCACCACCACATCCCCAGCCATCCTACCCCACGATCGCACCAACGGAAACGGGCAGTACTCGGCGAACCCCTCCCCCGCGTTACGTCCGTCAGACCCACACCACTACTCGCTTGGACCATGTTCCACAGTAACGAGTCCTTCGATCCACCCGAGTCCTGCTTTCAGCGCCCACACCCCATCTGCAACACACTTCAGCAACCCGTTTCATAACCACAACGGGCCTCCTAGTACGGGTCCGATTGCCGCGCCGGGGTCGTCGCATGGTTCGCTGCATTTTTCCCTCACAAGCCCCGCGTTGAAACCGCAGGCTGATCGCGAGGATCAGGAGGCTACCGAGGCGCTGATGATGTTGAATACGGATCGGAGGAGTTGGAGTGGGGCGAGGGGAATGAGTGTTAAGGATCTTCTTAGTGGGTAGGGATGTCTGTATGTGTTATGTATCAGACGACGACGAGCGCTTTGGCGTTCAAGTGGGTTAGTAAAAAAAGGTACCGGGTGGATGTCTGTTTATTGATTTATCGTATTGGTGCTGGTGGCTTTTTTGTTTTCCCCTTTGCTCAAGTCTTCGCCGCTGTGCTTTCATATCGTAAGCAGACATTCGATGCGACCATGATTTTAGCCTAGAGAAGGGAAAGTAATGGGTTGGATGATATTCTTTTGCATGACAAAAGTTTAAGCTGTACATGGCTTTGAATACGTATGAGCGACTGGATTGACATGGTTGTCGTTCCATAACAAAACCGTCATGTCGACTATTACCGTCTGTGCAGTCTACGTAGGCTTCACATGACAAGCACGAGATATCATCATCAACAACAACAACACGAGTAATGAAACACAAGATAGAGAAACGAGTGTGCTATTTCTTTCTAGTCAAAACCCCATCCCTTCCTTCCCCTGTCAACTCCTCTCTTCCACCCCTCGCGTCGTCCAGGGTCATTCGCATCCTTCCAGATCCACCAATGATCTAGCAGTGGTCACTGACCTGGCTGCCAAAAGGCTCGTTGACACAGTTGCCCTCGCACAGCCTAATGAACTGAATAGCCCCGTTGTTAACGCAGTTGAACAGGGCTTTGGCCTGAGCGTTGGCGTCGGTTGGCTGACCGGCGGAGTCGAGGGTTTGGTAAATGGTTGAGGCGTAGTCTCCTAGTGGTGTGTTAGTTGGGATGGTGCATAGTAGTGAGTGGGACGATGGAGAAGGTGAGGAGGGAAGAAGGGGGAAATGTGAGGTGACGAGGAGAAGAGGAGACGAACCTTGCGTAAGGAGGTTGCCACTGCAGTACGCGTACCCAGCGAAACAGTTGTCTGCGACGACAGTGCTGGCCATGGTGGCAGCGGCGAGGGCGGCGATCTTGGAGAAGTACATGGTGATTGATATGATTGGAATGCTCCTTTGAACGATGTGGCTTGTAGGCTTGTAAAGATGATTGAAGAAGCTGCTGTGTGATGATTCTTCATCCAAACCGACCAACCTACCTCTTTATATATCCATCCCCCTTCTTTTCAGGCTTCCCAACTCTCTTGTCTACTCTGCACGATGATGCTATTCGTATCCCACTTGTCTTGAATCTCCGTCACCGGCGTCAAGGGATGTAGTTGGGCCAAGTATCTTGGTTTCGGTCCGAGATTGCTATGGCAGGGCGAAATGTGATGGGGGCGCGAGACCGCAGCGGAAATCCTTGCGATGCTGGGATCGAGATCGTCATAGAGACATCTCAAGGCTCGTATACGCTCCTAGGGTCGTGGTACTCCCGGTTGTTTCTCTGGGTCTCAGGTGGGACGGGGCGTAGGGTGGAGTTGGTGGAATTTGGTGTATGAAGACATCGGCAAGGGAGAAGAAGACCTTGTTTGGTATCCATTTCTTCATGGAATGAGGTCTTACGGGGAGGTTGATCAGGCAAGCCATTGTGAAGGGCCGATGAGATGTCTTCCCTATAGTTAGTATCCTAGTAATAGCCCCCAAATCTATTGTTCCCTGGTCATTGCTTGCTTCATAGTAGGGAAGTTGTAATGTCCGTAGCAGCTACATGTTATGGAAGACCTTTCCTCCCCTGGTTTTGCTTTGTCCGGTTCACATATCTTGATCTTGATACCAGAGGTATGTTGCATACGATGCATAGTTAGACGATTTGACGGAGTCTGCCTTCGACTGTGCCGTACCATGGCTGTTTGGACTTCTTTGGCCATCTTAATGTGTCTGATATTCTTCTAACCTGGGCTTTACGCCCTGGGTAGCCCGATCGCAAGCATGCTACATAGCCGATTTTCCCGATTGGAAATGTTTTAATCGTCTTCGCAACGAGGTAGCACCAACAGGGTCCGCCATCGTGGTTTCCCCGCTCAAAGTCTCCTGGAGGTAACACGACAGCCGCTTGATTGACGGTGGTATGTTATGGGGCATCGGTTGTCGTCACATTCAGCCGCCTGGGCACCGTAAGCACAAACGAAGCATAAACGAAGCCGCTGTTGATCTCCCAGGCAGCCCCTATGCGCTGACATAAAATGAATTCCAAGTCGGGGAATATCAGACGTTCATCTCCTTGTGTATTTCATATAGCTAACCTAGTTCGTCAGCTTGCCTCCAAAGTTGTTCCGCTCTTACGGCCTGGTCTTAGTGGGTTGAAACTATATTTCTAGTTCCCCACAAACACTGCCTTGCGCTAGTACGGGGCGTATCGTGACGTCGTGCTTCGGTGTCCCTAACAAGACATAATTGCGACAAAGGCGAAATCATGGGTGGAGTGGTAACGTATAGGTGCGAGATGTTGATATAGTACTATCCTCTTTTGTACATCCATTCGTGTATTCAGGATGCGCTTCCCAAATTGATCCACAAGCGGGACCGTGCCGTGCCGTAGGATCCGCCTTGACACTCCGATGCAGAGGAGGAAAATATTGGCATGACAGCGCCGATTGAACTTCCTTGCGTGGTATGGAGAGCTGCGAGGATGACGATGCGTGATTGATGTGTTGTTGATGCCACGGGTCAGACTCGGCGAGTACGGTGGCTCCAGCGTCGCTGGTCTGTCGCAAGAGTGGAAGGCGCACGCGAGACCTGCACTCCTTTGTGACAACAATGAAATTCGATACTCATCAGTACAGATAAACATCCTCTATAATCAAATGATAAGAATTCGCGCGCAGCGCTTCTTTACCGGGGTCCGGCCACCCGCGTCGTTCCGAGAGGAGACCCGAGTCAGTTACTGGGAATATATACCTTTGCGACCTCCCATCTTGCACATAGACATTCTCTCGAATACCATAGGGGCCGACGACACTTATATCTGTGTGTTACGCGCTCGACATCTAGGCGCAATGTTGATGGCTTACGGCTGGCGTCAGCATCATGACCATGCCTGGCCACCCAAGACCATTCAACTACAGTTCAGGTACAGCGGCCGCAATAGCACCGTTCCCGGATAATTTAAAGATAACGACATGTCATCCTCAAGCAAAAGATCGCTCCTTCTCTTTCTCTCTTCACCTTTTGAGATTTGTGAAATCCGACGATCGTCGCGCACTGCGGTGCATCACAGTGGAGGCTGTGGGTACTTCATACGAGGAAGTGCTAGCGATCATCAACGCACCTCAGAAAAACATTACAATGGCTGGCGATGAGATCGCATGGTAGAGTATTGATATGGTAGGTGTATCTTCCACGCTTTCTTCCAGATTCTTTCTTCCCTAGCCATGCAGTTCACACTTTCGCGACTGCATCGCGGATCGACAGCGACAATTGAGAAAGGAGCAACAAGAGACGGACATATGGACATAAGGCACACTGTAGAGCGTGACATTTGTTTCCAATTCGGACCTGCGACCGGACTTTATGCATGAGGATGCACGTTACGCCCTCTAAGAGTCATAACGCCTGTAAAGGATTTTAAGGAGGCTGCGTGATGCTTCGCACCCGTCAAGCTTCGGTAGGGCTGGGCAGGGATATGGTCCTCCGACCCTACGAACTGCCGGTACTTATTCAACACCGACGCACCGCAACCACCACACGCGCACTCCAAGATCAAAGTCAGCGTTCTACAACATGTGCTGCCTTTGTCAGAAATAGCCGGGTAGATTAGTGGCCGGGGTGGAGGAAATCTTAGGGAACGCAGCCAACAGGGCGGCAGATTCCCCCGCGTCGCTCTCTCGCGTTTTAGCTAACGCCGTTGACCGAGATCATGCCCTCCCACTTCTGGCCTAGTCGCAGCCGAAAACCTCGGGGTTAAGGGCCAGACTCCATGTTCAGGGTGCGGGCACCGATGGAGAGTCATTTCGTAATTCAGCTACCTGGGGCCTCTTTCGCTATATACCTGGCCTGAGTCCTGGGTTGATGTTTTGGACACCGCGATTGCAAGCGTCCGAAACTAGCCCTTGAGGGGACCGCGACCACCATAGCCGCAAACACCACTTTTACGAAACATTTATCGAACCTCATAACTGGTCACGAATAACTCGCTCGAATATCGTAGCGACCGCTACAAACACCGCACAACATGTCTTCATCCACACGAGAAGAGTATCGCCAGCATTCGAGGAGTAGTTCAGATACGCATATCCCAGATCTAGAGAAGGGCGACGCGAGACCTGACAAAGAAGAAGAAGAGATCATCGAAGAGAAAGTAAGTATTCCAATCCTATGCTGCTCGACTGTTATCCGAAAACTCTTTTCACGAAGCTTGAAGACCTTGACGTCGAGGTGTGATCTGTCGCGCAAGGTGCAGAAGATCAAGGGCATTCAGGCTAAGTTATCCGAGCATCGGGTGGTCGGCTGCTGCACCACCGCCAATCATCATTTGGAGAACAACCTGAATAGCAGCTAACACGTCCCAGCGACCGCAAGAAACGAACGATGAGATTGGCGCAGATCTCGAAAAGCACCTGTCAAGGAAGAGCACGAAGAAAGACCAGCTCGCACCTGAGAAGTACCCGCTGTCCGACCTCGACAACAATCTAGTCGGCTGGGATTCGCAAGACGATCCAGCCAACCCTCGCAACTTCACAACAAAGAGAAAGATCACACTTCTCGGCTTGGTCGCTGCCATCACCTTTGTCAGTCCACTTGCCTCCTCCATCTTCGCACCTGGCATACCATTCGTCAATGCGGATTTTGGAAACACATCGCAGCTTCTCGGTTCTTTTTCTGTCAGTGTCTACGTGCTCGGTTTCGCTTTCGGCCCGCTCTTCTTGAGTCCGCTTTCAGAAATCTACGGAAGATGGATCGTGCTCAACTGCTCCAATGTCTTCTTCTGCGCCTTCACTATCGGCTGCGCACTTGCGCCTAACCTTGGTGGCCTCATCGGCATGCGATTTCTCGCTGGTGTCGGAGGCAGCGCGTGTCTGACAATCGGTACTGGTGTCATTGCCGACATGTTTGTCCCTGCGCAACGTGGAAAAGCTGTATCCATCTACAGTATGGGCATTCTTTTCGGCCCTATCCTCGGTCCCATCTGCGGTGGTTTCATTGCGCAACGTGCTGGCTGGCGCTGGGACATGTGGGTTGTCCTCATCGTTGGCGGCCTCTTGACCGGAGCTCTGTTCGTTTTCAACCGCGAGACGTACCACGCTGTGCTGCTCAACCGCAAAACGGAGCGTTTGAGGAAGGAGTTGAACCGTCCTGAGCTTCAGAACATCATGACGTACCAGAAAGACGCTGCTATTCTCAGTCCTCTCGCTATCCTCGGAAACGGCATCACACGCCCGCTCAAGATGCTGACCAGGTCACCCATTGTGCTGCTCTGCTCACTCTACATGTCATTCCTCTTCGGACTGCTGTTCCTCCTCTTCACTACCATCACATCCGTCTTCGTCCAGACGTATGGCTGGTCTCCCGAAATCACCGGTCTCGCATACTTGGGTGTCGGAATTGGCAACTTCATGGGCATCGCTTTCGTAGCCAAGACGAGCGATGCGACGATCATCCGACTTGCGAAGAAGAACAAGGGCGTCTACGAGCCAGAGATGCGACTTCCGCTCTGTGTCTTCTTCGGAACCCTGATTCCAATCTCTTTCTTCATGTGAGTTCTCTTCCCTACTCACGCGCATAGCTCCAACTGACATAACTAGATATGGCTGGACAACTCACTACCATGTGCACTGGATCGTACCCATCATCTCCCTCGTCCCCTTTGGTTTCGGCCTCATGGGTATCTTCGCGCCGTTGCAGACATACATGATCGATTGCTTCCCTCAATTCGCCGCGTCTGCCATCGCTGGTATGACAGCCCTGCGTTGTCTTTTCGGCGCACTGCTTCCGCTTGCTGGACCGACCATGTACGAATCGTTGGGTTTGGGATGGGGAAACAGTTTGCTGGGTTTCTTGGCCGTGGCTTTCATACCTGTGCCGGCGCTGTTGTTCAGGTACGGAAAAGTAATTCGGGAGAAGTATCCTATCAAGTTGTAGGTGCGAGAAGAGAAAGGAAGGGAGGAGTCGTTCGCATTTAGATTTCATGATACCCGATTGTTTTACTATAGTTTTATAATAGTATGGCAATACGCATCCAAAGTAATAGACAATAGAGATATTGTAAGGATCCACATGCGCTTTTCGTGTTCTTGCTGTACCAAGACGCTAACATGTGCTAGTTATCCGGCACCTAGCAAGGATGACGTCCTGCCCCTCATACCTCAACATACTCCTACTTGTCAGTCTGCATTCATGCCCAAACACCGAGTCCTGTCGCTCAGCTTTTGTGTCTGGTTCTTGATGTCAGTGTCTCTGAGATCGTTTGCTTGCATACCCCAAGCTGCGCAAGTGCCAAGACCGATGTTGGTCTGATGTGGCTTACACTGCCCATCCTCGACATGCAGTCCAGTGAGACGGCAGGCTGAGATTCAAGACGCCAACAGCCTCATATCTCAGTATTACCCCGTTCAGCCTGACCATGTCGGAGCGCTTGTGATCTTGAGGATCCTTCGCTGCCTGTTAACCGTCACATCTTCCCACTTTCCTTCGAGGACCGTCGCTTCTCGCACCGCCAGTCGCGCTGATCAGCGAAGTATCACAACACGTGAACAAGCGATGGAACCAAACTCGCTCAGTCTGGAGTCTCCTAGCTGTTTGTACAACTACCGAGAACTTCGGCAAAACCAGATACGCCTCCTCTCTACAAAATGTATCGACGGGTCCGTTGAGATAGAGATCAACAAGTACACACTTACCGAGGACCTTGACTACGATGCAATCTCGTATGTCTGGGGAAGTGCACCAGCCTTAGTCACAGTCAAATGTAACGGCGAGACTCTCGTCGTCACATCCACTGCACTTGAGATGTTGAATTACCTACACCAGTACCAAAAGAATACAACAACCCGAAAGATATGGATCGACGCTATATGCATCAATCAAGAAGATGAGGAAGAGAAAGGTACTCAGATACCGCTGATGCGCGAAATCTACTCCAGAGCAAAGGCTGTTGTTGTATGGATGGGCCTTTCAACTCCGGAAACTAATATCTTCTTCGCCGAATTCCAAGAGATGAGGGCCAAATTGAAGACGTGGAAAGCGAAGTATGATGCAGATCCCGAATGCCCTAGCCCAGACGTAGAAGAGCGTCCTCGTCATGGAGACGCATTTTGGGGAGGACTAAGTCAGCTCCTTGGAAATGAATGGTTCAGGCGTCTATGGACATTCCAGGAGATTATTCTTCCAGGTACTGCAACATTACTTTGTGGTAATCTTCGGACGGACTTCGATGAGTTTTTACACTTTCTCGATGACGGATGGTTCGACAGCACCTATTTCGTAACGGTATCAACGATCGCATTCGGTACAAACGATGATCTCGCGTCGCGTAGCTGCCATTCCATCAGATTCTATCGAGACTGGAACGATGGAAATGGGGGCGCCAGGGAGATTTATGCCCATAACGTTGGAGTGGAATTGTACAAGCTACGTGACCGACGTGTGAAAGAGCCCATCGATCGTGTTTGGGCGATAGTAGGACTTTTGCAAGGAAATCTTAGAGACAGGTTAAGCTCATGGGTTGACTACAGTGCTAAAGGTCGGGATGAATATTGGAAGACGTGGATTATGTTTGCCAAAGCTCTGATGGAGGAGCCTGGTGGGATGAGTTTACTTGAAGTACCGCCTACTCGAGAACCTAAACCTCCACACTTGCCATCCTGGTGTCCAAATCTATCTGGAACATCAGCTTGCATGATGGCCATTGATAGGCTGTGGAACTATCCGACGTACGAACGAGATTCATGCATCCATTGGGCTTTTCTCGAAGAAAACGGAGAAGAGAAGTCACAAGCAAGACGGGAAGCGATCTCAGACCATGAAAGAAAGTTCGTAAGCACTGTGATGCATGACAACATGCTTCGCGTCCGTGGCTTTGTGGTGGACACAATTGGAGAGATTGCGGAACATGATAACCCTCTTGACATGGCATACAATGACTACGACCCGGATGCGAAAGAGCACATGGCTTCATATGATGTTGCTGTCGGTTGCCATTTGAGAAGTCTCGAACTAGCTCGCCGCGTCTTTTATGGGAAGAGCGAAGGCGTTCCTGACATCCCAGATAATTTCATTATGTCCTTGTTCTTGGACTCGCGAACCACTGAAAGAGCTAAGGATACATACAGTAAAATCCTGCCTAAATTGAAGACATGGCATTCCAATACCACTCTTCGGAGTTGGGAGGAGGCGCAGTGCGAACGTAGGCTTACTCAGATGCGTGGATACACCTTTTTCAGCACAACAGGCGGTCGGATTGGATACGCCCACCCGGGATGTCGATCAGGGGATCGAATCGCTGTGTTCTATGGTGGAGAACCACTGTATATCCTTCGAGGTCTAGACACCAAGAGTGATGGAGATGATGCGACTAGAGGGGTATCCAACCACGTTCAGTACCTGGGCGCGGCATTTATTCCTCACCTCATGGAACAACATCAAAGAGATGCTGCACACATCGGACCGGACACCACGTTCTTCATTCATTGAAATTTTTCGAATTCTCCGCATGAACTACAGGCTACAACCAACCAACTGCAAATACACCGAGCGTCGAATTGGATACGGTAGACGAAGGCATTGCAACACGGATATCGAACAAGCGCATCAGTACTCGAAAGATGCCAGGAGAAGAGAAACAATGTCTAGAGCTCTTTTTCGTCTATCTTCGAACAAGGAAAGGGGAGAGATACAAGATTACAAGTATAAATCACACCCTACCATTTCTCGCTAGCAGGCTGGTGAACGCTAGCTGAATCGCGATCTGGAAAGCCGATTGGCCGGCGATAGCAACCCACCTCGACCACCTCCGCCCCCGGATTTCTCCTCGCCTACCCTCACGCTGTCGTAGCAACTTGTTGTCAATCTCTCGTAATGTCGATCGCATCTCTTCTCCCAGTTCGTGAGCCGTCTCCAGCCGAAGAGTGAGCTGTCTGGTCAGCCCTCGCATGAGCTCTCCATCACCTTCAAGCTTATTCTTTATATCGCGGATGTCTTCAGCTATGTTGATGGTATATCTCTCGATAGCGGTGGTGATAGTTCTACGGGAGGTTAGCCCATGCGCCAAGTGGCTGTTGTTGCACAAGACTTCCGGAGGTGATGCATCGAAATCGCAACCTTACAAGGTATGGAAACATCGCGCGAGGATCTTACCTTTGATCTGCTAACAGAACAGTCTCAAACAAACCCCGTCCTTTCTTCAGCACATTGATAGCATCGTCCAGCTTCTTGTCGCAATGTTTGCCAATAAGCTTTCGCTTGAAAAACGTATCAGCTTCCAGCTGCTTTTCCACGAGACATAGCGCAAGCTTGCAGTCTGATAATGGCCCTGCCAGGCAGTCCAGCGAGTTAAGTCGGATGGTATCGTGCTCGTTGATCGTGAGATGAGTCTTGAGGCTCTGAATAGCACCGTAAAAGCAGTAAAGCTCTTGGATGAGACTGAGAAGTGTGGTGGAAGTATGGCGCGAGGGACCGAGGTGTTGATTACCCGACTTTAGGCATATACCGGTGATGTGCACGATGGCGAGGACAGTACCGGTGATGCTCATCGGATCCATCGTGGTATGCCGTATTGTGCTTGCTAGCTGCAATGACTGATGGAAAGAGTAGGTGACTAGTGGTGATTCAGATGGTTTATTCGAGTTGATATGAATGCGTTGTGAGATGAACATATAACGTTGATCGAGCCTTGCCAGGTATGATGAAATCTACACGAAGCCTAAGCTCAGTCGTGTGCTTTTCCCCCCATGTCGTGGCTTGTCCGGCTTTCTCTACGCCTCCGGAGTTGACTCATGCAGGATGCTTTTCGTTCCTGGGGCTATGAAGCAATGTGATTGTGGATGTTCAGCGTATCGTCCAATGAGCTATCATTCAGCGTCGTTTCTGTTGGCCTTTGTTTCAAACATTCATGCACGGTAACTTTTTATCATGCTTGGCTAGTCCGCCGTGGCTACACCGGTCTTCAATTCCCAGCGCTTCATGCAAGGAAACTTTTCATTCGGGCTAGCCGACACCCATCTGGCAGCTGAATTGATCTAACGGTGTAGATACGTCGGCAAACAAATCACGTGCAAGCTTCGTGTTCATAAGGCTATGTTGGCGCTAATGCAAGGCAACTTTTGGAAGTGGTTGATAGGTGGGCGATGCAACACTCAGCCCCCAGCTCATGCAAGGAAATTTGTTGACAGCCAATCACTTGATACCTTGGAGCCAAGATGGGCTCAGGTCGTGGTGTCTTAACCATCAAGCATTCCGCACGTCAGCTTCATTGCTCTTTCCTACCCTCCGTCAATTCAAGGTTAAATACTGGGCTGCAAACCACCGCCGTCACATATGAACCACCGTATCACTGTATCGTACACAATTTCAAGTGTATCCTGTCCGTGTCAGCCTTGGCACCTCCGGCTCAGCCTTGCCACAGTCGCTCGACATGTTGCACTCACTACCTGAACCGAATTCACATGGCACCTTGACACAGCTACTGCCTGTTTCTCAATCATCGAACTATCCGGGAAGTAAGGCCAGGCAGCTTTCAGACGCCGAGTGGGAAGCCTTGAAGCCATTGCTACACACACTCTACATCAAGGAGAACAGAACCTTGGCTGCCACCAGGAAGGCTCTTCTCGAACGTTATGGCCTCAATCTCAGGTACTTATCATGGTTTATACCCACTAGATAGCTTAGCTAATAATCTTATAGCCAGAAGCAGCTTACCAAGCGGTTCCATGATTGGAGCTTCAAGAAGAACGTTAAGCAGCACGAGACAGAGGCATATTTGCTGGAAGCAGAAGCCTTGCGGGGAGAAGAAGAAGCTTCTATCAATGGAGTCCGGATCACTACGGCCAAATACGAACGCTGGGAAAAGAGAGCAAGGATTGATGAGAAACAGAAAAGCACACATACCAAGAACGTCGTCGAGGCGTTTGATACGCCCTCTAGTCTCACCCGTTCAGATCTTCTATCGTGCACTCCATCAACAGATTTTCCGCGCACTTTAAGACATGAACAGAGCTCGGATATGTTGATCGTGTCACCCTCAAAGCCACTGGAAGACCAAGTCAACTCTTTAACGCGTTGCGGTAGCACAGAAGACCATTTTTCTCCATCGTCGGCTGCGTCTTCGACCGAAGCTACAGATCCTGGATTCTCTCCAAGCGCGCTCCTGATGGGCTCTTCCGAGCCATTAGGTTCTCCATCGGATGCTCATGTAAACATTGGTACCGTCCAAGAGCCAGAACAACACTACATATTGCCTATCCCCTTACAATCTCCAGATCGCGACATCGACATAGTGACTCGTCTTTTCTCGGCACTGAAGATGAATCACATAGACATCCCCTTACACACCCCACCGACTCAAGCTGTCGCAGAAGTGTTCACGCCTGCAAACGATACCATTTGCCTGCAAGAATTAGAGGCATACAGTCATGAAGGAAGACTCGTGCCTTGGGCCGGCAAGCAGTCTACGTCTCAAAGAACAGCATCTCCAGGCAGCGTTGGTGCCACCCGTTACCACGATGAAGAGACGCATCAACAGGGCACTGAAATATCGATATCTTACCAATACGGCTCAAGAAAGCGCACTACGACTGGCGCACTCAAATACGCTTCTGTCGATGTGATCTTCTCATCATCCAGAGTGGTTGAGCTTGATCCGTTCTCTCTGGAGGTCTACCCATTCCCGCAGGACCAAGGAAGGCGGCTCGAGGTACAACCAACTGTGACATTATACGAATCCACACGCATGAATCTCAACGACTGCATTGCCAAGATCAATAAGCTAGAGAGCGCTTGTTTGGGGTCGAAGACCGTCGCGACGGAACTGAGACGGAGACTGGCAGATGCATATTACAACCTTGGCTACTACGACGAAGCTGAATACCAGTACAATCAGATTCTGCCAGTATTCGAGCAAAATCATGGACAAAACTCGTGGGAGTATATCTCCACTAAGATTTGTCTCTCTGGCTCAATCTCTCGTCTTGGAAGGCCTGAAGAGGGCCATCAGATGGCTCAAGATGCCCACATTCTGGCACGAAGGTTTTATCCAGGCAGTTCCTTGTACCAGGATGCTACTGGTTTCTTAGCGAATTCTTTTGGATACCTGGATGAGTTCGGAAGTGAGGAGGAACTTCTAAGGGAGCTTATCCAGATCACATTGACCACCTCTGGCCCTAAACATAGTGACGCCATAAACATCATACTAAACCTTTGCACCTCAATGAATGATACAAAGAAATATTCGGAAAGTGAGGAGCTGTTGAGAGTTGCGCTAGAACTCAGCTGTAACGCTACAGATATTTCTGATCGGGAGCAATGTATGACCCGGTACAAACTTGGTGAATTGCTTTACAACCAAGACAGGTATGCCGACAGTGAGGCCTTGCTCAGGGAGACAGCGAAGATGTCAGAAAAGCTGCTTGGTATCGAACATGATAACACAATCTGTTGCAAGATCTTACTATGTCAAGTCTTGGTACATCGAAAGCTGCTTTCAGAAAGCCACGATATCCCTCTTGAAATCATCGAGGTCCAAGTCAAGAAACTGGGGGAGATCAGAGGGAGCACAATCAGAGCTATGGCCGATCTTAGCGTCGTGCTGATAGAAATGAGAAACATGGACGAGGCATACAAGTGGATGAAGCAAGCGTTACGCTACTGCGTAGAAACAGGTGGAATCCAGAGCGACCGTGCAGAGCAGTTCTTCGAAGATTTGAGCAGCATCAATGAGGTAGAAGAGCAGCACGAGCTCATCCTGGATCTGTACGAGAGAATAAGGATAAAGATCACTTGGATAGACGTTGTCCATTGGGACAGGTTATTGTCCGCCCTATCGCCACAACCATGTATTCTCTTACTGGACTCCTATCGCAAATCCAGCTGCCCATCGGCGCCAGTAACCGACACCGGATATCTACACGACGAGCCCATCTTATGAGGTTTGGACCTGTTCTCGAGTTCATCCTTTCCAGCCCGACGCACACTATGGGTATACGAAGAGCCTGATGCGCAGCAGAAGCCGTAGACTAAGGAGTCAAATCACGAAAGCGCGACCCGGTTCAGATATCGAAGCCTTGGGTCGAATGGTGGAAGGGAAAAGGGGTGACCTGGTGATTTGGCTTGAAGAGCTCGGGGACGAGAGGGTTTGTGATGAGGAAGATCGCTGTGCCTATTGTCGTAACCGTAGTATAGGATGTTTTGCATGTTGTTTCGAGCCGGAAGACTAGTCATCTGTAGTATATCGATTCGAGTATGGTTTCCCCAGTAGATTTGCAGCATGTCTCCGCTAGCCGACCTCATGTTTGCGACTTAAATTCTCGAACCAAAACCTCTTGCATTCCCACTCGCCATGAAAAAGCCACCGCAGTACCCGCACAAACTCTTTCTACCACTCAACCCCCTACAACTTCCTACTCCTAACCAACCCAGACTTAATACCCGTAAGTTCACCCCCATAGTTCGCACTGCCCTTCGCCGCAGCACCCTTATCAAACACCTGCTTCATACTCTTAAGCTTCTTCTGCTTCTCCTTGTACTTCTCCTTCTTCTTGACACGCGGGTTCCTCACGCTCTTCTTACGATGAGGCGTTAATCTGTAGCCAAATGTTAGTGACTCTCAATACACATAAAATAGACAAGACAATGACATACCCCTTATTCTTCTGAATCTGGTAAGAAATCATACGACGGCCATCATCGCCAATGACTTCTTCCTCCACAACCTGCGCACCTTCCTTCTTGGCCAGAGCATAAGCTTCAGCACGTTCAAGCTTAGTCTGCTTCTTATCGTTAGACCGTGCAGCTACCATGTCGTAATACCCATCTTCGTCTTCAAAGTCATCGCGCCTAGTACCCGGCGCTTCATCAGCAGAAGAAGCGCCATCGTCTTCGCCCAAAGCAACACCAGGGCCAGCATCTTTGTGCTGACCCCGCTTCTCGGCTTCGGCTTGCAGACGCGCTTGTCTGTCCTTGAGGCGCTCGCGATGAGGGATATCAGCGTCACCACCCTGGTCTTTACCAGCGTTGTCGCGCTTGTTGGCCTTTTGAGCGATTTGAGAGGTGTAGAAGCGGAGGGATTTCTTCTTCTTTGCCTTTTCGGCGGCTTCGTGGGCGGTGAGTTCGGTTTCTTCGCCAAAGTCGGAGTCGTCTGCGTTGAGAAGGTTGAGCTTGGATTCGACCGCTGGTGTCTTCTTCTTGCGAGTTGTCTTCTTGAGAGCGGCTTTGTTGGTGAGGGTATCGAGGGAGGCAAGGTCTTGTTCGGTCTTTGCGAGTTTTGCGGCGCGGCGGGCGGAGGCTTCTGCGCGGGCCAGCTCTGCGGCTCGTTCTGCACGCGTCTTCTTTTGCTTGGTGGGCTTCTTGACGGACAGGTCGTTTTCGAGTTCTTCGACGCTGATTTCATCCACAAAGGAGTCTTCTTCGTCGTCTTCGGCCTCAACCATGGGGTCTCCGAGGGGTAGGTCTTCTATTCTCGTCCATACCTTTTGGCACTTCAGAAGAGTCTCCATGACGGGGTGCTCGTGTAGCTCAGCAGGGTCCATGGCAATAACTGGCGATCCATCGTCTGTTGCAGTCGAACCGAGTACAGCAAAGTACATGGCCATGGCTGCGAGATATGCTGCGCAAGCCCTATACTTTGTGACGGCCTTTGGTGTAGGTAGAGTTTTGCCAGTCTTCCCTGACTTTGCAGCTTGCGCTTTCAGCACCCTTTCGGCGGCGTTGGCAGCAGCGGCCAATTCTTCATGTAGCGGCTGTAGCCTCAGGTATTCTTTCGAAATGTGCTCGAACTCGGGGTATCGTGTCCGCATAATTTTCATCCTCTCTTCCTCAGACATGCTGTCGGTGATTTGGAGTTGCGGCAGAACCTCTGTCACTACAGCGCCACCTTCAGCAGCCTTCTCGCCATCTTCCGCCATCCATTCGTCCTCGTCGAAGCCAAAGTCTGCCTCTGTCATGCTCTGTAACTGCTTCTTTTGTATGCGCCGTGCTTCCGCTTCCTCGTCTAGCGCGTCTTGCTCCGTTTCTATCGCATCGGCGTCATAGTAGTCCTTCTTCGAGGCGCCCCATCCACCCACGTCTTCTTCTTCTTCATCTTCGTCTGCTGGTTTGCGCTGTCCCGTGATATCGTCTTCTGATTCATCACCGGTGTCGTCGTCTTCGTCATCTTCGTCGTCGTCGTCGTCGTCGTCGTCGTCGCTGCCGGCGTCGAGTACTTCTTCGTCTGAAGGCTGTAGAAATTTGTCTAGTCTCAAGTCAGTCCTCGCATCCCATACATACGGCATGACTTGACAAACCCTCTTCCTGGTACTTCCTCATCCGCTTGGCCGCCGGCCCTTCGTCCAGCAGTATCTTGTCGCGATTCATATGGAACTCGTCCTCGGAATCCGCGACATCCTCAAACGTATTGATCCTCATTCGGGAATCCTCTTCTTTTGGCGCTTTAGGCGCGCGCGATGCGCCACTACCAGCCTTCCTCTTCTTTGCCATGATTGCGATATGTGCTGCGTTGTGTTGTGGCGTATGCGTTTGGTCGCAAACGTCGCGGGTAACTTTTTTTCGGCTGGAAATCTTGGCTTCGCCGCGGGAGTCGGAAGGTCCCCACCTGTGGAGCTAAGCCCTGCACCCTTAGCTCCACATGTGAATTTACCTGTCACCGTACTGCATCTTGGTGGACTAGCACCCATTGAGCACTGCGGTACATGCTGGCAGCGTAAGCATTGTCAGATTTCAGACGCGCCAATTACTACCTGTCGGTAAACGACAAGTCTCAATCCCCATGTCGCAACTGCTATTAGGGGCCACCATCATACTCCTGGTGCTTGTCGGAATAATAAGCGCAGACATCATGGGTTTCGCATTCTGGAAAGGCAATCAATTCCCTGTAGAGGGGAGAGTAAGCGATGCACCACCTTGTCTAGCTCGCTTACATGCTGACAGTGAATATAGACGGTTCTGCTCACCGGTTCATCCCAGGGGATGGGTAGCGAGATCGCTCGTCTCCTCTCAGCTCGCGGCGCAAACCTCATCCTCGTCGCACGCACAGCGAAGAACCTCGAGACAGCCCTGGCACACGCAAAATCCCATGCAAAGAACCCCGCCGCCCAACGCTTCACTTATATCGCCGCCGACGTAACCTCCGAGACTGAGAACGCCAGGATACTCAAGGAAGCAACGGCCTGGAACAATGGACGTATGCCGGAGATCGTTTGGTGTATCGCGGGGTCCTCGGTACCGGGCCTGTTTATCGAGACGAGCACCGAGACGCTGAGAAGACAGATGGAACTCAACTATTTCGCTTCGGCATACATGGCACACAAGACACTCCAGGCGTGGTTCTATCCCGAAGTGCCGTACAAGTCGCAAGAAAAGAGTTCTGCACCAGAACCACCTCGCAAGTTCATCATGACCTCGTCCGCGCTCGCCTTCATGAACATAGCAGGCTACTCCGCCTACTCCCCCGCCAAAGCCGCTATCCGCTCCCTTGCCGACGGCCTCCGTTCAGAGGTACAACTCTACAACGCAGCGCGTCGCTCCAAGACGGGCACCACTGGCACCACGCCCGCACCTTTCGACGTCGACATACATGTCGTCTTTCCAGGCAGTATACTATCTCCTGGCTTCGAAAACGAGAACAAGACCAAGCATCCCGTGAGCTTCGAGCTAGAGTCTTCAGATCCCAAGCAGACTGAGCTGGAAGCTGCGACGGCAGCCATCAAAGGACTTGAAGGAGGCGACTTCATGACGCCTACGAATTGGTTGGTGCATTTGATGCGTTGGGGGTCTATATCGGGCAGTCAGAGGAATAATGTAGTTCTTGATACGATAGGAGCTTGGATCGCAACGATTGTTTGGTTGATCATGGTGCCAGATCTGAATGGCAAGGTCTGGGGTTGGGGCAAGAAGAATGGGATGCCGGTGTTTAGGCCAAATGCACAATAGGTAATGTTTGGGTCCTGGAAAGCATGTGCGTATACCCTAGATGATATCAAAACATGACAATGAGACAATTGGACTCTTCGTGAGATCGTACGTGTTCTCGCCTCGAAAGCAGGTTCAGCTACACTATCTTGCTTACAGGAATACTCTAAGACAACCCTCCGGCATCGTCACTATTGAAGCGTAGATAGGTAGTGTGTTGCGTTGGCGGCAGGACAAGCTCACCAAAATGTATCGATATTGCACTGAGAGATTTGAGGTCAATCAACACACTCCAATATAAACGGCTAGATCTCGGTCGCCAGAGAGCGCATGACGGGCTTCAGTGATGTAAGAAAAGGAGCGTATTGAAGGAAATTGTGGTGTGGTGCGTGCGGCGTAGTCGCGACTGCTATATCAGCTGTACGATTTCGCAGTACCCACTCAATATGTCTTTGAGTCGCTAACACGAAGTCACATGACACATCCCCGCACTCCATCCACAGCTCGTGCTTCCATACATTACGCAGTTTTCCGCCTCATCCTTCGCAACATGAGCAGCCACATAAGCAACCCTTCTTCCAGAGTTGAGCTCGTTGAAGATGTAAAGCGAATTGTACTAGGTTATGTGCGAACCCCGCATTCACGACACCTGCCTGGCGCAGCAGTTGATCGGTCGCTGACTAAGTCCATCAGCTTTCACTCTACACTGATCTACAGGCGCTTTGCCTGACTTCAAAGAGCTGGAATCGCATCGCCACAGAGTACTTGTACAGGAAGGTTGTGCTCGAAGCTCGTGCTCATGATGGCCAACTGGCTCTATTCCGTCAATGTGTTGATTCTGGTGCACGAAGGCACTTGGTACACACACGAAGCTTGAGTCTACTCAATTTACTGCCATGGGAGTTTGGATTCGTCTCATCTGCGGATCGTCCGATGGATGAAGCAACCAGAAACACTTTGATGTCAGGGATTCTGCAAGATATCCCCTCCAACAAGCTCCGAGAGTTCCGGTAAGCTGACCATTTGCTGGAAAGTCACATCTCGCTGGAATGTTACATTCTGCTGGAAAGTTACGGTCGCATAATCATCGTTTCTGAGCCATGGTGGTAAAACCCTGCTCAAGGACATGTTGACTCACCGGCAGACATTGTTGACATGGAATCCGATGTGATTACAGCAGATTAGTAGACTGACAAATACACAGTTACGTTGCTTGGAACTATGATGGTATGTACCCGAGCCTGGTAAGTCTCCTCAAAGAGCACCAACAGTCTATCGACAGTCTGCACGTGTTGCGTGGTGACTCCCGCAAGCTCATATCCCCGAAAACGCGTCGCGTTACTGTTGCTTTCCGCGGACAAAACGACCAGACACATAAGTTTGTGCAGTTTGCTCTAGCACTACCTACGCTCGATTCGCTTTCGATACTTTTCCTGGAGGGATGGACCCTGGAAGTTCATAGATACTGGGGCGATGGTGACAACATTAGTGCATTTGGAGACCGGAAGATTGTAGCGCGCACTCTCATGCTTGATGGTTGCATGCCTGACACGTTCGATGCTGCCCTCCCTTACGTCTTCGATTTGTCGCGAGTGACTAAGCTAGCTCTCTCAGGCTGCAAATTGGATCTACTGCGACATCTATCCAGCTCATGCGAACTACGGAACCTCACAGACTTCGAAATACGGACCCCAGAACATTTCGATGAAACTGCAGGCGAGAACGCAAGAGCGCTGTTTTTGAATAATCAAAGTCTTCAGCACCTCCGTCTCCACATCAATGGCCTTCACAGTGTATCTCTGGACCCCCAGGATATAGCAGATGACACACCCTATGATACACCAGATGCCATACCCTATCTGTGGCCGCTGCACCCCAGGCTCAAGACGCTTTCACTGTTAGATCTATATCGTGAGGGGGATAACGAGCACTTTCCATTTATAGTTGAACCAGAGCTTCAACAGATATGCAGTCACTTTAGCGCCTTGGAACAACTCGGTTTGTGTTTCTATGACTTCGATATCCCTAGAAGTGAGGCAGAGAAAAGGTTTTCCTACGTAATCAAGATTCTGGTGAGTTCCGACTGCTTCCCGGTGTTTCCTGCAGCGTTCATGACCTATCTTAGGAACCAATCGAAAGACTCAAGAATCTCAAGATCCTACATCTTTACCAGGACCGAGTTAGAACTGTTCGTCCACCCACTCCTCATGTGCATATTTGCGAAATTCATCAAGAGTTCGCTACACGGTTCTTCCAATGGGCGCATCATCGATGTCCCTTACTTGAGGTTCTCATATGGGGTACTTATGAAGAGAACTTGAACCAAGAGGCGTGGCAGGTGACTGAGGATGCAAAGCAAGGACGAGATACTTCTGACTGCGGCGTAGACCGTGCCCCACAACAGTGCTTCGTGAAGAAGTTGGTAGAGCTAGAAGGCGGTACTTCCCAGATCGCAGGAGCGAGTAGGGTCACCCGGAGTCGAATTCGAGATGACTTCCCGGAACTGCAAATACTGAGCTACGAGACCAGCAGACATATCGAAACTCGCCTGGCGGATGAAGCCGTACGTTGAGCAAGGATTTTGGTCCGAAGCAGGAAGCAGGGGAGATTGTTTTGGCAGCGAAACCTTGCCTCTCAAGCTCCAACTTCCAAATGCGGAGGTGAGCACCTACCTCGGCCGATGGTGGCTCTAGTGAAGAAGCCTCGTTGCTGGCTTTCACATGGAACACGTGCCGAACGAGAGATGCTAGCGTTGAATCTAGTTCAGAACCAAGGCACGGCTCGGATGCGTGTCATGTCCTGTCTCCCGGACCTGCGGACTCATGGGACCGGCGCTACCATCGACGATCACGACGATCAGCTAGATGGCCGTCGTCTCATCGCCTCCGTTAGGACGACAGTGAATGACCGCAGAAAACGCCGATGGTATTTCTAAAGCTCCATCCCTGAGCGAAAGAAGACTTTGGAGCGGCGGGTCAAGCACTTGCGGGATACGCAGGGCCCAATCGCGCTTCTCCGGAAGCTAGCCGCTGGACCCTTGCCTCCCCGACTCAAAGTGGAGTTGCGAACCGCGGGGACATGCGGAGACTATTTCGAAGAGAGCTGCGATTCCGAGGCTAAATTTACGGCATGGTACGGTCGATGCAACCGAAAACTCAAATCCTACAGACGAGGCTCTTGAACTGTGCCGCATCGTTCGTCCAATATCGAATGGTACCCCATCGTTTGAACCCATAAGCGCGGACATTTTCTCTTGTAGATCAGGGGACCCCAGGATGCATCTGCGTCTGACAAGAAAGATACTTGCCGTTGTTCTATATATGAGCGTAAGCGCGCGTTGATTGCATGCCTTGAACGAAACAGCATTGCAATCATTCCTGATTGGATTCCAGATTCAATGCTTACTGGGCATATTGCGACTATCGCCACGCGAGATCCCTCATGCGCGGCTATACTAGTCGAACGTTTAGATCGTACCGGCTTGGCTAGCAGAGGCCCACTGCTACACAAGAACACTACCACACCGGACATGCGTCCGAGTACAGCGTATCGCTACGGCAGTTCATAACAGCCTCGCCAGCATGAACAACGTGGCAATCACGAGATGATAGACAGTCCCTGAAATCAACCTCGTGGCGAACAGGAAAAGCTACGGGAACACCATTGTCTTGGCACACAGTCTACCAGGCCCCCAACATTACCCGGATGAATAGAAACACTCCAATCATACCAACTAGTCTGTGGCCTCCCAGCGGCCCGGTACCGACGATCCGTTCTAGGGCGAGTTAATTACCTGTTGTAGTTCTTCTCCCGCTGTTGAGCGTGGCTTGCATATTTCCAGGTACCCTTGGCCTGGAAGACGGTACGCAGTCTAGGAGAAGTCTTTCTTGAGTACTGCTTGAATTAGTTCAATTTCAAGGCAGGTGGCCGTGCAGCAGGGCGTCCCGTGTCTTTGATGAAGCTCTAGCCCCAGTGTAGAGAAGCAGGAGTACTAGGCTAAAGCAAGGGACTGTAAAGCTCCTCGAGCTACGATGGAAATAAATAGTTGGGCATCCCACTGGTACTTTGGATCCAGTTGATCGACTCTGCACCAAACTTTCCGTCAAGATGGGTCGCTTCTCGTTGTTCGCTTCTCTGCTGTTGGCGACCAATGGTGTCTTGGGCGCCAAATGGATTGGTGAAGTCAAGAAGGTCGATGGTGTTGACTATCAATGTAAGCTACTGCCGCCTTTTGCTTCTTCTTCGAATGAATGCTGATCGTTTTATTCTAGGCAAATGCTACTCCGACAACGCTTGCTGGCCGACCAATGCAGACTGGGAGAAGCTCAACCAGACTGTCTCAGGCGCGCTTCAGCTTGCCATCCCACCCGGTGCTGTCTGCTACAAGAACTTTGAGAACGGCACCAGCGTATACGATGCGGCGAAGTGTGCGGACACTCAGGCCAACTGGGGCAACGAGCAATGGCTGTATGATCAACCCTCCCAAGGCATACAAAGGTCGATGCTAACGTAATGCTAGGACCGACCATCCCATCGCCGAGCTCTGGCCTCTCAAGACGAACAACACCTGTATGCCAACTGACGATCCATCAGGAACCTGTACACGTGGTTTCTATGGAAAGTATGTCATCATGGCAACTACAAAGCAACAGATCCGAGCTGGTGTCAAGTTCGCACGGGAGCGCAACCTCCGTCTGATCATCAGAAACACCGGTCACGACTTCATGGGTCGTTCCACCGGATACGGCGCACTCATCATCAACACTCACAGCTTCAAGGATGTCAAGTTTCTCAAGAAGTACACTGGGCCTGGTGACTGGACGGGCAGCGCGGCCATTGTCGGTGCTGGTGTACAAGGCCGTGAATTGTACAAGCAATGCTTTGCTCAGAGCCCCAAGGTGGTCATCGTTGGTGGAGAGTGCCCAGTATGTGTATCGATACGGACGTCTGAAACCATCACTAACATATCCTAGACTGTTGGCTGGGCCGGAGGTTACATTCAAGGAGGCGGCCATGGCCCTCTTTCCGGAATATACGGCATGGGCGCTGACAATGTCCTCTCGTTCGACGCCGTTACCGCTGAGGGTAAATTCGTGACCGCCAACGCAAAGGAGAACTCGGACCTCTTCTGGGCTCTTAAGGGTGGCGGCCCCAGCTCCTTTGCTGTTGTTATCTCCATCACTGTCAAGACCTTCCCGGAAGTCCCTGTCGCTGGCACGATCCTCAACATCAACTCCACGCACACCAATGACACTGAGCTGTTCGCCAAGGGTGTTCACATCTTCCACAACCTGGCCAACCACTACAGCGAGCATGGCATGTTCGTGTACTTTGAGCTTGGCCCTGGTCCTCAGCGCCTCCACATTGCACCTTTCGTTGGTCCCAACATGAACGAAGAACAGCTTGGAAAGGTCCTCGCCCCACTATACGAGCAGCTAGACGCGGCCAAAGTCCCTTACGACACCCACACTCGCGCCTTCCCTACCTTCTTCGAGTTCTACATCGACATGTTCGAAGACGAGCCCCCGAATCAACAATCCGTCGTCGGCGGCCGCCTCTTTACACAATCCGATATCAGCGCCCACGGCGACGAAATTGCCGACGCTCTCATCTACGCCGCCATGCCTGAGCCCACCCAACTCGGTTTCAACGTCGGCCACATTGTCAACCCCGGCCACGCTTATCCCAAGGTCGACAATGCTATTCATCCCACGTGGCGCAACGCCAGTAGCTTCGTCATTACGAACGTTTTGATGACAGGCAACGAGCCCTGGGACGTTAAGAAGGAACGCGAGAACTTCAACACCAATGTCCTGGGTAAGCGACTCCGGGATGTGAGTCCCGCTGGTGCGAGTTATGTGAACGAGGGTGATCTCAATGAGCCGAACTGGCAGGAAGCGTACTGGGGAAGCAATTACCCCAAGTTGTTGAAGATACGCCAGAAGTATGATCCCGAGGGTGTCTTCTTTACTGAGACGACGCCCGGTACGGAGAATTGGAGTGTTATGGACTATGGTACCAAGCTTTGTAAGAAGAGTACCAAGTAGACGTGAGTGTTTTTTTTTTCTCTTGTTCTTTTTCTTTTGATAGACTATTAGCGAATGATAGATAAAAGCACGTCGCTGAGTGCAGAAATACGATAATATCCGAACCTTCTTTTTGTGTTAGTGCTCGTATGTTTTGGTATGGGTTGCGACAAATTGTCGTTTGTGGTGTTGCGAGGGTTCCGCTAGAGGTCCCTGGGACCACACCTCATAAGCTAGAGATGTAGTGGTGACATGTACGAGCGCTTGTGCCTGTAATCAAGTAGTGCTTATCGCTGATAGCGTTTGTCTTGTGGACAATACGCGTACCCTGTATGGCAGCAATCGAGACACAGCGTGGCGTAGCGATGACTGCAACGCGCTTCGAGACCATCGACAAGCATTGTCGTCGATAATGACCTTGAAAAGCGCATACTCCAGAGCATTGACGCGCCTACCTGCATCCCCTGTGGATTTGTGCCGACGTGGCGTGGTGATACAAAGCTGGGGAAGAGCGGGAGCGATGACGAAAGAGTCGCGTTCAGCGCTAACCGAGCGCGGGCTAGCATCAGCTCACCTTCACAAGCCAATGGACCTGGAGCCTCTGATACCAGCCATCATCCCAATTGTTTGCGAGCCCTCTGCTGTCTATCGCCTGTTTGTGTATTAGCCCCGAAGCGTGCGCTCCTTCCGCTCCTTGCGCACCCGCCGTATACGCTCCCGTCGCTGTTCCTCGCCTCCGCCATCCATCGCATTCCGAATCATCGCACCAGGCTCCTATTCACGACAACAGCCACTTTGACGTCTGTACCAGATCGCGTGGCCGTCCTTGCCAATCTGCATGCTCTGCGCATGCCGAAACACCTCCAGACGATTGTTTATGTCGATTGAATGCCTCCCGTGCTGAATCCCTTCTTACGGGCCTTCTTCCGTAGTGCACTCCCCAGCCAGTGCCAGCCAGCCCAGCACCACGTACGATACATATCAATGTACAGGGAGATATAGAACTGACCCCGCATGACATAGGTCCTTCTCGTTCCTACCACCGAAGTCCTCCTCACATCGCGCGACAAGGAATCAAACACCTCGTACATCGACCTCAGCGGTTCCGAAGACTTCCTCGCAAGCCATGTGCTGCGCGTACCGGGCGGAGTGGGGCCGAACAATCACCCCAAGGACTCGGGTAGTTTCAGGGAAACGCGGGGGAAGGCGAAGCAGTTTACCACCGCAAATGGCCGGACGGTGATAGTCAAGGATGCCTTCATCTATAGCAACAAAGGTGCGCATACACGTCAGGTGTCACGGAATGGCTTACAAGTGCTGACATGATACAGGATTCAAGACACTCAACCAGGCGCAGCTCTTGAGCGATACCATTTTCTACCCCGACTCCTTCGATGCCCAGCCATGGCTCGTCTACTTTATATCGCGGCCCCTCATAGGCACCTTCGATGCGAACCCAATAATACCCGCTACACTTCAGCCCAAGCAGGATGCAGGACCAGGACCAGGACCAGGACCAGGACCAGGACCATCGGTCGCAGCGGGCCCATCTGGAGGCGCCAGCTCCTCCATGCCTCGGAAGAAGGAAGTCAAGTCCTTCAGCGACCTGTTGAACCACTTCCCAATGATTGCACGTCAAATGCAACCAGGGCTGGAGAGGCTGTTCAAGGAGTTTGGCAAGGAGCTTGAGAAGCCTTTGCCAGCGACACCATCACAGAGGTCGCGGCGATCATCCATGAGTTCACGAAGACGCGGGTCAGTGTCCTCAGGAGAGACGACGCCTTTCTCTTTACACAGCAGCATGTCACACGGCACGAATGGGTTTGTCTCAAATCTGGAGATTAGCGACGAAGAAGACCAAATGCGGAGGTCGCTAGAAACCGCAGTAACAGCGGCCATTGACCTCTTCCAGATGGTAGATAAGCAGCAACTATCTTTATTGGGCGCCACAACCGACTTGACGGGCCCCATCGTGGAGCGCATGATTGAACGATATATCGCCGAGCAAGTACACCACACAATCCTCTTCCCGCGAATACAAGAAATACGGCTCCTAGAAGACACCGACCTCGAGCGCCGCACGCGACAAATGGTGGACATTGATATATCGCAGGTCGGCATCGACATCGGCCATGGCCGCAAAGGCAAGCAAGAACTAGCTATACGACTTTCCAAGGCTGTCGACATGTTCAAGAAGATGGGTGTTGCGGGAAGTCCACAAGAGATGTTGGAAATACTTCTCAGCGTGCAGAAGCACATCACAATGCCGGATGAATCGCAAGAGAAGGTCATGACAAACGGAGAGCAGATGTCAGAGAAGCAAGATCATCTTCTTACCATCAACGCGGATACACTTGTGTCGTTGTTGCTCATAGTAGTGATAAGAGCGCCTGTACGGCATCTGCAGGCACGACTTTCATACATGCGACATTTCATCTTCATCGACGACGTCGAGAGCGGGGAGATGGGCTATGCGCTCAGCACATTCGAGGCTGTCCTTTCCTATCTGACGACAGACTCAGGCGGTCTGCGAAGAGCAAGCCGACGGAATCGGGCGTTGTGGCAGGCCACGAAATCTGGTGATCTCGAAACAATGCAGGGTATACTGGAGCCCGATCGCTCGTTCAATCCAGATCTGGATAGCTTCTCGGATGAGAGCGATACCCCACCGAGAAATCGTCAGCTCAGGTTTGCTGCAAGTTTATCAGATTTGCATTCTGTAGGAGGCACTACCTTGAATGGGGACGATGAATACTCATCACGACGGCGAAGCATATCTCGCGACAAGAGTGTGTATGAAGATGGTCCCCTGGCACACATATTCCCTTTCCAGCGCGCTCAAACACCACCACTACCTGGCAGACCGAAGATGAAGAAGAGGGTATCCATGGATACTAGGAGTATGTCGAGTGGCTCAGCACGATCGCTCCGATCTCGTACGACCCTTGATTCCCGGGTTAGCGCTATCGAAGGCGATGTTTCGATAGAAAGGCTTACCATGACACAAGGGCCCGATGGTGAATCGGTGATGATGATGGCGATTGAAAACAATCAAGATAAAGCACTGCAATACCTGCTTAGTCTTACCGAGTACTACACTCCCTCTTATGTCTTTGAAGACTACAACAACGAAGGCACCAATTTGTTGAGTGCAGCAATCCAACTGGGCCATACTAGAACGACAGACACGATTCTCAACTACATCCTGGACAACAGCCCCAGTCCCCAGGCACTGAAAGAATTTTTATCCAGACCAGACGCAAAGGGTAGATGCGTGGCACATTATCTCTTCAATCAACCTCGACTTATAGACCGCATCGGGCATCTTTTGCCCTGGCAGCTGAAAGACAAGAACGGCCAGACACCGGTCTTCGCTTTGGCTAGGGCATACGATCACGATGAGTACCACGACATGGTCGACAAAGCACTGCTCGCCGCGACTCATTATCAGGATGACGGACAACCATTACATCTTGACGAACACGTTGACAACAAGGGAAACAGCTTGCTACACATCATCACAGACCCTCAACTAGCAGCAAAGCTACTGTACCGCTGTGATTCCGATGCCAATGCGACAAACGATCGACAGTTCACACCACTCATGGTAGCTAGCAAATACGGCCGAACGGACATGGTGCGAGTGCTCTTCCAAGACCCCCGAGTAGACCTTTCTTACAGAGACGCCCGTGGCCTCACAGCCGTGGAACTTGCCAAAGACGACGACGTCCGAAACCGCATCGACGATCTGGTTCTCCTCTCGAACGAAGCCGGTCCAGACGGTCGCACAACGACAGTCGTTCGCTCCTTCTTTGTCGAAGACGGAACCGTCCGACTCGTTTTGAAATCTGGTGCGCCCAATGATAACAAGACCATTACCGTGACAACATGTCGTAGATCGTCGCAGGACTTTGAGAATCTTGCGAAATGGCTCGCACAAGAACATCCTGCGTCTTGGTTACCTGTCATACATAACCTAGCATCCCCTTACCTGATTCCGTCGAGACCTTCGCGGTCGATCCTGCGGGATATGCAGTTACGCCTCGATGCGTTTCTCAAAATCCTGCTGCGACATCCCACCTTCTCCACGCACGAAATGGTCTGGGAATTCTTCTTGGTGCCTGACATCGACTCGTCGATGCTAGCCGAGCGCTCCGCGCGGAAAGCCGAACTGCGTGTTGAGCGGTTGAGAGAAGAGTATGCGCCTATATACGACGTAAGGGAAGTGGAACTCTTTGTCCAGCATATGCGGGAAAATATCCGGGCGCTACATCATGCGTCAAGAAGTGTGCTGCGGCGCGCAAATAAAGTCCGGGCTAGCGCTAGTGATCTCAACGATGCAGCAAAGATATCGAACACGGCTATGCATTCGCTTACCTTCCTACCGGAAGTCCATCTCAAGGCACTGGACCGGTATACAGCGTGTTTAAAACAGAGCGACGCAAGTCCCATGTCAGGATTCTATTACTCCATGCACGCCATCTCCTCGACCATCACCGCCATCCTAACCGCCTTGTCCCGCCCTTCCACCATCATCACCCAAATGGCAACGACGCAGAAATCCATTGACCGCCACAACCTCTCTGTCCGCCGCAGCGACCGCTGGCCTCTGGGTCTGCTAGACGACGCTCGCTCCCGTGTCCAGCGCGATGCGCAGGACAAGATGGATAAGAGTAGAGGTGAATTGGAGGACTTGGGCCGCGAACTCCGGTACACGCAGCAGGTTGTTGCGCAGGAGTTGGCGAGCTGGCAGGAGAATAGGGTCGAGACGGGGAAGAATGCGCTGAGGGAGTTGGCGAGGAAGATGGTGGTTGTGGAGCGGGCGAGGTTGGAGAGTATGAGGAGGGCGGTTAGGGGGTTGGGGATTGGCGTCGAGAAGGTTGTTGACGTTGCCGAGAGTACATCACATCATCATCAACAACAACAACATCGGGGGATCATGGCGAATGGGGGGTTGGTCAATGGGTTTGCCGATCGTCATCATCATGATCATGGTATAGATGTCGCTGGGCCGCTTCCAACGGTCGAGCAGGGCAGGTTCCACGATGTTACGGATGAGGATGTTGAGGAGGGACCGGGTGCTGTCGAGGACTCGGAGGCGGAAGGCGTGGTTTTGTCGAATGGCGGGGTGGCTGCCGAGGAGGTGCCGCCTGCGGATGAACTTGCACAGGAGTCGATCATGTCGATGGGGGGACCGGGGGATCAAGCGGTGGGGTCTGTGTGATGAGTACGTTTTGTGCCATGTGTATTCGATTCCCATCTCGTCCTTTTTCGTTCTTCTTCTTCTTCTTCTTCTTTCTTGATATCTCCGTTTTTTTCTTCTTCTTCTCGTTGGCCGGATTCATCATAAATCTTCTTCAGGTAGACCGGGTGTGTACGATTGGATTAAGGGAATCGGGTATATGAATGTGCTGGTATGAGCAAAGACTCATGGGATGGTGGTGGAGGGTTGAGAAGGGTCTAATAGTAATGTTTACGACTGTGAATTCTGCACCATTTTTTGGCACCTGATGACGATTACATAGCCATTCTTACCTCTGGTAAGGATTTCTTTCTACTCCTCAGAGTACGGCTTGATGGTGAAGTAAGAGTGACTCAAAACATTGAAATGAGTGTTGCGTACGGCTGCGCAATGGTCTGTCTTCTATAGCACTCAAACCCAAGCCAGAAGCTGAACAGGTGCTGAAGGAATTCAACTATGCCTATAGCTTCTAATAGCGTATGACATGGGATTTTGCAGAGGAGCGCGATGCCCGAGAAGTCTAGGCCAATCACCAGATCATGCGAGACTTCCGTTAGAGACATGGGAGGTAAGTCGAGAAGACAGAGCATCAAGCATTTAGTTTTACCGTCAGATTAGGAGATAGAACTTCGTCGTTTCCATCTTTGTGACATGCATAAGAAGACCTTTATCTTGGTAGTTGATCTGAATTTTCATTTGTCGTTTGACAAATCAGTAGCTCATTTGCTTCACCGATAAACCAGGCCTGGGTTTCTGACCAAATCGAAGACGACTGCGCACTGAATTGTAATGCTCTTGTCTATTTCAGTCGTCTGCCACGGCGTATATAGCCATCTCGAGCATCTATCTGCCTTACAATGTTTACCGAGGCAAGTCGCACCATTCGCTCCAAAAGCGTGGAATGCCTCGACATGGATGCCTCGTCTCGTGGCAGAAGATACCGAGCGCATAGATCGTCTCGCCTAAGCAGCCTGGCACGTTGATAGGGTCCCCTGTTTATCGATGCGAGTACGAGTGCGGCACCGAGGAAGGGCACAGGCCAAGTGGGGCGCCTTTGCGTCAAAAGGGGAAATGTATTCCGCTTGGCAATTTCATGGGCTGAAGAAGGCGTGATCTCGCTCAAGGTTCCACAAGATGAGTCCGTCGGGCCTGGAGTCTGACTGTTCTCTGAGTCGAGGAAGAAGAGATTTTTCTGTGTGCTATATGGCGTGATTTGTGGTGGGTACAGAAGATTGAGGCCAAGCATCGATAGGGGGAGGTATGGGCCGTACACGATATGTCACGGATTCGCTAATAGTTCGGTTCCGAATTTGTTATTATGTCATATTTCATCCCGTCAGCTGTTAACCCCGAATTCCCTAGCTTCGTGTGCAGCACTCCCACTAGAAAGCTCACATTAGTAGATAGAATCTAAGAGGGCTCGAAGACCACGTGGAGCCGCCGCTAGGGGATTGAGACATACATTAGTCCAGGCCTTGCAGATCCCGGGAGCAGTGTTTGTGCTTCCCGCTTCAGTGCGTCCTACATATTGACCAACGCCGCATTCCGCGGTTGGCAATCTACATTCGCGGGATGGACCTGAGGTTTTGCTAATGAGGCGACAACCTGAGTTGGGTCTGAATTGCGGTGCAGGGGTAGCGACGACAGGAGACGCGAGTACAGTCAAAGCGGCCACTAAGCCGATGATGTTGAAAGAAACCATAGTTGAACCCTAGGTCGTAGAACAGAGTGGTAATATTGATTTGAAATATGGTTGTGCTACAGAACTCTGGGAACACATGTTGACAACTTATATAGATCTGTTGTGCGAAATTGTGCCGGCCTGCTTTTGAAAGAGTGATCGTGTTTACGGTATAATTACGGTGTTTGCGATGTTTCTTCGGGCCACTGTGCAAACCGAGAGATGCAGCGTCTAGTAGAGTCGTGATACAGTTGGGGTCTGCCTATGTATTCTTTTCAACCTTTAATAAGGCCAATCGAAGTGAAGACTTTGTCTTCAATGCACAGAGCTTCGTTATGACGGCGGTTTTGAGTTTAGAGTACCAAAGTAGGTGCATGACGCTTCAAACGGCGGCGGAGTGATAGTTTGGAACCCACTCCGCCCTTAGCTCACGTACATGTCAGCGTAGATCCACTCCGCCTAGGGCCAAGCCGGCGAAGCTATCTAGGCGCCGCCATAGTTAGGGTCGTACATCAATGTAATGCGGGCGCTCGTTTTGGTCCGAGCCTTCTTTGCTTGCCCCATCATGGGTATCGATCAACTAGAAATACTATACGCCATACGTGCGCCTTGCGCCATCGCTTGAAAAGACAAAAGTAACATGTCCCGCTAACCTCTGACTTCAAAATCTCGAAATGTGACCTTTTGGTCCGTTACGTCGCTTCCACTGTCACAGTCGTCACGCGGGCTATTACTCGGACTCGCATTGCGGTCCCTGAGTGCAAAGATGCCCATGATCGTGCCTGTAAAATCCCGTGCACTCAGCATAGTCGTATCCACCATGTCGACTTGCTTCCATCGTCGGTCATGGTCGGGGTCGCGGAACTCGAGTGCGTAACGCTCTTCGCCAGCGATGATACGGAGGTCTACAGCTGTGGATGAACGCGAGACGGGCTCTGGGTATGATGCTGTGTATTCGTAATCGTTGGACGCGTCAACAAAGTGGACGTGGATGAGACGGGTGGACAGGGCGACGGAAATACTAGCGTGGCGCAGGGGATCTTTGTATACAGTTAATCCACCTATCGCGTTTGAATGAGTGGCCTCGTTATCGAGGAGTACAGTCGTTGCAGCAATGGCGTTTACGCTTCGTTGACGGCGGGCCAGTAAAGCGAGAGGCGCTGATGCCGCGGAGAGTGTTGAAGTATGGGGTGTGAGCGCTATTGAGCCGGATTTCTTGTAGGGACTCCGCAGTGGCTTATGCAGGTATAAATCGTCCAGGTGGGGGTTTACTAATCGCGATTTCTTGATCAGCTGTGCCGCAGCGAAACCTAATTGTACTGTGCGCGGTGTGCTGAACGACATTTGTGGCTGCTCAATGAGGGGCCATCCATCTTTTGGCCATTCTACTGTTGTGAGAAAGGTTTCGCGCCCCATTGGTGCCTTGTCCTGGTCTCCCTGTACACCCAAGACTGCTGCCCACCAGTCCCCGTTCATGTCTTGGAAGATTTCTCCGTGGCCAATATTTTGCACGTATTCATTCCTGCCATCCGCAGTCATGATGGGATTATTTGGACAAGATTCATACGGTCCCCAGATATTTCTTGAGCGTGCCATGGACAGCATGTGATGTTCGAAGGTTCCGCCTTCAGCCACTAGTAAATAATACCAACCATCCTTTTTGTAAATGTGTGGACCCTCGGTATCTCGTTTAGCAAAGCCGCCCCAAATCTCACGCGTTTCAGATAGTGCGGATCCGCTTCTGACGTCAATTTCAAACTGCTTGATCGTGCAACTTGGCTGTTTCATGCGATCCATCATCCATGAGCCCTGGATATACGCGCGGCCATCATCGTCGAAAAAAAGTGAAGGATGGATGCCGTGAAAATCAAATGGTATTGCGTCGCTCCAGTTGTCTGACCAGATGTCGTCAGTTGTTATTAGAAAATTGTCGGTTTGCCAGTTGTCCTTTCCGTGGTAGCAGTTTGTGCAGGCGATGTAGAAAGTGCCGTTGTGATGTCGGATAGTGGGTGCAAGTAGTCCTCCAGATGCTACCATCACGTTGCCATCATCGAGAGGTATCGCAGATGTAGTCGCATTATGCAGATCGAGTTGTGTGGATCTGTTGATTGCATTCCCTTGGAAGCCTCAGCCAGCGCTCATGCTAGGACAGTGCGAAGAAGCAGACGAACCGATATGCCTCCAGTCTTGCAGATTTGTGGACGCATAGATTGGGATACCAGGGAATAAATGGAAGGAAGCAGTCGCAAGATAATAGATGCCGTCTACAAGAACGACAGAAGGGTCCGGCGCAAATCCAGGTATTATCGGGTTGCTGAACATTGCTTTTTGGTTTTCCTGTGTATGATGAATATGGTGTAGGTCAAGGAACTTGAGGGAGACGGCGAAACGAACCAGATCGGGTCGAGCAATGTAGCTCGAGCCGATTATAGTCGGTCTCCATCGCTCCGAAGTTGTTGTCATGCTATATTACTCCATGGAGAAATTCCTTTACGCGTATCGCGATTCTGTTTCGCCACGGAGAAATGTGAGGCGCTTAACCTACCGTGGTGCGGAGCCCGGCGCCGCCAGCCAATTGTACCACATGGCTAAACTTCCGCCGTCCACGATCCCAGTCATGGGGCTGTTACCACGTGCTCGGTAACAGATGCCCATGATTCGAGGTTTTACCATTTCGCCGTGGAGAATTACAGTCTACCCCAGACTATGCCATGAGGTCAAACAAGCATCCCCCCCGCGTTGTTATAAGTACTGTGGCAGCAATTAGTGTGAAAACGGAGTTCAAATCTATCAACCGGCTCCAAGAAGTCTAATATTCATCATTCGACTACACAAGTATTATGCATCGATGGAAGGGTTGATAGAAAAGACCGTCCATGGTCAAGATGCCCAAATTCATGTCGTTGACCATCGAACCAACCATCAGAGCCCAGGTTTTAGTGATCTTTGGCAACAGAAGCGAATACCAGCATGGTGTATCTCGAGCATATCTTTGCACTCATCATCTATCTAACTGTCGTGAATTAGGCCTGTTTGTCTTCCTCCTTCCTGTGAACTTTGGGTTTGGACTTGCTCTGATCGGCAACACCATGGCAAGTCCTGCATTTCTCGATCGATTTGGTCAAGAGACAGCCACAGGTGCCATTGGGATAAGCGCACGCGATCAGCAAGTGTTGAACGCTGCTACGATAATTGGCATTTTCGTGGCTGCCTTTGCTGCTGGCTTCATTGCAGACAAGATTGGTCGTCGCAAGGTAGTCCTTGTTGGTTGCTTACTTTGCATCGTCGGGATGTTCGTTCAGGGGTTCGCAAACTCTATCATGATGGTCTTTGAGGCGAAACTCATCAGCACACTTGGGTACGGCTTGGGCCATGCACTTTGTCCTGTATGCGTTGCAGAGATCGTACCCGACAATTTGCGAGAGATATGCTTGACCTTGGTGGTGAGTTGACTGAGCTTACTTGATTGCTTAGCAACGCCACTGACCCTCCCAGAGTACTATGATCGTGGTAAGCTAGTGGTCCTGCGCACTTGTTGGCTATGGTGGATCGTTCATCAACAATGATTGGGGATGGCGCATGCCTATCCTCTCGCAGCTGCTACCCCCGATTCTGATGGTCGTCCTAGGCACGATACTTCTTCCTGGATCGCCTTCGTGGTGAATCCTTCACGGACAGCATGAGAAAGCCATCGCGGCCCTCCGTAAACTCAACGGCCCAAATTACGATGCTGCCGCGGCCGTCGCGGTGCTAGAGGCGGCAGTTCAGAGAGAGCCCACACTACAATCCGAAAGTGCGTCGTACCTCGAATGCTTGAAGGGTGTGAATCTGCGCCGCACTTTGATCGTGTGTCTCGTATACATTGCCCAGCAGTTCGTGGGCGCCAACTTCGCCCAGGGATATCTGCCGTACGTATCATGACGAGACACTTGAGTCCGGATGCTGACGTGCTTAAGGTGTTACTTCATACAAGCTGGAGTCAAAAATCCAGTGGGTATCGCGCAAATTAGCTATACGATTCAGCTGGTTGACAACATCGTTCCCTGTTCCTCGTCGATCGTATCGGTCGCAGACCGATAATTGTATATGTTACAATCGCGATCACTTGCTTGCTCCTTCTCATTGGCGGTCTTGGAACACTGGAGAACAATCGCACTGCTCTTCAAGCTGTTGTCGGCTTCATGTCTTTCCGGGGTTTCTTGTTCCAACTGACGCTTGGCGCGGTGGCGAGACTCCAACTGCTCGCCTACGACAGAAGACATACTCGATCAACGTTATGTCAAACACGGCCGCAGCCTGTCTCGTAACCCAGCTTGTACCCATCTTGATCAACCCCAGTAACGCGAACCTCGGCGCAAAGGCTGCCTACGTCTTCTTCGCTCCTTCAGTACCGTTATCTATCTACATGTATTTTTGCTTCCCTCAGATGAAGGGTCGTAGCTATCTAGAGCTAAAGAAGAGATTTCAAGAACTTTAAGTGTGAGATGGTGGTCGCGACAATCGCAGAAGACGATGACCTAGAGAAGCCAGTAGCGATCGTTCTTGATGAGGATCTATCGAAGGTCTGAAATAGATCTGTATCGAAGCGAACATCAGAGTACTAGAGCTGTTAAAGGGTTTCCCTTTACTGAACTCAGCAAGACATATTGGCTCTTCAGATCGTACCCATGACATCTCAACCATCTTAGTGGCAAAGCGATACATCTTTGTCATCTCGTCCACTCGTTTGTGGTTCGAACATGACAATCAATCACAATTCCTTCATCTTCAACGATGAAAATCACAGCCATCGCGATGCATCCTGCTCAGAATCCACGGTTGAAATCGAGCTCTTCGGAGACGCGAGAATCCAGTCTCGAGAGGACATCTAAAAGGGTGAAGAACAACGATTTGGCACGTTCGGTTAGTGCTAGGTTGTGACTTTGCTGGATTAGTTCAAGGAGAGTCACTCCTATTCTTCGAATCTTTTCTACCTGCAAAGCTGTCAGCAGATGTACTTCAAGACGCATATCATAACATACACATGTCTCCCCATTCACTTGGAGAGACTCGATAGAGACCTCTGATAGTACTCTGACCATGTCACTAGCGATGTCGAGCCTCCTCAATGCAAGCGAGTATGACGTCCCACTAACGCCAAGATGTTCGGATATTCCTGTTTCATAGAACCTCTGGAGAAGAACCATCTTCAAACAATAATAAGTCACACACAGGTTCGTTCTTTGGATATCAAAGGCTCGTTGAATCCGCGTCGATGTCGGCGAATCAGGATCTACTGTCTCAGGTACCTTGATGTCAAATCGGCAATGATCAATCATGGCAATAAAGTCAAGATAATCAGTGATGACGACTTCATGAGACGGACCGACCAAGGCAGATCGATCCTCGACGCCTTCGTTCCAGATTTCCAAGGAGTCGAATTTTATGATGATGCTCGACGCTTTTGTCCACAGGTCTTGACAGAGGTCATATCCCTGTCTGACCACGCTCTCTATGTCGAGAGCGCTCGGAGTGCTTGAATAATCCAGTAAAGGTACATCAGGCAAAGATCCACGCCAGTACATTGTGGTGACTTTAGCTCCTAGACACGCGCGGTGAAGCGAGATTGGACGCCCGTTTAAGATCGCCGCAGACCTGTCAGCAGTATGGATCTGCCAGAATATGCTTCTGAGGAGACGTTCCTCGAGCGGATCAAGATTCTGATAGGAGGTCTCATCGTAAAGCCGCATTTCTTGTGCGAAACGTATAGCCTCTCCAAGTACATGCCAAGAGACGCGCGTTTTGCCAACGGCATGTAAGGCGTTCGAAAGATAGTATCTCGTGACTAGAGAGATATAGTCTAGATGCTCAATATCTTTGAGAGCAGTATCAAGTCAGCTCGTAGCCTGTGCGTGCCGTATAGATTGTTCCACCAACCGTAATCTTCGTGCGACTTCAGCGTTTCTCGCGATGCAGTAAGAAATTGACGTCCAATTTGTTCTCGCATTGGAAAAACCGAGACAGGCAATGTGAGAGCCGTAACAGCGCACAATGCTGTTAAAAGTGTGCGACTGCGTAACACTGCCATATCCTCACCACCGTTACCTCGCAATAAGGGTACCAAGGCACGGATTGATGGTTCATGGACGGTGGGCGATATGGGAAAGAGGTAGTTCATGTACAACGTGATACATTGGTCTGCGATGCCGTGCAGCGCAAGGTCGGGTTGTTGGTGTACTTGGGACGAGGGCTGTAAGTTCCTCGCCGCTGACGAAGGAGCACCTGTAAGTGACACCTGCAGATCATACGATCTGAAAGTTGTGTTGCTCAGACGCGCATCGCTTTGATGGACTGTCGCACCGGCTTGTCGCATGGATTCGCCATCTGAAACCCTGAAAGTTGGCTGTGTAGTAACGTTCCGCTTGCGCTTTGGTCCCCTCTTCTGGGGTGCTATGTTATAAACGCACTCGAGGCGTGATATGCGGCAATTCGCGCATGGTGTTGACAATGCATCACACTAACGAGGTCAGCAAAGCGTTGAGTACGTATCGTCTTATGTCTTCTGCAATGTCTTACTCTGACTTTGCGACGCTTGCACGCGTCGCAAGCTCTTTTCGCGACTGGCGCCGAGGGCCTGGTGTTCACAGCATCAGAGGTTGAATCGCCCCGTGAGTTGTCGGAAGACGCGTGAAGTGTTGACATAGGGTACGTTGCCGCTCGCAAACGATGAGATGCCCGACCTATAGAGTGCAGAGTCGCGTGGTAAATCTCCGTGGAGAAATCAAGATTGGTCTTAGCCTCGGTAAAGCTCGAGTGCTAGCCACAAACGGATGTAGCGCATGGCTACTTCAGTCTCCCTCGTTTGATGATGCGCATGGCTTGTATTCTGCTCCAGCAAAGCCAAATCTGTATTCTGAGCTGTGTCAACTGATACCAATTATCTCAAGCTGTGGGTAATAAACTTAGCTGGGAAAGAAGAAACAGGTGTCACGAGGTGGCAGTCTGAGATGATAACAACATCTCACACGGCTCAAGCGGCGGGCGAATGGTCGAAACGTTATGTATAAGACAAGCTATAATTCAGATGAGATAACATATGAAGACAATGTTAACTATTGCAAATCAGGCCTTCTTCCACGCCCACCTCCTACCCATCCACTTTACCAGATACACCAAGCCGATCAGCACAGGAACTTCAATGAGAGGTCCTACTGTGGCGGCAAGTGCCTGGTCGCTATTGGGGCCATATGTCGCGACGGCAACAGCGATAGCAAGCTCAAAGTTGTTACTCGCAGCCGTGAAACTCTGGGTTGCTCCCAACTTGTATCCATACCCAAGCTTATTGCACACGAAGAGTGTGAAGAAGAAGATGGCAACGAAGTATACCATCAGGGGTGCGGCGGTTCGAACGACGGAGACGATTTGATGAATGACCTGTTTTCCTTGAGAGGCGAAGAGAACGAGAATGGTGTAGAGGAGGCCGACGAGTGACCATGGGGCAAGCCACTTGAGGAACACCTGGTCATACCACTTCGCACCTGCCAGCTTGCGAAACAAAAGGCGTGTCAGAATCGCAGCTCCAAGAGGTACACCGAGGAACACGGCGACACTCGTGGCGACTGTTTCGTAGGAGACAGCGACGGTGCCAGTCTCGCGGCTGATGACCTTGATGAAGAGGATTGCGAGGGGCGCATAAAGTATCATTTGGAGAATAGAGTTGACTGCTACCAAAATGGCACAGTATTCATCGTCGCCGCCTGCAAGCCCGTTCCAGATAAGGACCTGAAAGCAGGTGTCAGTAAGAGGAAAACGAAAGGGAAGATTCTGAACGTTAACAAGCATACCATGGCAATGCATCGTGCCAACCCAACCAGTATCAATCCTATTCGCAGGTCGCTCTGATCAGGAAGAAATGCCCACGCAAGACCGAGCTAGCTTGAGTCAGTGTAATACCAGCAAGAAAGGTTTGGATGAATGCCTACCATGAGCAGTGGGGCGATAACCCAGTTCATGACAATACTGAAAACGATCTGCACCCAGAGTGCGCGAGTGCGGAAAAGATGGTGTAAAGTCTCGTAGCGCACTTTGCACAAGATGGGATACATCATAACTAGTAGACCTATGGCAATAGGTATGGATACCCCAACGAATTTGCCCTTTTGAAGCGCTGGCCCGATTTCTTCGACGAAATTACCGAGAAGAATGCCCACCGCCATGGCGAGAAGGATCCAAAGTGCGAGGAAACGATCGAGATATCCTAGCCCTTTGATCACTGAGACGTGGTTCGGTGCTGCTTGTTCTTGGATTGGCAGAATCTCCAGATCGGTGCCTTTGTCGGATGAGAGAGTCTGAGTTGGATTGGGCTGCGGCCCTTGATCTGATGATGAAGACATGGTCTTGTGTTTGCGCTTGTACGATAGGATATCTCGGGGCTGTGATTATTGAGGAATAAAGGTACTGGTGCTGGATAGAAAGCACCTGTATTTTATGTATGCCATTGTGAATTTCGATGGCATATCGATTAGCATTGCTCCAATGATCCTCCAGCAGTGACATACCAGGGAAGATGTAGGGCATAGTATACACCGCAGGGGCTAATTTGACCCAGGGATGGACCAATCATCGCCCACCGGTGACTCACTAGATATCTCAACGCCAACACATGGTAAGGTCACTAATCCACAACTGCTTTCAAATGTTGCGAAAAATTGCAATTGCTTGCAAATCCTCGGGGAGATCTCGAAGAATGGCCACCTCCACCACGAACAGTTTCTCATCCTCACCATGGCATGCAGCCTACCCAGCGCCCACAAGCACGCCTACTCTCATTCGCCGAGAAGAAGTTCTGAAGATGATGAAGCAAAACACAGATTCTTCTAGAAGGGACTTTGTTCTTGTCGACTTGCGTCGCAATGATTACGAGGTGACGTTGATCTTCGCCCACACGCTTTATTCTGAGACTAATCAGTTGAAATAGGGTGGCACTATTCGTGGTGCCATAAACCTTCCTGCGCAAAGCTTGTACCCTACCATACCCACACTCTATCATCTCTTCAAAGATGCAGGTCGAAGGAAGATAATCTGGTACTGCTGTAAGGCCACTCCTGTGCGATAGCAACTACACTTGCAGCAGCGCTAAGTATTATCGCAATGCAGCTTCTTCAAAAGGACGTGGTACCCGTGCCGCAGGTTGGTTCGCCGACCATGTAGCGAATCAAGGAGATGCGCAGATGGAGAGCCTCGTGCTTCTTGATGGCGTTAAAGGATGGGCAACGGCTGGCGATGAGTACGTGCAGTCGATGATTGCATATGACGCCAGCGTCTGGTCGGCAAAACAGTAGTCGTTGCTCGCTGTAGCTTGCATACCAGTGAATTGTGAAGCCGAGTAGGAAAATAGTGCAATTGGAGCCCAAGTAGAAAGAAGGCCGGTGGTCGTGAAACACGGTCTGAGTTGCGGTCGCATGCGGCAGTCCTGCTCATGTCGCTCTCTAACCAAAGACGTTGAAAAGCCCGTTGGCATCCCATTAATCTCTTCGCTGTCCGACCTCGAAGCCACTGAACTCAAATTCGAGCATGTGTTCTTCATTCCTGATGTCGCTATGCCCTTGTCTGGAGCGAGGGCCAGAATTCAATAGCTGGTCGTGTTGGATAGGATCATGCATTGCCTGCCACTTTGCGCATCACTTGACAGTGACATGTTGGAGACTCATGGTCTCGCCATCATCATGCAGTGTAGTCTACTATGTCGGGGAGTATTTCGTGTTTCAGGTTTGAGAATCATATCATTCGGGTGGTTCAACATTGAGCGATATGAAGTCGGGGTGCGCCTTGTCCTTTGGCTTGTTAATCCAGATTTGGCTATGCGTGGGTTGGATGCCGTTCCGCTAATGAAGTGGTTGGACTCTAGATTGTAAAACGTGTTGTAGATTGCGAACGCTTCCAGGTCACTAGGTGCATATTCGCTGTTGAAATAGGGGGTGAAGCGACAGCCAATGTGACCCCGCATTACGCAGCGATGAAGCTAGCGCGGGCGGTTATCTCCTGCTGCCGTCCCCAATCTTGTGGTTCACCTACTTGCACCTACGTCTGCGCCCCAACACGGCGCACTCACGACATGCTGTTTTCCGCCCCTCTTCTTCGTGGCATTTGATTATCGAGAGCTCTCTGCATGGGGTTGATGTTGTCGCCACTGCCGCTGCCGCTGCCGCGCTGCCTACATCGCAGCCTCGACGGGACAATTCGGCTTACTGTTTCGCTTAGCTTTATTTGTGCCTGAGGCTGAGCGTATCAAGGTAGACAGTACATGTATCGCATTGCATCCATGCGTGTTACCTCTTGACGAAGTCGTAGCACAAGTCTGCAAGCCTCGAGACCAGGATACCGCGAGATGGGCGGCTGCGCAGTGCACGGGCGATCCTTGTGATCTATGATCGGCCCGCATCAGCCCAGCTCCGGGGAACGTCTCGGATCGAATGCAGGAGCCGAATGCATCCAATGGCCATACAGTGCTAGAGAGCAAGTTCAACCAAAGATGGCGTTCTGGGTTTCCCGCAGCATCTGACCCGTGCTACGAACCATGTCCGCCGCCTTTCTATGGCTCCACAGCAGCGTGCTACTTGTCCTACAATACACTCAGCCCTAGGAAAGACTGAAGACTGCCTGACACGCTATTGTGTACCATACACACCGAAGATCTCACTGTCACGTCACTATATCAAGCATGCGAGGCTTAGTCTGCGCCGTACCAGAAACTGTCAAGCGTCGTTCTTTTTGTGTAGCAAGCCCGAACACGGCAAGTCAGCGCTAGGAAACCCCACGCACAGAGAAGTTGTCTGCATATCGTTTGCAGGGCTCTGATGACTGAAAAGCTAGGTATTGCAATCCTGAACCAATGCCGCTGCAAGACGCAGAAAGAGCGTACCCCAAAGGTGGGTCATTGGTACAGCCCTCGTGGATTTCTCCGTTTAATGCGGCTAGCCTTTCACTTACAACCGCAGCCCCAGATCACCGAGCCTCATCGTGTACCGACCATGCGGCACGGTAGCTGGTATGATCTCTTCCCTCGAGCAATTGTTGTGCTCAGTAGCAAACCCTCCTACTACGCCATATTGGCCACATGAGTTTGCGAACGACCTGTTCGGCGAAGCTTTTGATACGTTTTATTGGGGTAAAAGGCCTTATACTGGTACTAGCGAGCACGACTGCGCTCATGTGGTTCCGTAACCTACCTAACGCGCTAGGCTTGATGGAGCATGATGTAAGTTCGCCGGTAAGCCTTAGCCCCCATGTGCCATCCAGAGCACGTCCGTCTGCAATGGCTGCAGCATTCCCTGTCCCTGCCATCCAAGTCTCAGCTCAACGCCCAGTCTAGCTTGACAGCCACATGCAGCACAGATACGTCCACTGCACCATGATACCAACTGCGATCATTCCTAAATCCAACCTAGTTCAGACCGGAGCTCTCTTGTTGTTGTTCATTCTATATAATACATCTTTCTTCATGCCTGCTTGTGAGCTTCATCCCGCGGCCACACCATCTGTCATACACAATGTTCCACGCCTCTACTCAAGCATTTCCACCTCGTCAGTCACGATCACCGCCGATAGATGACATGGTCGCTGGACCTGAAATCACCATCATGTCTAATGGTTTGAATGGGGTGTCAAAAGCTCGGAAGATGAGAGCTTCTTGTGACGCCTGCTCCCGTGCTAAGGTATCCACTCTACATTTTGGCAAAGTGACAATGTTTTCTGACACCGATTGCAGGTCAAATGCGACAAAGTTCGACCGACATGCCACCGATGCGGCACTATGAGCATGTGTTGCAACTACTCACCTTCCATGAGGTATGTCAACTATATTTTCCACTCGAAGCTCGAGCTCACGCATTCTCAGATTGGGAAAACCGCGCAAGAACAGAAACTTCGATGGATCGATTAAGCGCGATATATCGCCCGCAGGCTCCTATGCACCTCTTGGAGCCAGAGTGGATCTGCTTCCACGTACTACATCATACACGTATGAAAGTTCACCGGAGCCTACTGACCCCTTCTATTTCGGTCCTCGTACCCCAGAATACCACTACCAGGATGCATCCGTGGGGAACACATTCGATGGTAGCCAATCCTCCAGATCTTCAGAAGGTATCAGCTCGCACTCAAACATCTGGCCGAGCGGTGAACAAATGCTATTTGCACATCAAGCGGAGATGTTTGCTCCCGTACCACAGTATCCTCCATCACATGCGGCTTTCCATGGACATACCCGATCAACCAGCGTGCAAAGTCAGCCTGAGATGCTGGCATCACTTGATCGAACGCAAACCTCGGCAGCTTTTGGTACTCAGTTTCTCGATGTGCTAGGACCAGATGACGCACACCAAGAGAAGATAATGGCTTCGCCGCCGTCCATGATATCTCTCCCTCTACCGACACCACCAGCTTCCCACATTCTCATGAGGCACGATTGTACCCAATTCGCCTTCCAGATACTATGCAGCCTATATGCTCCGCCTGAGACTCAGTCTACTGCTGGAGACTCCAACTCACTCGATAGTCTCCCTACATCGGGGTCAGTACTTTCAACCAACACAGCGGCAGTGGACAGACTCCACACGCTCCTGAGTTGCGAATGCTCATCGAACCCCCACTACTCAACCACGATCAATCTAATCATCATGAAGATACTATCTTGGTATCAAGCGATTGCTGGTGGTATTCAGCAAGACGGATGTTACTCCATGGAGACCCACGTAGATACCTTGTCCCCTCGACGTATGTTCAGTGGCCTCTTGAGCTCTGAACAAGAACATACCTATCGATCAAACCACATTCTGGCCGAGCTCTGCAGAGTGGAGAAGCTGATTGACAAGTTTTCTGAGCGCTACTGCAACCCGGCTAATGCCGCCGAGACAGGCATCCATTGCGGCGTCTACGTGGCCATGGAGAACTCGCTTCGAAGCTGCGTACGCGATACTTTTAGAACCACTATGTCAGCTGCGCCAGAGAACGTCAAGCGTCAGATGGCATCGCGAACCCAGAGCTGCTTACGCGTTAACACATTATGACCTACCTGGTTGCATCTTCAGCGATTTGTAATTCCTTGTATTAGATGAAAGAAATCCGCGCATGTACCCCACCAGCATATCTATCGGAAAGGCTCTAGCGATTGTCATTTCCTTGCATCGTCCTCAGCCGCACTTCCTTCATTCCCACCTTGTCTTCCGACAGCCTGCACGCACGCTCAGTTGCCAGTTTCTTTGCGGGCCTAGGCGTCCCAATAGAGCGGGTAGCGAGTAATGGTCGAAGGTTCCTCAGCGTGTCTTCATTGGTGTATTTGGAGTTTGTTGCTTACCATGAGCCGTGGCTCACTATCACGCATAATGGAGCATCTCTCAGCTGATTCGTTATGCGAGACCGCTTTGACAATCTCCGTTTGCGCATCTAGCTTCGGATCGCGTACATCATCTCACCTGTGCCCCACCTACTAATTGCGCTCAGCACTACACCCAATAATTACACATTTGCGAACTGCCCTCCACTAGCGGAGACAACAGCGAAGAAATTTTCACCGCATTAACGCTTATAGGCGAATGCTTTATACAAGTCTATCCTATACTTCCATCGATTCAATGGATAGGTACCATAAATCAGCGCTGCTGATATGGTTCTTATCCCGACTGAAGCCGAACATTCTCCATAAGCAAAACCAGGTATGTCGACTGCATCTCAATTGCGAGTCTATTACCCGTATCTCGGGTTCGCTTCTAAAACATGCGCATGGGGCACAAACAGGCTGCGCTGATTGATGAAGTCTGTGCATTACTGGGCGGGGCGCTTGGGATGACAGAACCCCTTTCTGTTGGTATCTCGCAAGATCGACATGGAGGACGATCGAGCAATTGTTAGCAATCATGAACGTGGTATGTTGGCTCCCTAGAGGCAACCCGTGACGGGTAGCTAATGTTGCGAACGTTCGTGATGTCAAGTGAGCATTTACGTTGTAGGCTCGAAGCACGAGCAAGTCAGTCAAGTCAAATCACTGCACAACCATCACCTATCACTCTAGCAACTCTTTTCTCGCATTCTTCAAGAATAAAGTTCGAAATCTCCACCACATCTCCCGCCCGCGCTTCCCGCCGAACACCCGCTCTTAACTCAAGCTCCCGCAGGATGCGTGGGAGGTTACGCGCCACCTAAACATAGGCGTGAGATAGCCTGCTGTCTTTTCACAAGTTTACACGCTTTCACCAATCGCGGAGGCGAGGACATGGGTGATTGTGTGGATCGCAGGAATGCAAGGATTGGCGGGGCCGTTCCTGTACCCGGTGTAGGGGTGGGGATTGGACTGGTGGCTTAGACACGCAGACGAACTAGTGCTGAGGCGCGTCAGCTATCGGTCCGGCTTAGCATGTTGTGAGGGTGCGGTGATTTGTATATCATGGGGAGAGGGTAGGTCAGAGGGTTGGTGTTCGCGATCTGGAATTGTTTTGGGAAGAATGAATCGAAGATGTTGGGCGGGCGAGCAACGGCGTGAAGCTATCCAGAGCCGGTTGTGATCGGTACGGGACTGTTGCGGCGGGCCGATGCCGCCCGGCACGCGCATAGCCACACGTACCTACATCTACCGACAGACTAGAGCGCCTAACGCCCATTTCTCCAATCCCTTAGGCCATCGTTTCCACCATGGATAAGACATATGACGCAACATGTTCTTTCCTCGTCGACCTACCTTGTCGCTTCTCTCACATCAGCCCCCGCCGACCATTACACCGGCACCCCGCTTCATTGGACGGGAGGCCTTGCAGAGTGATGCCCCAAAGCGGTGCGGGCACTGCCTACTTTGGCACATGAGCAGTGCAGGACCTGCCACAACCGGCTGGGCAAGGCGTTATGCGTGGGTGCTTACTGGTTAATTAGATTAACCGCATGTGTAGGATGTTTGCACAGCGGGAAAGATGATGGGCCAATAAGTTCTATAGATGGTTACAGGCAGGTTGACGAGTCACACGAAGCAACTCCGCCAGCCTCCGAACGGGTTTCTTTGCATGTTTGCAAATGCATCGCGGCGAAGCAAACGTCGATAGTTTACCACGAGCTTCAAACTTCCAAAACTGCTAATCGTGCGAAGGGACCCAGGTGTTTCAATCACTCCGCTGCGGTTTCTGGTCTTACTCAAACTTCCCCACTGTTCACTGAATTAGATCTCGGAGACTACTCCGCACGACGGCGTAGCGGCCCGCGCAAATACTTTGTTTCTGACTCATAGAGTTCATTAAACATCGCCCGTTAGGTGCCAGCTTTTGAAGCAACCAACGCACCCATCGAGATGCAGTATCGCCTCGCACGCATGTGTGGTAGCACGGGAGTCACCGCACTTTGAGCCATGTGGCTGTTTGTGCCATGGTGGTGCAAGCCCCGATCCAACGGTGTGGGATATCATCGGTGAGCAGAAAGCAGGGCGAAGGTACAAGTAGCAAGGAAGTAGCTTCCGCGGCGAGAGAACTAGGGATCTAGCAGTTCAGATACGTAGTTGGCGAACAAGCTGAGCATACCACACACTGATATCTCTGCTGACGTAGCGGCCGCATGGTTGGCTACGCAAAACGTTCATGATGACGCAGTGCTACGGACTATGTCAGGGTGAAAAAAAGTATACGAGCAAATTTCCCCGAAAGTGTGGTAAAATATATGAACACTCTCGATGATTCTTGCCAGATTAGTATGCTAACGTAAAATTAGCGGCCATTACCACTTTGTGAGAGACAAAATGGACATCTTTATGCTGATTCATGCTTCGATTACGCTGATAACGGTTTCTCACTTGTCAAAGCTGGCACGCACTCCTTCCCTCGCGTGCTCATGGCTGACGGCATCGGGCAAATCCTCCAACAGCTTCACACACCTCCACTCAGTATTATTGGAATCAACGAGAGGGATCTCAAACATGCGGCCTACGCTTTTACCGTGTATGTAATCTTTTTACTTCTGATGACGATCGGCAAACATCCAGAGTTGTTCCTTCCACCATGCTTCAGAAGCAAGTGCACCTATGTGGCACCCTCACTTCGAATGTGAATGGATGACACCCTTCTTGCGTAGTTGGTTGCGTAATACCTGTTCGGGTTCCACAAAGATCTATTCCTGGATACCTCATTCAACCCGCTGTGCAGTCAATGACATACCGTGAACACCCCCAAGCACTGCATTCTCTAGCAGAAAAGAAGTTCTCTAACGACGAATGCCTCACTGTCCTTTGATTCGAAGATGCATTCTGCGCTTCTGAGGCGTAGTTTCAGGTCACTCCAACGGGCGTTATGGAATGATCCCAATCTGACCAGTGCCATGATAAGCCAGGTCAGCAGGGCTAGTAACAATCGCAGCCCGATCATATTGGTACGATTCCTATACAGCACGAACATCAACATAAAACTAATATTACCATTGCACCTTTTTCTATTCCATGAGCGGAGACTTCGAAGAATCAAGGTAAAGCCACGCAGTACAAAAGCTTGGACGTAAGAATATTCAAAAGACTTTCAACCCGAAAGTTACGTTAGCGAGACAGTTGATCGACTACTCATATGCACATGGCATGACGGTCACTCCTCTTTGTAACCTACCCATACCTCATGCCAGTTCCACTCATCTGCCTGAATGGAGAACATACCTGTAAATTAGACAATTGCAATTGTGTAGATCGAGAAAACTGGAAATGCAGAGGGAGTAAAGATTACAGCATACAAACATGAATACCAGAATCTACTCTACCATATTCCCACGAGTGTCCAGCAACTTCTTACGCGATCACAGGCACCTTGTCTGCCTCCCCGACACCCGAATCGAACTTTCTAATGGCAATCTCCGCTTTCTCCTGTTGCATCTGCTGACCTGCGCCGGACGCGGCTTTCAGACCCTCGGCCATCGCTATCACTGCCTGCTTCATTACAACCATTGTATCGCCCGCGGCAAACACCCCTCTCACACTCGTCTCATTGAACTGACTCATCACCTTGATATGTCCACCGATAGCTGAGTTCACCGTCTCAATACCCAGCTGCTCGATAAGATGCTGTGATCTATTCACGGTGGCTGGGCGATGCACAATGAAGCCCACAGTCACTGGGTCACCTGTATCGAACTCGATAGTTACACCTTCCTCATGTGAGGGCCCGTTGTCAATCAGACGTACGATCTTGCGGGAGTCAATTTTCGCGCCAACGCCTCGGGCGACCTTCAGCGCTCGTTGGATAGGAGGGTCGTCCGCAATAGCGCCGTTACTGAAGATGGTAAGCCTGTCATCGAATGCTCTGGCCATCTGAATGAGATTTGTTTGTGATGGATGCTTGAACTCGAGGATACCGATAGGAGTGCCACGCTGCTCGAAGCCATCACATGCTAGACATTGGTAGATGTGATGTGGCCAGTTCTCCTTGTAACCCGGAATGTCTGGTAAAACATCCTTTGAACCGGTTGCGAGGATGAGCTTCTCCCCAAGGTAGGTCTTGTCGCTACTGTCGCGGACTTCAAAGCCGTCGTATTTTTCTTCCCCGATTTGCTTTTTGGTAGCATGAGTAATCTTGCTTTGTTGAAACCAGACAGTGTCGTATCGAGATTCAATTTGTTCCCGAGCAGTGCGACGAAAACTATGTGGGTCATAGTGGTCTCTACTGGCGATAGAGTGCATGTGCTTGATTCCCTCGTTACGGTATTCCTGGGAGTCAAACACTATTGCTGTGCCCCGAGTACGTGCGAAAAGCAGGGCGGCATTTAGTCCCGCAGGGCCTGCCCCAATGATCAGGAGATCCACCACGTGTGGTCGTAACGCAGCCATGGCTCTGGACTGAGATATACGCTTCGATAGATAGATGAGGCAGTTCTTGGGTTGTCGCTGTGTAGAAGAGAAGAGACGAAGAATGAGCGCAGATGTCTGATATCGCTGGCACTCCACCATCTTATAATTGATTGCTGCAGGCCTATCTTACTAGCGTTCAAGGTGCCCTGCACTCGCGCGTCATTAACAATACTACAGATTACTATAGTAGCCCTAGTGAAGACGTTTGCTAAGAAATCTTTACTCTTAGAGCACGTTACGAATCAGTCACAGGCCAAGGCTCTGGGCTAGTGTTGCTCGGTCTTATTTCGCTACAGAATAAGCCTCTAAGAGATGAGCTAGATCAACTTACTGCTAAGTGCATTTCGACAACGGATTAGTCAACTTTGGATTTGGCATCCTGACACAACCGCGTCCGCCGGAACCCGACTGCATATGTGCGGTTACAAGTTACCAGCACCATTGCTACTAATCAGCAAGAACCTCAAATCCACGACTCCTTCTTCAAACAATTATTCATGTTTCTGAACACAGTGTCCTCACGTGCGCTCTGATTGCAGTTCAACGGCCATGTGCAGTTTTTACTTTGCGCACGTTCGCATCGACCTGTTCGTGCCGTTACAAAACATCGTACTGGATGCCAACACACGTTTCATTTCTATTTTGTCGTTGACGCTGGCTCCAACAGGATCTCTCCACTCAAAAACGGCGTCGCACAGCCATCGTTCGATGTGCGTTAATCATACATTGATGCTGTCGGCTAGCTGAGTCATCGTCATCTCTCCTGTGTCTTCGGAGTACTCATCGTCCATTTACTGAAATAGCATTCCCTGCTCTGAGTCCTACTTCTTCCTGTTCATCCTCGCGAGAAAAGATACTGTCGGTTCAATTACCGGCTGACTAAATAAGGTAGCTGTCAAGCTGCACAACATTGATTGCAATCATACAAAGCTGAATTCTGGCATCTGCATGTCAATCCCCGTATCGATAAAACCATTCAAATATCGTGACCCCGCAAACCAGTCTTGAATCGAATTATGGCTCACACATCCGGTGTCATAGCGCGTGCCTGATTCATCAGATCCTGATGCGTTGTTAACCTCGAATTCGGGGATGTAGAATTCTTGTCCCTTGGTTGCCATACCTGCCGCATGTTCCGCCGTCGACCACATGGGATCAGACACGAAGCCAAGAGCGCTCAGGTGCGGACCAAATTGTGCAATGGTATCAAGGTCGATTGGGGCGTCTGCATTTATCGCATCAGTGTATCCTTGTTCCGAGCCCGAGGACGATGGCATCTGGGCATTCTGACGCTCTTGAATCTTTGCCTGGATGTAGAAGCCAGCAACTTTCGAGAAGAGGAGACACATCTTGTACAGCTTTTCTGCGCCTGCAGAGAATTCTCGACACGACTCGAGACTTGTGACGAAGTCTGCAAGAGACTTCAGATCTGTGGGATCAGTTTGCTGTATCGCATTGCTGAACAAGACCATAAACCTGATGGGGCTAGATTAGTGCATCGGTATGTAATCTTAGAGGTCATCTTACGGGGTGAGTGGAGCCTGTAATGATGTTAGTGTGCTGAAAATGTTGAGGCACATCATCAGAGTTCTTCGGTACTAGACATACCTGGAGGATTGACCATTGAACGTATCCTGCCCATAACTCTGTCTTCTCACCAGTGTTAAATCTAGCATTACTTCGCATATGTGCTGTAAGCGCAGCTCGGGAAGATTCAAGACATTCTTGGCTGAAGGTGCTGTTGTCCAAACTTGTTGCTCGCTGTATGAGTGCGCAGGTCGAGTAGTGCACTACAACGTCGGCGTAGAGGAAGACGCTCTCCAAGCGACTGGAAACAACTAACACATATCAGTTGAACGTTTTCATTGGCGTTCAGTGCAACTGACTATGCGTATCCGTATCGGGCTCCAAAGCGACTTGGCTTTCATGCCGAAGTTTCCTGCGCTTGGACGGCACTTCGGTCTCGTTTAAGCTCAGATTCTTCTTCATATCCATGATGCTTCCTTGTCCTCGTTCAATCCAAGCCTTGTTCATCGCTTCTACGAGAGCAGCGGCGGTCCGGGATCGCTCTTCGGACGGCTTGCGGAACGCAACTGGACTGTAAAGTTTTTCGTAGATCTGCCCCGAGACCTTAGCCACCTTGACCCAGTAAATCAACTTGTCGCCTCCTTTAAAGCCATTGGGCGCTGTCTCCCTCATAGCGAGAAGAGGTAACGATACATCCCAATCATGGATTCGACTCACGCGGCCTAAGCGCAGTGACAATTGCTTTTCAAACATGCACACAAACCAGAAAATGTGCATCTTGAATCTCTGTTCTTGTTTTGTATCATATTTCATCGTTTCGAATCGGTGGTAGCCTAGATTCTGGCATAATTCGGCGGCGTTGGAGACTAGAACCCAGGCAAGCGAGGGCCTACACTGCTGAATCGCGCAGGCTGTACCCACACAAAGAGCTACAGCATTCTCATAGGTCGCAGAATAGAACATGCCGAGTTGACTCAAGGCAATTTCCGTATGTTTTTTGGCTACGGTTGACCTACGTTAGCAGATATAAAGGTAGTGAGGATGTGTGCGGCTTTACCCAATAGAGCATATCTGAACATGGTCAGTGATGTCACCATTGAGAAACAAGGATGTGATACAGCTACACATACTCTATCAAGGTTTTCCTATCGATACCACTCCATGGCGTCATTGAAAACCATGTGAAGAGGTTGAAAAGCACACCGTACGCTAGAAGACGACGCGCAGTGCCGCATGTGGCTGGATGAAAATATGCATCCTCGATGATCTCACATAATGTCTCCAACTTCAGCATTGAGGAAAGATTAGCAAACATCAAGTTCGGTGCTTCTGTAAGACAGTCAGCAGCTTCCAAGGTCATTTCGGATAGGCTGAAATACTCAAAGCTTTATCTAAAACAGACGTCACAGTCTCCCAAGGCGGCCGTTCCAGCGTTTCGCTATCGACACTTGCAAGGGTGCGGTCGAGCAAGGGTTGGTTGAGTGAAATTGTTAAAGCTGTATCTTGGTTGTGCCGAGTGACCAACTCCTCCATTGCTGTCAACGCGGCTCTGACTTCTGCATTTTGACCCACTGACGGTGTTTCGCCCACTACCTGAACGAGCAAATTTCTGACATAGTCTGACTGCGTGTTGTTTCCAGTCTTGCCTTCGAAATGCGCAGGTGTCTTCACGGCCGGAACGACAATGCTGTCAAAAAGTCGGCTTTGCGGCCTCCTTACCTGGCCGACCGACTCCCCGGAGGGTGCAGGAGTCTGGTTGCTTTCCAATTTGGAGGCGATACTGGCAAGAGCATCTTCGATGTTGGTAAGACGGTCGTCGAGGCCATCTATCTTCTTCTCACTGGACGAATTAGACACAGGCCCAAGGACGGCTTGGAAGACGTACTATTCTTGAGAAATATGAATTCGCCTATGACCCTTTTCTGGAAGAGCCGTGGTTCTGCAGACTTGGCTCGTCAGCAGCCACGTTGAACCGTAAGACATACGGTCTGTTCATCGAACCAGGGTGCTTGACCAACGACACAACTCATCGCAAAGATCAAGTGTGTGCTAGCATCTTCACTTACTACTCTTGTTCGCTCTACATTGCGAGCATGGCACCTGCCTATCGCATCGAGTTTTCTTGGTTCTGCAGGAATCACACTTCGAGCGGGCCGTTAGGGCTGTAGCATCATATGGATGACCGATCGTACCGCACGTTTGCCTGTAACCCCTTCAGGCAATCCATTCATATCTCCATCCATATCCGCCGTTGTAGAGGGTCAGTAGGAAACCCAAGTTACGCTGTTGACACGTGTATGTTGAGACGGACAAACCAATTCCGGAAGTTGAGTTCCAGGCCCGTGCAGGCCCAATGTGGACCCAAACCTTGGAACTCATGAGCCAGCGTGAACCACCGGGATCCGGCGGACCCGGCGACTCCGCGACACGGCTGAGCGAGATTCTAGGCTTTTCGCGTCGCTGCAATGGAATAACATACTCTGAAGACTGGAACATGACCTCGCCGACAATCGCTCCAATATCGATTATCTCATCTGGATATTCACTATTGAACGGAGATGTTGGTGTTCTCATCAGCACAGGCTCCCGCCACGTCCGCCGGAACCCAACGCGTCTCTTGACCACCTTTATACCGCACTGTTCCATCTCATCCCATCTGTGTTCCATCTTGCATATCATATGCTATTACCACATCATCCCTCACCATTTACGTGAATCAATACTTGTAGAAACAGTCAGTATGTCCGCCAAGGTGGCCTTTGGGTCTTGGTACAAATCTGCTTCAAGGAAGGCTCTTGCAATTTGCTCCTGATTTCACGTTAAACAGTATTCTCAGACGCATGATATCACATACCACTTCTTCGAGTTCCGCAACTTCATCTTCTGGCATCTGACAACAGGCAGCCACAAGATCCTCACCTCGCATAGAAAGCAGAATGAGTTTCTCTGCACGTTGAACGATCTCCTGAGGAACGCCGTTCAAAGCTGCACAGCATGTACCGAAACTTGAATTGCTGCGACCCTCGCGGAAGTTGTAGAGGTACGTTATTTGATCACTGACTTCCGAAGCGTCGACATCGATGCGTACCTCCATGTGGCCGAGGGCAAGCGCAGGCCTTGGTTTGAGTAGGCTCATCTCGAATATTTCGTGGAAATGCGTGGCACCTATCACTTTTGGCCGCTCTGAGCCTAAACTCACTAAGTGTTCCATGACTGCGCATGCTAGACCGGCTCCATCACTGGACTCAGTCCCCTTGCCAAACTCGTCTATGATGAGCAAGCTTCGGCGGGTAGCTAGACTCAGCGCGAGTGATATCTGCTGGAGATCTATCATGAAGGCACTCTGGGCACGAGATACTGTTTCGCGGGTCGTAACTCTGGATAGGATCTTGTCTGTCAGTCCGATATTTGCGCTGTCTGCAGGAACGAAGCTTCCGACATGCGCCATGTATACGATGAGGGCGACTTGCTTGAGGTAGACGCTTTTGCCCGAGTAGTTAGGTCCAGTCAGGACGAGCATACTTGGGTTGTCCTTGTAGTCGTATGCATGTCGAGCTGCAGAGCTGGTGGATGTTTGAGTCCTGGTGCCGCAGCTCTCATCGGCTTCTTCAAAGCTTCTATCACCCTCGCCGCCTCTCAAGTATGTATTGTTCGCGACAAAAGATGGCACGGTAAGTTCTTGCAGTATGTGCCTGCACCAAAGTCAGCAGTTATGCATTAAGTGTCAACAAGTAGACTCACCGCCCCCCTTCGATGCGTACGACATTCTCGCGTGTCATACGAGGGCGACAGAGCTTGTAGATTTTCGCGCCTTGCGCCAAGGCTAGCAGACTATCTAGTTCTCCGCAGATGTCCGAACAGGATGTTAACAGTTCTTCATATTGCAGCAAGAATTGAGCGAGCTCATGGCTAATCTCAATTTCGCGATCCGAGATGATACCGTAAACGTCACCGAAGTGATCATCCATTTCTCGCGTTTCGCTGTTCTTGAAGTAGACTTGCTCTTCGGTAGAGAACATCCTCTCCCAAGGACTATCGAAAGTACCGTCATAGACCGCGTTTCCGGTCACTTGATCAACGGGGGTAGTGCAGAGAAAGCCGATCTGCGGGAAGTAGATGACATTCAGCGTAGCTCTGATGTCGGAAGGCATCTTTTCGGACAGCTTCCGTGCAACTCGATTGAGGAAGTCGTCGAGACTATCCAACGTGTGCTTCATCTGGTCCAGCTCCTCGTCAATCCCTGGTAGGATGATGGTGCGACCTTCCTCTGTCGAGCGTTCCAAGTCAATGGTTTCGCTGATCCTCCTTCCGATCTGAGCAAGATGGTACCCTTCAAATTGCTCAACCACCTTGTTCCTGATTGCCAAAGTCTCTCCACGTATTATATCCAACAGCGTGTCCTTGATCTTAAGTGCATAGAATACGAACGCTCGGATTGATGTCCATATGCTCTTGGAGAAGCCTCTAGCCCCCTTTGTCGAACCACCCACACCTTTTCTCAGATTCACCATCATGACACGCATGTTGCCAACACTCTTCAAACTTTGTACGAGACTCTGTAGCGGAGGATCGTTGTCTGGGCGGGTGAAGACCTCGAGAGCGCTCAATCTTTCGTTGACCACATCAAGGTTGAGGCTAGGACGAAGGAACTGCTGCCGAAGTAGGAATCTTCCTTGCGGCGTCCGCGCCAAGTGGTGGAATAGACCATACACAGACAGGCTCTCTTTTTCACCAGAGCTGGTTTTGGTCGGCCCTTTGTTGTGCGAATGCGGATGGGATTCGGCACCCATGATCTGTAGAGAGTGAAGTGTGTCTGCGTTGATGAACATCGTCTCTCGTAGACTGAACATCTCCAAAGTTGCGATACGGAACATCAAGTATGCTGCACGGTCACCCGGAAGGTATGCAACAGCGCGTCGACGTTGAAGATACGATACGAGTGCTCCGGCGCAGCCAACCTACTCAGTATTAGTGGCGTGGATCCCTGCGAGGAATGGAACGTTACTGTGGAACGACTTTCAAGGTCGACCCAACCTGCGAGCCGGAGCAGTTGACCTTGTTGACCTATCGTCCCCTCTCCATCCAAGTGATCCATGGGCACGATCTCTCCCGGAATCCGGAAGCTGACGCGAGTGCCATGTTCCTGGCCTAGGCGCAGACTGACGAGCTTGTTTTTCCCAACTTCGTAAGAGAACTCATTTGGTGGTCTCACCTCTAAGATGAATGGAAGGCGAAATTGATCGTTGTCACTATGTGCGTAGTCGGCATTCGCAGCCTCTGGATCAAAGCGCTCAATCACCTTGTCGTCAATCTTTGTCGATAACAGAATCACCGTCGGCTCGACAAATGTTCTTACTGTGGTTTCATTAGTAGCCCACCCACGTTTAGTGTCGAAGAACATACGGGCTTCGATGACATCAACATCTCCACACTGAATGTCTTCCATGAAGTACAGCTTCTCGTCTCTTGCAACATAGTAACAACATCCCACCGTACCACGCGGCGTCAGATCAACGGCCATGATAACCTCGATCAATGTATCATCATTCTCTTCGGCTTCATCACGAGCTTCGGAAGGCGTGTCCTTTGACGTGTCCGGAAAAGGTCCTCTTCGAACCTGTTCGCGAGGCCTGCTCGGTCCAGAGGGCGCATTAGAAGCGGCACGATTAGAGGAAGCCCGCGAACTGCTGGTGGAAGCGGGCGTGCGACTGATCTGACTACTGTGGTTGCTGCGAGAAGAAGCGCTACTGCGATTACCCTGATGCCGACGCGGAGGCCTGATAGTATGATCGCGCGCCATCGCCTTGATCGAGGATGGTGATTTTGCTGGTCACAGCACTTTGGTGAGGTGAGATAACAGTGGGTGAAGTGAGTTGAGAGGAACGGAGGAAGTCGCATGGAAGCGATTACGTGACGCGTGCCTTCCGCAAATACAAAATACTGAACCTGATCAGGGTATCATATGCATTGATACAGTCTACAGAGAGGAAATCGTTTACCTACAAACATCGCTAATGCTACATCATTATGTATATGCGATAGTACAGTTTACATTCTGTTATACAGTCATATCATCGTTAGTCATACTGGTTCATGCGGCAGCGACGGTGAGACCGGTGCCTTCCTCGTTGATGGCGACCTTGGCGGTGTCCCCACTGCGAATCTCTCCACGGATTATCCTGTCCGCTAAGCTGTTGCCAATCTCTCTTGCAATGAGTCTGTTCAGTGGCCGAGCACCGAACTTCGGGTCGTATCCCCGATCACATAGCCATTGCTTGGCTTCGTCCGGACATTCTAATACGATTCTGCGATCGTCCAGTCGCTGCTGCAGTTCCTTCAAACGGATGTCAACGATGTCTCTGAGCGCTTCGCGTGACAGACGGCGGAAGACGATGAACTCGTCGAGACGGTTGAGGAATTCCGGTGGGTATGTGGCGGAAACGATATCCATGACAGCGCTGCGTACTGCTGGCGAGATCTCGCTGGAGTCCTTGTCCACCGAGTGCAGAACGTCATCGCCGACGATGATATCGGCTCCAAGGTTCGATGTCATAACGATGATGGTGTTACGGAAATCAACCTTGTGGCCCTGAGCATCAGTAAGGAACCCTTCGTCAAGCACTTGCAAAAGCAGTGTTGAGATGTCTTTGTGGGCCTTCTCCCATTCATCGAACAGGAGGACTGCATAGGGCTTTCTTCGGACAGCTTCAGTGAGCTGGCCGGCATCCTCATACCCAACATAGCCTGCAGGAGAACCGATGAGGCGCGAGACGGTATGCTTCTCGCTAAACTCGCTCATGTCGAATCGAATGACAGCCTGGGGAGTGCTGAAGAGATACTCTGCCAACCTCTTGCAAACTTCAGTCTTTCCTACACCAGTCGGTCCCAACATCATGAAAGAAGCGATGGGCCGGTTCTCGCCAGATAGGCCAGCTCTCTGCAGACGAATGGCGTTTGCAACAGATTTTAGAGCCTCATCCTGACCCTTCACGTATTGGCGCAGAGTGTCTTCCATGTGAATGAGCTTCTCACTCTCGCCCGAGTTGAGCTTGGACAGTGGGATGCCAGTCGTACGGGATACGACAGACGCGATATCGTCTGCAGTAACAGAGTCATGCAGTAAAGAGCCCTGTCGATTGGCCCCTGCAGTGACTTCTTCGTCTTTGGGAAGTTTCTGCTCTAGCTCAGGGATCCTGCTGTATTGCAGCTCACCAGCCTTCGCAAAGTTACCCTCTCGGCGGGCTTGCTCAAGCTCGAGCTTCGCCCTCTCAAGGTTTGTCTGCGCGTTTTTGATCTCATCGAGCTCGGCTCGCTCCTTTTCCCATTTCTCGGTCAACACCTTCACTTCGTCTTGCTTTTGTTTCAAAGTTTGCTCAAGACGCTCACGTCGCTCTTTGCTGGCGATATCGGTCTCCTTGCGAAGTGACTCGAGCTCGATTTGAATTGTCATGATCTGGCGGTCGAGCTCTTGGATCGCGTCGGGCTTGCTCTCTTGCTGGAGGCGTAGCGCACTGGCAGCCTCGTCTACCAAATCAATAGCCTTGTCTGGAAGAAATCGGTCCGTGATATATCGGTTACTGTACGAAGCAGCGGCGACTAGAGCGTTATCGGTAATGCGCACACCATGATGAACTTCGTATCGTTCCTTGATACCGCGCAGGATCGAGATAGTGTCTTGTACGGTCGGCTCGCCTACTAGAATTGGTTGGAATCGTCTCGCAAGCGCTGCGTCTTTCTCAATCTGTCGATATTCGTTGAGTGTTGTCGCTCCACAGAGTTGTAGCTCTCCACGGCTAAGCGCAGGCTTCAGAAGGTTGCTAGCATCAATGCTACCCTCTGCTTTACCCAAGCCTAGCAATGTGTGTAGCTCATCCACAAATAGTATGACACCCTTGTTGGCCTCCTCGACTTCCTTCAAGACGCTCTTGAGTCGCTCCTCGAAATCTCCCCGGAATTTCGCGCCAGCAATAAGGGATCCGAGGTCGAGGGAGATGACGCGCTTGTCTTTGATCGATTCGGGTACGTCACCTTTTACGATGCGCTGTGCTAGGCCTTCAAGAATCGCCGTCTTTCCTGTTCCTGCAGAGCCTATCAAGACGGGATTGTTCTTTGTTCGTCTCGACAGAATTTGGATGGTACGTTGAATTTCGCCGTCTCGCCCGATGACTGGATCTAGTTTGCCATCACGCGCTCGCTCCGTAAGATCTACACCATATTGTTCCAAAGCAGGCTTTTCCGGCTCACCACCCAGGTTCATGCGATGCGTTCCACCTGGAGGTTGCGGTCGGCCTCCGCTTGCATATGTCCTCGACGAAACAAGCGGTCTTAGGAGCTTCTGTTGCTGAGGCAATCGTGATGCGGATGCGTTGAGACATAACGGCGATGTACGAATGGGAAGTGATCGTGGGATGGAGGGTGAGGCGATGCGCCTCGCGGCTATGCGTGCTCTGCTGGTCAGCATGACGATGTCGGAGTCAGAAAACGAGCAAGATTCAGATTGGGGAAGACGGAAGTGGCATCATTATATTCGTGACTGATGGGGCGAGCACAGGCTTCGGCGAAGATGCGCGGTGGTTCGACAGCTTTCTACGCGTTTATGAGCAAACATTTCAGGCTTCAACATCCACAGCCAATGCAGGCAAAGGCCGAGGAGAACGGGTGGGACCGACTCGTATGCATGCGAGGTCCAGATGCATAAAGGTAAATGACTGTGGCTGGCACGGTGTCTCCGTCGCTGTCATTGTCGCGGGCAGGGAGGGGCACGTGCTAGCGCCAAGGCTAGCGTGTTTTTCTCAGCGCAATTTCCTCCATCAAAAACTGCGGTCGTCCCTCTCTTTCTCGACACAACAACTTCGATTCCTCCATTCCATACTCGCAACCACACAACTGCAAATATGGGTTTCACCGATCTTGTCTCCGAAGCAGGCCTGACTCTCCTGAACAACTATGTCAAGACCCGCAGCTACATCGTTGGGTAAGTTCCTACCCCGCCTTGCATTTCGTCCCGCTTTGTATTTTCCCACTGCATCGCGTCGCACTCCCACCCTTTCATGATGAGAACAATTGGTCCGTGTTAATGAGGCGGCTTAAGACCCCGCTATCTGAATACAAAACCACGCGCTTGTCGCAACTCTGATCTATCCCTCGTTTCTGCTGCATCTTATCGAGACACCATGGACGAGTCATCAGCTAACATGCCCCAGCTACTCCCCATCGCAGGCCGATGTAAAGGTCTACCAGCAGATCAAGCAAATCCCTGCTCCCGAGAAGTACCCATACGCATGGAGGTGGTACAACCACATGCTCACCTTCGAGGCTGAGTTCGACTCCCTCCCCGGTGACCCAACCAAGGACTTCACTGCCTACGGCCCCGAGTCCTCCGAGCTCACCCTCAACCCCGCCAAGGCCCCTGAGAAGGAGGCTGAGGACGACGACGACGAGGTCGACCTGTTCGGCTCCGACGACGAGGAGGAGGACGCTGAGGCTGCCCGCATCAAGGAGGAGCGCCTTGCTGAGTACAACAAGAAGAAGGCCGGCAAGACGAAGCCTGCTGCCAAGTCCATCGTCACCCTTGACGTCAAGCCATGGGGTATGTTTTTCGGCTCTGCTTTATTCTACTTGTGTACTAACAGCTTCCAGATGACGAGACAAACATGGACGAGCTCAAGGCGAACGTTCTCTCCATTGAGAAGGACGGTCTCGTCTGGGGTGCCTCCAAGTTGGTCGCTGTCGGTTTCGGTATCAAGAAGCTCCAGATCAACTTGGTCGTCGAGGACGAGAAGGTCTCGCTGGACGAGCTCCAGCAACAGATCGAAGAGTTCGAGGACCATGTCCAGTCCACCGACGTTGTCGCTATGCAGAAGTTGTAGACGACTTGCTGTTGGCGCGCGTGATGTTATGACCTTTTGACGAAGACTATGCATGATCATGACGGACGGTTATAACGTCTTTATGAGCAGTTGCTAGACGAATACCAAAATCACGACATGGTAGAGATACCAACTTCCCACTGTGGGATCAACAACACATTTTGCCACTTATGCACTTGTGACTTGATCAATCGCGTAACGGGGATATTGACGTGGTGGTTGGTGACCGACTATGTCGAGCTTGACTACACTGCGTGCTTCTATGGGCTATCGCTAAGCTCGAGCTTCATCTCGTATTGAACATTAATGAAGTCTGCCTCCGTGACGTACCTGAGTGTTAGGCACGGCTTCACACGAGCCATGTTCTCATCGATGCTATCGCTGCGCCCAATCGCAAGCTCTGGGTGCGGCCATATAATAGTCGAGTTGACATTCAGCCTTTACGCAATCCACACAAGAGTAGAGATCGCGCTACATCAGGCGACATGACCCCTCTTCAAAGGACCAAACTAGAGCCTGAAAGCAAGGTACTGGTATCATCAGCCACCACGGGGATGTCTTTGATCCACGCATCGGAAACCACGAAGCGGATCTCAGTGCGACTGTAGAGACACAGTTTAGCGGATCTAACATAAGTCGTGAGAACGATATGTTGTCGGGATTGGAATACTTGATTGCTGCGGAGTGATGAAATGATTCCTTGTTCTTCAGCGGGCAAGTAAGAAGCTTGAATCTATACGATACAGGCTTATGCTACATAAAAGAATGATGGGCGTTCATTCGTATAAGAGATCAACCTCGACTGTCTCTACAGTGGGCACTGGTATCTCTTCTCGATTATCCACCAGTAGACAGGCGAGCCTTGCTTCTTCTGTTGCTGCAAATTCCTCGTAGTCCGAGTCTACGAGACCTAATGATGCGAAGATAGTGCGCTCGTGGCCTAGCATTGTAGTCAGGTGACCATAGCTGTTATATGTCGAATAAGGAGGGCGTTTATGCCACCACTGCGCAACTAGTGTCCCGTCTAGTGTAATTTCATAGAGTGCCCAGGATTCATTCGGTTCATGCCGCGCCTCAGTAATAATATATCGAGAGTAGTGTAGGGTTTGAATACCTCTGTCGAAAGCTCGGCATATAACAAGCGGGTATGTTGCCCTTACATTACAGCACAAGATTGCGATCGTTAGGAGGAAGTCGTTCCGATCCAAACGATTGTGTGCAACAGAAATGATGTGTGAATAAGCTGGTATGATGTATTTGAAGTCGGAGATGAAAGATATTCCAACATCTCCAGAGAGGACACCAACAATCGAAATAACGAAACTGGCGCGCCAGACAGTATCGAGCAAGGATACAAAGTTCGAAACTCCTTTCGTTGAATTCTTGTTGCTCATGCTTGGAAGCATGGTTTCGTGGTCAAAGTGCAGGCAATGCGAACCCTGTTTACTATGCCCTGCGTAAACGATTCGTCCGGTATTTCGTCGGAAGAGGCGCATCTCATTTGTGATCCACGGGCGAAAAACGGTATATGTCAAGTCAAAGACGTGGTCCCCTTCCGTATCGTAGGCAGCAATGACTGTAATGTTCGTGTAAAGTGCTGAGAATGCTGCAACTTGCTTGATAAGATCCTTGGCAGGCAAGTTTTGATCGATAGAGATTATATCAATGAATATATATCGGATTCCTCGCTGCTTTGCAACGTTTATGACACTTGCAATGTTTCGGGAGCCCTTGGTTTGTAGGTCTCCATCCCAGCGCCACGAGACCACGGCGACCTGATCAGGATTCTCGAAGGGTATCTTCACGATTTGTGTAGGAAGATGCGGTTGCATGCTATCTGTCCCAATAACACCTGGCAGTAGCTTCTTCTCATCGATATCCTTCACATCCAGGGCAAGCCATTCGGATGGGGCTTCCGTCATCTTAAGCTGCTGGAGGCCTATCAAGATTGGAGGTTGATAGACAACGTGCAGACGTCTATGGATTGATGCGCATCACACTAGGAGTGACAGGCTGGAACTAAGACCAAGTAAGCAAATAGAACAAGGTTAAGGCATTATTCCGAACCTAGAACCTCTGATTTCGCATCCGATACTCTTGAAGGATATCAGTCTCGAGGTTTGGAGATGCTGACGCCTGCGGGGTAAATGCATCTTACCTATGTAACCGTGAGTTATCATCGTCGCTTAGCCAGAGTGAACTCAGCCTCCACCAACGGCCGGAACGACGTGATCACCCTCTGTACAGCGAAGAACATAAAAGCCGATTTTTTCCATCGTATACTCAACAGGAGATTGAGAGACTAGCCGGGAATATCGTTCAACTATTACTACGACACGAAGATGACAGTGCTGCTCTTGTCGACAGCGTAATCCCCGACTCACCGCGTCGTGCAGGCGTTGCAAATAAGCCTCGGCACATGCAGCCCTTCTACCCATCATCAGTAGTGCACATGTCTTCGATTCTGGCGTCATCGCTATGTTGTACGAAAGACAGGGCCGAACGTGGCAGCTTATTGCCGAAAGAAGTTGGTGGCTACTTATGGTCGACGCGGCTTCGCTCCTTCGGCATCTCAAAACGCCCGACGGCTGGACACTGGACACCGAACAACATCAAACACTGGAGCCAGCTTGAATGCCACACGTAGCACAGCCAGTATCTTGAAATCATGAGGCAAAAGAAAAAAAATTGTTATGAACTGTATGCACTGCAGAAGTCACGTTCGTTGTCTCAGCAAAACTCACGCTTTCCTTTTTGCGAGTATACCTCTCCGGCTGTTCGGTGTATTATGAAGTATCCGATCCGTTAAAGGCGAGCATCCGATTCAGTGAGATAACGGAGCGGAGGGTCGGACTTTCGTGCTTCTATAATCCATATGTTTGAGCATATGAACCAGGCATAATGTATACCATTTGCTTAGAATGTTTGGAGCACATACTATCGCATCATACTCAAAGTTACCACTACCATGGATGACCAAGACTGCTATGCGGAGAAGGGTGAACGATATGCTGGCCAAGATCACTTTCCACATGTACATAGGCCCATACCAGAGCTAAGCGAAGAAAGAGATGGAGATATTACACGTACTGGTAGCTCTTCAAGTACAGCAACCGGCTCAAATACAACACCGGATATCTCAGAAGCGAAACCCAGACCACCTCCCGAACAGCCGTCCGACACCGATGACCTCCACCACCACACGTCAACCTTGAGTCGCATCCACACACAACGAAGCCAACACTCCCACACCGTGGGTTCCATCTTCCGCAGCAGATCCTCTCGCTCCCGCCCCTTACCCGCCTTCGGAGCCGGAAAGCCCTACCCACCCCCCTTAGGCTCACAAGAAGACTACGTCGTAGAATTCGATGGACCCGACGACCCCTTGCACGCCCAGAACTGGGCCGTTAGGAAGAAGATCTCTACAGCTGCCATGTTGGGCTTCACGACCATGACGGCTGCATTTGCCAGCTCGATATTCAGTACAGCGACGAGGGAAATCTCGGAAAAGTTCGCTGTGGGATCTGTGGTTGCGACGCTGGGGACGTCGTTGTACGTGTTGGGATTCGCGACGGGACCGATTCTATGGGCGCCGTTTTCAGAGTTGAAAGGGAGGAGGTTGCCGCTTGTTATAGCGAGTTTTGGTTTTTCTGTGTTTGAGATTGCGTGTGCGACAGGCAAGGACTTGCAGACTGTGTTGATTTGTCGGTTCTTCTCGGGGTTCTTTGGGGCTTGTCCGATTACTGTGAGTAGCATTCGGCTTCCGTCTATGATTGAGCGTAGGTGCTGACATGAGATTTAGTGTGTTGCTGCAGTGTTTTCCGACATGTTTGGAAACAGGACAAGAGGAATGGCGACTGCTGTGTTTGCTGTCATGGTCTTTAGTGGTCCTTTCCTTGCGCCTTTCATCGGTGGTTTCATAGTCATGGACCCTGATCTTGGTTGGCGGTGGACTCAATACCTCGTGTAAGCACTTCCGCTGTCCCTGTAAGCTATACGCCACATATGTACTGATATACAATACAGCTCCTTCATGGGCTTCGCAGCCTTTACCCTCAACCTCCTCTTCCTATCCGAATCCTACCCACCAATGATCCTCGTCGCCAAAGCCGAAGAACTCCGCCGACGCACCAAAAACTGGGGTATCCACGCCAAGCAGGAAGAGATAGAAATCGACTTCCGCGAGCTGCTTGAGAAGAACTTTTCTAGACCCCTCAGGATGCTGGTCACGGAGCGTATTGTGCTGCTGTTGAGCGTATACATGGCATTCATCTACGGACTGCTATATCTCTTCCTCACAGCATATCCATTAGTCTTCCAGGGCGTCCACAGAATGAACCCCGGTGTGGGTGGTCTACCATTCTTCGGCGCGATTATAGGAGAGCTGTTGGCTGGCACTCTTGTCTTTGTTCGACAACCGGGATACCAGAAGAAACTCGCTGCAAATAATAACGTTCCCATTCCGGAATGGCGGTTACCAGAGGCCATTGCCGGTGGAGTTTGTTTCGCGGGAGGGATATTCTGGTTCGGATGGACAGGTTATAAGGCGGATATCTATTGGATTGTGCCTACGCTTTCTGGGCTATTGATCGGGTTTGGCATCATGAGTATTTTCCTGCAGGCGTTCAACTATCTCATCGACGCCTACCTTATGGTAAGAAAAGACTGTCCTTCACATGTTTTTGCGCATGCTAATGCACGGTCTAGTTTGCCGCCTCGGCGATTGCTGCGAACACGTTCCTTCGTAGTATCTGTGGAGCTGCGTTCCCTCTCTTCGCACGACAGATGTTTGAGGGCATGGGTATTGAATGGGCTGCTACGTTGCTTGGATGTGTTGCTGCTGTAATGGTCCCTGTGCCGGTTTGGTTTTACCTTCAAGGTGCGAAGATTAGGGAGAAGAGCGCCTATGCACCGACGAACAAGCCAGCTCCCATACCCTCAGACAATGAGATAGGAGAAGCATGAGGTGGTACTACAGGTACAGCTAGACCTTCGAGAGGATTACTTGCTCGTAGTCGTGGCAAATAGAGATTTTGGACTGCTGTACTATGAGACTTGACGGATTGTTATAGGTGAAGTGATGGACTGACAACAAATGAAGATTGCCTTTAAGCCCGGCCGCTACCATCCGGCTACGCGCTAAGAGACAAGCCGTCGAGGACCCTTCCTGCACGCCCGCCCATTCCCCTGCGCAAGCGCCCTCACCTTAAGTACCCCACTTCTCCTTCACCACCGCTCCAAATCCCCTTCTACGCATAATACAACATCATCGTCTATCCATGAAGATTGCCTACCCCGCATCTCTAACTGGCCCAGCATCTGTCGCAGATTAAGCGCTGCGCCACAGATGTCGAAGGGCAAAGATCGTCCATTGGCCAGCATTGCCGCCTTGTTTCACGCGTCGATCTTTACCCCTGGGCTGCGAATGCCGTTGAGCGCTCGCCAACATGCCTTAAATTAGATGTGAGGGATGCGAGACCCTGGCGGTTGATGATGACATCGGCTTGAGGCTGTGCAAGCCGTCTTGATTCTACCTTGACATTCACTCTCACAATCCTACTTGTAGCTGTCTAGCGCCACTCTTTCTTTAACGTCCCTCTGTTTGCGCGCGTATCTGCGATTCTGCGATTTCATTCTGCGACACTATAGCACAGTTCCGACGATTCCGCGCATGCTGGCCTGACGCAACCACGCTCCTTGTAGACACGATACCGAAGAGAAGTAAGAGGCAAGAACAGGAACCATGACGTTCAATTGTTCTACCGTCCCCGAGACGACAAACACAGATGCTGGAGTAGCAGGCGCAGGCGTACGTCTCGACTTTGAACCCAGGCGCGCAACCTACAAATGTCGTCCTACTGACCCCAAACCTCACAGACGCTTCTATCCTTTATAATAACAAACATGCTCTCCATCCTCCTCTCAGCCGCCATAATCCTCCTCGGCCTCCGCAAATCCACCTCCGCGCCCATATCCCGCAAACTCCTCCAATCCTTCTCCGACCAGCAAATCCTAACCGGAATCGGCATCCAATCCGTCGGCCTCGCGAAGATGAAAACCATGGTGCCGTACCACTTCTTCATCATCTGGCTCCTCTCGCTGCTATCCACCGCCACGAATCTTGCCACTTTACTCGCTCTGGTAAACGATTTCAAGAGAGACTGGGTGCTCCGATGGATCAGGCAGCTCCTGATGCTCATCAACATGTTCCTGGGGATATTATCTGGCATCTTCATCCTGCAAACTGTAATGAAGAACATGGAACCCAGGCTGCCGATTGCCTGTGTGTGGCAAGTGGAAAGCAAAGGCACAAGCTCCAACGCCGCCCTCTCCATCGCAGGCACCATTGCCGTAATCGCCGGCCAAGTCCTCACTTTTGGCTTCGCAACTTGGTACTTGCACAACCGCTCAAACCCAAAGTGGTTGAAGACTGTCCAAGTCATCGGCCTCTTTGCCTGTCTGGCCATGGGCGTCGGCGCTACGATTCGCGTCGTCTTGGAATCTCAGGCTTTTGGTACACCGCCGGAATCTGTGCATTTGGTTGGTCCGTCAGAAGGCAACTGGAGTTTTGGTCAACTACTGCCATTATTGCTGTTGGCGCTGCCGGTGATTAGTACGATTGAGATTGCGAGGGGGGAGGAGCTGAAGCCGAAGAGTAGGGTCGATGATGATACTGTGCCGCTGTTTGTGGGTGGGAACGACATGGAGTTTCAGCCTAATCCGCTAGTGGGGAGTGCGACGAATTTGTTTAGGAAGTAAAGGATAGTCGTAGAAATGGGATGAAATGAAGGGCGTTCTTGGGTGATGTAGATTTCTGTATAGATACCCTGTAAACTGAGATTTATAATTTGAAAACTTTCCTATACATGCTTATACATGCTATGTAGAATACATATCTTCGAAAGGAGCTTCGACTCGCTTCGTTGCTTGACGAAGCAGGTGGTCTTGTGATTTGCCGTGGTCGTCTGGTAGGCCTTCCCTGCGTTCCTTTCATTCATCAAGTCATCGTCATGATGCATGACTCTGTTTCGTCATGCGTTTTCCCATCCTGGCTTCCCTAATACCTACTCGTACTCCACAACCTGCCACCTATCCCCCATCTGCTCTACTGCCACCGTCTTCATTCTCTTTGCACTCTCGCCACTCCCCACAATACCACCATTATCTTTCTGGTTCGACACGACCAACGTATCCGTGACATGGTCCCTGAACGCACAACTATAATGCGTATGTCCAAAAGCCCACACCTTGACTGCCGGGCTCGTCCAACATAGTTCCATTGACAAATCGGAGCGAAAACCAGAACTCATGGAGCTAGAAGCGTGTTTTGGGTCAGTCGCGCGAGGATCAGTTGTAGGACAGTGGTGTGTCGCAACGATTATGCTCCTATGCTGTTCAGTCGCTTGGATGTGGCTGACTTGCTCGTTCAGCCACTCTACATCGCGGGTATGTTCTGTGCAACTTTTTTCAGGCGTCCAGTCTTGTATGCCACGTTCTTGGTTGTAGTCTTTCATTCTAGAACGAACCTCTGCAGCCTGATCGGGCTGAATGCTACTCCAGAGTGTGCAGCCCAGTACGGTCACCTGCTCATTGGGATCACACCGGTCGCGGAAGAGGAAGCTGAAGCGACCAGCGTATTCTTGTCTTGCCATATCCTCGAATTCTCGCATCTTCTCGACGGCATCTTCGAGGGTAGTCTGGTAAGCTTCGTGGTTGCCTAGGACGTAGAAGATGCGACAGCTGCGGTTCACGTCGAGGAGATTCCGCAGGAACACGAAGAGACCATGGTGCTTGACTAGGCCAATGTCCCCAAGTAGGAACAATACAGTGCCGGTGACGTTGAGCTTGGTGTGTAAGTACTGCGGATTGGTAATGGGATTTTCTAGGTGGATGTCGGAGACGATCTGAAGTTGCGGGGCGCGAAAAGTCATGGTGGGGCTAGGTGTATTAAAAGAGTTGTTTGTACGCGATGTCGTCCTCATGATCGCTCTGCTTGGTCCATGACCTTGGTTACTTCGTCTTCCTTGAAACGATGCATAAGCTTCAGTGAAGACGTGCTCGTCTCCTTAGCTTCGGCCTTGTCGATGTGGATCTAGTTGAACACTCAGGTACTCTGCGCATGGCAATATTATATCGTTGGTGTCCAGGTCTCCTTACCACCGGAGTGTCAAACTCGTACAGGCTCTTCCACTTTTCGTGGCCAGAGTCCATGACATTTATCTCCTCGTACTCGAAGGGTCTTTTCGCCCTGACATTCTGGACGACGGCTTTTGCCGTGTCGCACAGGCCGCATGGGGTTCGGGTGAAGAAGGTGATGCGGCAAGCGAGCAGACGGGAAGTGGCGCGGAACATGTTGGCGACGGGTTGACAACCACACACGCGGTAACGACTGCTTTGGGCGTACAAGACAGACGGGCAAGACCAAGTGGACGCGACGTGACGCCAAAGATGCAAAGCTCGAGGCCCAGGATTAAGCTCGCGCTTGGACCCCAATGACATCGGTGACTGCTCTGGCTGATTTCCAGAATATTCCGAAACAGCGGAACAAAATCTGGGGCATCACAACACTCGCCCCTCGTTAGGCGCGTATCTGCACAAAGCGATACCATGGCGAAGAAGTGTGTTCACAAGGGCTGCGGCAAGACGTACGACGACGACAACGAGGAGTGTGTTTACCATCCCGGCCCACCAAAATTCCATGAGGGGCAGAAAGGTAGGTCAGCACAGCCCAGTACACGCCGAGTAAGACGAGAATATGTTGACATGACGATGCAGGCTGGGAATGCTGCAAGCCTCGCGTCCTGACCTTTGACGAGTTCCTTGCAATCGAGCCCTGCACAAAGGGAAAGCACTCTGACGTCGACGACACCCCCAAGCCAGAACCCGTCCAGGCCCCAGACGTACCCAATGGCACCCAAGTCAACCTCGGATCGCTAGAGGAATCGCTGCCTGCGCCTGTGCCGAGACTACCTACCGCACAAGCTACGCCCAAGCCATCGGCTTCGCCCGCACCGCCGCCAGAGTCCGAAGACGACGACCCGAGTCTGGAGATCAAGGAGGGCATGACGTGCAGGCGGAAAGGATGCGGCGCTGTGCACAAAGGAGGCAATCGGGAAGAAGAGAGCTGTGTGCATCACCCTGGCGCGCCCATCTTCCACGAGGGCAGCAAGGGGTGGAGTTGCTGTAAGAGGAGGGTCATGGAGTTTGACCAGTTTATGAAGATCGAGGGGTGCAAGACAAAAGACAGACATCTCTTCGTCGGTAGCGGGAAGAAGAAAGAGGGCGAGGAGAAGCTGGAGACGGTTCGGTACGTTCCCTATGCCCTTCCCTCTTCCTGGCATCCGCCTCCAAAACCAGCTACTAACTATGCGCACACAGACACGACTACTACCAAACCGCAACCTCAGTTGTCGCCTCCCTCTACCTCAAGAAAATCGACAAGGCAACCGCCGTCATTGACTTCCAACCACAGCATGTCAAACTCGATTTGCCCACTACAGATAGCAAGCGCTACCAGACCGAGTTTCCCCTCTTCTCGACTATCAAACCTGAAGAGAGCAAGTTCAGAATACTAGGCACCAAGCTCGAGATGACCCTGGTCAAGGCGGATGGAGCTAGTTGGCCCGTTCTTAGGAGCGACGATAAACCTACTGGGGAGATGATACAGGTAGGCAGGGCGGGCAGGGCGTAGATGAGGTTGCCATGACAGGGGAGCTGCATAAATCAAAGATCATAGTAATGCATCAACGAAGTTACGTCCAAAACATGTATGCACCGCAAGTACGCACCTAAGAATAGTGAGCAAGTGGAAGAGGGGTGCTTATTAATCATGACGCACCTCGCGTTCTAGTAACTCCGCAGTTATGCAATCAGGAACCGCCATGACACCATTTGGTAGTTTACCAGTTGACTAAACATTGACTTTACCAGTTTACTAAACATTATTTCCAAGGTACTGAGGCGTGTAAGAGCGAGAAGCGCGGAAAGTGCACAAGTATAATAAGATCGTTTCGTCAAGGTCCCTGGTTGTCACATATCAGATACCAATTCTACTCCATCCTCTCATTGTCAAACATCAACACCGATAACAACATCAACAACAACGATATCGCCAAATAACTCCATACCAGCAATGCCACTCTCCAAGCTCATCGCCATCGTCGCCGGTGTTGGCCCTGGAACTGGCGCCTCCGTCGCCCGCAAGTTCTCATCTCACTACCCCGTCGTCCTGCTCGCCCGTAAACCAGAGAACTACGAGGGCCTTGCCAAGGAAATCAACAGCGCTGGCGGCAAAGCAATCGGCATCAGAACCGACGTCTCGTCCAAGGACAGTCTAGCCAAGGCGGTGGAAGGCATCAAGCAAGAATTCGGCCAAGACGTCGCCGCTGCTGCAGCAATCTTCAACGCCAGCGGACCCTTTATGCGAAAGCCGTTTTTGGAGATTCCAGCCGAAACATTCTCCTCTAGTCTCGATGTTTCTGCCATGGGCGGCATCTTGTTCTCGCAATCTTTCCTCCCGCTCCTGCTCAAAGGGGTGGGAAGCTCGGAACACCCGCCTAGTCTCATCTTCACGGGCGCAACGGCGAGCGTGAAGAGCAATGCGCAGATGGCGAGCTTTTCAACGGGCAAGTGGGCGTTGAGAGCGCTGAGCCAGAGTTTGGCAAGGGAGTTTGGCCCTCAGGGCGTGCATGTTGCGCATGCGATTATCGATGGGGTTATTGACATTCCGAGGACGAGGGAGTGGTTGAAGGATATGCCTGCCGAGGCTAAACTGAGTGCCGACGCGGTGAGTGTACTTGTTTCGATGGGTAAAAGGGGAAAAGGCTAATCAAGTGTAGATTGCGAATGATTACTGGTGGTTGCATGTGAGTCGACTTTCTAAGTGTAAAGTACTTCCATACTAACTACGCTTCAGACACAGCCCAAGACAAACTTTACATGGGAGATCGATCTCAGGCCTGCAATTGAGAAGTGGTAGGATATGAGTCGATTACGAGACCTTTTCGGAGCGAATGTGGGCGTGGACGTTTGGAAGGATGTCATTTGATGAGTGACGACTGAGAAAGGACGTAGTATGAGCTCTAACAGCAAGATTTCCCCTCTTCGGTAACAAACAAGTATACTTTGCCGAGGCGTAGATATCTTCGATCCGTCTTAGTACTGTGATTCAGCTAACTGGAATAAAGCGAAAACATCACCATCCAGTTTGCCGGTTTGACGATATACGCTTTCACAGTAAGCCTGCTCCAGTCACGCGTTCTTCTGTCATCCTCTCTCTATCAGAATCGCAGTTGAACGAGGCGAAGGCGCCCACTGTAAAATACCTTGCTGTTCCCAGCCATGTTTTTACCAACATCAATATGAAAGACTCAGTTTCAAAAAGCGACGCTGCCATTGGACGACTCAAGGCCACATGAATGGACCCACATCAAGATCGCCCTTCCCCCGTAGACCAGACGGCTGACGCGGTCCGAGCGCTTTCTATGGAGTTCACTCGAAGAGGAAGTTGACCGGCGTGGTAGTTTCCGGACCGAAGAATCAGGGGTCAAAGGCATACCAGATGCGTAAGGCTGAAGATAGCCGGTAACTGTTCAAAGTTTGTGTAACCGAGGAAAGTACGTTAATCACTCCCTAGCATAGACATAGTATAGAAAAATCACGTGTTCAGATCCCCCTGGGAAGCTCCATGTACTGCGGTTTTAAAGGCGCAACGGGCGCGAGATTAATCCCCCGATGGCAGATAACGCAAGATTCTACACCGGTCAAGCAGAGTCCAGATCGGGCAGCTTGCAGATCATCTCACTCATCAATGTCAGGCTGAACTTGGTCGCATGCGCATGCGCAACATAGTTCGCTAACCGTGGCGAGGGGCATAACGTCCCATCTGGCCTGACAGACGAGTGCGGCGTACCATGGGTAGTCGTAAATCCCTGACCCTCTTTCATCTACAACGGCGTTGAGATGCGGAGTCGCCTGAGCGCATGTTGATGATCCTTCCGGCAACGAGGCAAATGCTAAGGCCGAGTGATCGAGATTGATGCCGCGTCCAGAACCGCGGAAGCAGGACAACGAGGCTACGTCTACCGGCCAACACGGTCAGGTCAGATCATATCATAGGAAGCGATATGCGTAGTCAACTCGATGGGGCAATAGATAGACGAAGAGCTCGCATCATGTGAAGATGTTGCACCGCTCGGAGCCTTGCATACCACCATGAGGGACATGCGCTGGCGATGATGGGCATGGTTCTGCAAGACTAGAATAAGGTGACGGCGAGGCGGCTGGCTTACAGCCAAACGCGATCGATTGGGCGTATTTGTGCGTGCGCTTCAAGGCTCTGCAACACCTTACTACTGCATGCAAGCCCGCCCACGTGTCAGCGCCTGCTCTGTGTGCGACAGCTCACATGCTGGAGCAAGCAGGAGATGAGAGCATTTGCGAGATTCGGACCAGACGGGATGTGGAGATGTAGCAGTGGTTCTGCCCGGGCCGCCGATAGACTGTAAACTCGTTGCTACAATCGCGCGGCGGCCGATGGCTGGGGAGTCGTCGCGAGTGGCCTACATTAGAAGGGTAAGCATAAGCTCATGACGGCAGACCAGCAGAGAGATCGCGGTGACTGGCAGTCTGTCGGATGAAGCGATCGCTTAAATACCTAGGTATGCCATGGCAGTGCTGCAAGGACCAACGCCAAGTTGCTTTCGTCCCGTCGGAAGGGAAAGTCCAACGTTAATACCCGTGTGCCCGCAGCGTCGTTCATCAGAGGCCAGACAGCACCGACGCTGGAACACCACGATCCGAGCGACCGCAGATTGTGCTGCTCCGGACCTTGGAGTACGAAACGATTGCGCAACATCGCCTGTCTGCCTGCATCTGCATCTACACAAGTCTTCTGGTAATCATCGGCCCCAGCCCTGGACTGGCGTTTCCGGCTACCATAGCCATCTCTCCGGCCCGCACATCGCAGCAACATCACCCGAAGAGACTCGACCACACGCGCAGCCTCAAACCATCGCCGTTCTTTGTCGCCCACCTTTCTTGAACTCCCCGTGGAATCATCGCCAAAATTCGCGCACCGCCTGAGCTGGGCGCCGTCGCGCATCCTCCCATGACCGGAGAGAATGCACCGCGGCTAACTGCAGTGCCTGCTTACCCACAACAACCACCGCCAGGGCCCCAACGGCCACCATCTCCTCTCAGCCAGCACCAGCAGCTTCAGTCTCCCCTAACCCAACTTTCACCATCGACCGTCAAGGCGTCTCCGCAGCAGACTCCTGGATCTCTTGATGCCGCCGGCGGCAGTGCTGAACCCTCAGCAAAACGAGGCATGCGCTCGCAGATTGCATGCACCAGATGTCGCCGAAGCAAGACCAAGTGCGAAAACACCGGTCAAGGTACCACGTGCAAGGCTTGCGCCAACACCAACCGAGACTGCACCTGGGACCACACAGCTGTCGCAAGCACTACCGGATCGGTGCGCCGTGAAAGCACTGCCGATTTTGATGTAAGCCGTCCCTCTGAATGCTCCAAACGCTGTTGTGCTTGCATATATCTATCGCTGAATACATGTGCTGTCCAAGTCACGTGAGCTAGTGCTGACACTCCCAGGCCCCGCCCAAGAAGCGGCGCAAGCTGCTAGCACCCTCATCAACTACAGCACAGCGCTCAGTAGAAGGGTTGGGCACATATGAGGATGCTCTCCAATCGCCTTTACTTACGCCCCAAGTCTGGGAGGAGTTGTTCGATATTTACGACAAGCACTTCTCTACTGACTTTCCCTTCTTACACAAGAGAACTTTCTTGAGCTCAGTTCAGCAACCACAATCAACCGACAGCCCGTCTGATGCCAAAACTCCAACCAAGACCCAATCACCTCAACTATATCCCCCTTTATTACTAGCCTTCCTTACTCAGACTGCTCGCTTCCATGAGAAGCTCGTACAACAGACTGGAAATGACCCTACCAAGACCGCTGAGTTTTATGCCCAGGCTACGCGTACGCAGATGGGTACGGAAGCCTTCGGCTTCCCAACTCTCGAGAAGATCCAAACACTGCTCATGCTGGGCTACTACGAGTGGACCAATCTGCAAGGCACCGAAGGCTGGATTAAGATCGGTCTTGCTATCAGATGCGCCATAGTCCTGGGCTATCCACATTTAGACGTCGATGACAAGGGGCTGCCTGCACCGTTGAAAGATAGTGAGAAAGGCCTTTCCGAAAAGGATCAATTCATCCTGCGCGAAACTCAGCGACGGACATTTTGGAGTTGTTGTCTTATGGATTGTTATCTGAGCTGGGGAGAGGATCGGCCAAGGATGCTCACGCCTGACCAACTTCAAAGAACGCAACTTGTTTGTAGCGATGGCGCTTTCAACTTCGGAAGGAAAGCACGGACAAGACTTTTGGGCGAAGATGACGCTGCATATGAAGAACGGAGGAAGCGGTGGAATGAGCATACTGAGTACCGTCGCAATGAGCAGAATGGTGCTGATCAAGCTGATCCGCTGAACGGGGGAAAGTGGGAGATAGGTGAACACGAAGCAGAACTCACCTGGTACATCAAAGCTGTCGTGATCTTCGGCGAAGTGTCGCAATGGTCCTGCAAACGAGGCCGAAGGTATGCGCCATGTAGAAAATTTCCCCGAGACGTCTCGCTTACAGTGCATAGGCAAGAAGGCAAAACTCCGCCATGGCATTCAACGACAGGTTTCAAGAGATTGGAGGATAAACTCAAGCAGCTGAAGCGCGACCTACCCGACCATCTCCAGCTAACTCAAGACAACACTGAGGACCGTATATACAACAAACCTGGAAAGTACGTATCGATACACGCCATGTACACGCTGTGTTTCGTTTGGCTTTACAGAGAGTATATGCCTACGTCACCATGGACGTTAGCGTATCCTCGCGGCCCATTGGATGAGCCACTGATCGACGAGAAACCTCCAGATCCGGAGTACTGGATAAAGCAAGCCAAGGATTGTTGGAAAGCCTGCTTGGATTTTACGCATCTGCTCCATACCATTGAAACTTCGAGAGTTCATAGTAATCTGATCCAAACTCCTACAGTAGCCTTTTCTTGTTTTGCAGTAGGAATAGGTAGTAAGTATATTCTACGTTCTTTTGTTGGTTATCACTAACAAGTCCAGCTATCTACTGCCACTATTTTCCTCACATGGATCCCGACAGCGTTCTGTCATCCCGTTTGAGTCCTAGAGCCCACGACATTGCAAATGGTTTTCTACTCCGTATTCTAAGGCGCTTCAAGATGGCTCGCTCGTGGCTTGTTCAACTCGCTGAATGGCAACGATATTATCGTCGCGAAAAGAAGAAGTATAGAGAGCTTACTGGGCAAATCGACGATTCTCCGAAGAGCAACTCTAGCGATGGTATCGCTAGTGGTGGACTAAAAGACTACGCACGATTCTTCGAAAAGTCTCACAAGCAGTTCGGCGACATCTCGAACGACAACAACAGCCAATGGTCTAACAAAGATAAAGATCTTGCAGATGTTAGATTGACGCATGATGAGGACTCTGCAGAACGTATCTTGCCCGCCAACACCGCTCCAGTCAAGCATGAAAAGCAAGGAATGCCTGATGAGAGATCTAGCCAGCTTCCTGTATCACAGAATTCCTTCACCGCCGTCAATCGAAATGGGGTCCAGACATCCCCACCTACTCATCCACCTACGTATACGCATCAGACGAATACGCCGTCTTATGATTCAAAGACCTCTTTACGTTCCGGAGCACACACTTCACCACCAAACTACCCGTCATATCAGTACGGTAATCCACCTCAGCACATCATACCTACAGCACGAGCCAGCTTCGAGACCGGCCCCAATCAAGATCATTTGTCAGGCACTGCATCCGTTCCAATACATGCTGTTTACCCGGATTGGCAGACAGCAAGACCACATGAATTGCATGCGGCTAGGATGGCGATGGAGATTGACGGGGCCCAAACTTTCA